CTTTCAGTGAAACTTTCAGTGAATAACTCCTCGATTGTTATGTTCCCCTGATACTTTTTCAAAAATTTCGAATTTTTCACTTTCAGTGAAAATTTCAGTGAATAGCTCCTCGATGTTCATGTTACCCTGATACTTTTGCAAAAATTTCGAATTTTTCAATTGCAGTGAATACCTATCGAACGAAAAAATTGGAATTATTTAAAAAAAAAAAATGAATGACGGCGGGATCGAACCCGGGCCGTCGGCGTGCTAGCCGAGCACGTTACCACTTGGATAACGCATTATTACAATAAAAAAATTTAATTAGGAGTATATATTTTGCAAAAGTATCGTTTTAAAAAATTGTTAATTTGTCAATTTCACAAGATATCTTTCCGCTTTTCAAAAATTCAGTGTTTAAACGATATTTAGATTGATTAACCAATTAAAAAAAGATAAAATTGAAATTATTTAAAAAAAAAAAATGATTGACGGCGGGATCGAACCCTGGCCGTCGGCGTGGTAGGCAAGCACGTTACCATTAAGACAACGCGCTCATTCTGGAATTATAATTTCATTAGTGGTATATCTTCAATACATTAAATAATTTTTTTCATTGAAAATCCATAAGATGTGGTTTCCCCCTTCCGTACGTGCTACAGTCGGCTAAATTTCAGTTAAACAAATGAAAACCACCCCGTCGACTTGATGGACACCCCAGCATTGCAATAAAAACTTGTTTAATAAAAAAAAAACACCCTAGCATTGCGTGTTGCGCCCTCCCTCTCTTGGGGTGCAGTACTACGATGCCGCTGGGGTCACTCAAACCCCCAGAACTGAGCCTCTACTTTAGTCAATCCTCTTTGAGGTGAACAGTAAAATTTTTTATGTAGCATACTAATGTGTTTGACGCATCGAACGCCACTTATATTTCGTCTAAAAAATTTGGTGGCTACATGTGCAGACGCCTTAATAATTATTTTGGATTGTAGAAGTGAAACAAACCTGGCTGTAAAAACACGTGAGAAGCCTAGTGAATAAAATATTTAAAAAATGCAATTGAAAATGACAGAATTCCACCCCAGCTTAGTAAAACAAATGCTACAGGAAGAGAATCAATTCCTTAGCGAGATGTTTTCCAGAATGCCACTTCCAGCTGGTGAATTGGGTATGTAGCCAGTAACCTCAATACTTGAACTCGCATAAATAATTCCTATCTATATATTCTTTACAGAAGAACAAGAAGAAGAAGAAGGAGAAGACAATCAAAAGTACAAGAAAGGTAACTAGCATTTTTTCAACTTCCAATATTTCTAGCTCATTCCCTGAATTTTTAATTATAGATAAATCAATCTATGCAAATGGCAATGGAAAACGTGCTGTAACAGCCGAAGAACTACACAAAAAATTCAACGAATTGAAAGGTGTGAAGAAACTTAGTTACAAACAGAAACAACTAAAAAAAGGTCTTAAAACGCGGATGAAGAAAAAAATGAAGCGTGAGGAGCGAATAATGCAAAAAAGGATCGTAAAGGCAGAAAGGAATGCGGCTGGAGTAACACCACATGACGTAGAAAAGGTTGAAATTGCTCCAAAGGTCCCTCGTGTCAAACCAGTTTTTAATAGTGAAGGTCACATGGTATTTAGTAAATTCGATTTCTCAGATATTGGTAATAAGAAAAAAACCCAAAAAACTGAGGGAGATCCAAAGAAGATCTTGCAACAATTGAAAGAAAAGAAAGAGAAATTGAAGGAACTAGTAACCGCTGGAGAAAAGGAAAAAGCACTTGCGATACAGGAGAGAGATGCGTGGAAATCTGCTCTTGCTAAGGCTGGAGGAGAAAAGGTAATATTTGAATATCATTTCGTTATAATTTATAGCCAGGAAGAAAATAGGGTTAAACATTGTTGTAGAAATGTTGGACTCGCCCTCAAAATATATTATAATTAGCCAGAAACTTTTTCTATCCATATGTATCTTTATTACTTTCAATTCTTTTGTAAATTCAGGTGAAAGATGATCCAGAATTGCTGAAACGAACGGTAAAACGTGACGAACAACAAAAAAAACGGAGCACCAAGAAATGGGAGGCCAGGATATCAGGAGTCGAGAAGGCGCAACAGGAAAAACAATCTAAACGAACAGAGAACATAATGAAGCATAAAAAAGAGAGAAAGATAAATAAAATGAAGAAATCTTCTAAGAAAGGTCGTATAATTCCAGGGTTTTAAAGTTGGAAACAATTTAATTGCAATTCTATAGAGTCAATGAAGAATAAAACCTGTTGGTAACATCCAGTAATATTATAAGAAAGAAGATATGTGGAATGATCATATTTTGAAATACTATTAAATATTACTATTAAAAGATACATTTTTGTTCATTCATGTCTATTTTTATTTTGCTGAATTATTAACTTCTGGTAATTTTGCATCATAACTTATACGAATTCAGGAAAAATTACAGCTATCATGGAGTTGAAGTCAAAATTCCCGAAAGAACTTTGTTTTCGACACTGAAATTGTATCAGAAATTCAATAGAAAGAATCAGTCAAAAAATTCACAAAATGTATGAGTCTATAATGAATAAGTCAGTAATTACCTTCATAATCTTCATCAAAGTAGCGTAGAGATCCCTCCACGGTCCATCGAGTGAAAATTAAAGTGAGGCGTTGGTCCACGATTAATTTTATTGCAAAGGAAAAACAACTGAGTGTATGACAAACCGATTCTGGTTATAGAACTGACTTATATTTTCTGATCCTTACCAAGCTTCAGCAATATATAGAGTAGAGAAAACAAATAAACCCACGTTTTTCTCAAATTGAGTATCATTCAGACGAAATGCATTAATATACCTAGTCCATAGGTGGCCCAATCGGATGATGATACTTACATTACTTTGATTTTGCATCAATGTTTGCAAAACGTTCTTTAAAGAGATTTAAAGGAATTGTAAATAATAATTGAATGACAAATTCAGTTTCCGTTAAAAATAATCTCTTATATATTTTTTTCCTGTTTCAAAATTATATCTCTATAATACAATATTCTTTGTAATACAATTTCCTTATGTCTTATGAGCAGAGAAACTTGTATTTAAAGTTGTACATACATGCGAATAGAATTTCTTTCCCTATAAACTTTCCCTCTTGATGAATCACATTATTGGATACGTTTGATTCATGCAAATGACAACTTTTAGGTCTTTAAAATTTTCATCATTAACGAATACTTGTTTCTAGTAATATTTACTGATGGCCATTTTAGGGACCTTCCGCAGTAGAAGCTAAAACGTCCACCATCCTTATGACGCTTGATTATCACAATTTGAGCAGTTTTGGAAAGAGGAATATCTGATGACCTATAAAACTTTGATAAACAGTTTTTACATTATCCTCTTGTATACAGTTTCAAAGGCACCAATATTCAGGGATTAAAATTAATTATTCATAACAAAATTATTTGTTTTTTTAAATTGACAATTCAGTCAAAAATAAATTTACTAAACATGTTGTTCTAAGTCTTATATATCTGTTATTAAGATGTCGATATGCTTTCATTTATTATTCCACATGTCAACTAATTTCTTCAATTTTCTTGTCTTTACTTCTGTATAAATAAGGTGAATCGCTCCGTGCTCAAATGAGTAAGAGTCATCGAACACTAGTAATCGAACAAATTACATTTGATGGTTTAACAATTGTAAAAGCTTCATAGAGCTTTATCAATATGATACATATTACGTGATACTTTGAGAAGACGATAGTTTTGAAGCCACTGAATTATCATCTTGTCAATAAAAAATGTGTTAATTGGTTCCATCACTAGACAGGTTCGAATACCGGAAGCGCCATCCACTTGTAGATAATTCATAAGGGCGGCTGTATCTTTTATATACATCTCTGAAAAATCTATATTGCTTATAGCCACTATGTTCTGTCGCGGCAATACTTGTTAAACTTATGAATCGTGGATATGGAACAATATGACAGTTACTCTAACATTATATTTTTTCCGTCATAACCGCCGCTTTTTGTTATCTTGTATTCGTTTTTTTATTAAATTGATACAATGGAAAAAACCCACTTGGTTTTTTGTTGTCTTATGGCATTATGTAATTCATTATGGCTTGAATAATTACTCACGTTATCAGTGAAGTATTGTCCTCACATTTCATAATGTGACAAAATTGATTGACTTTTTCATCCTCTCATTTTTGTATGTGTATAAAAAAGTGAAGATAAAATGACAAATGTCCCTTTCCCTTTCAGCTATCAAGTATAACGTCTTTTGGCTTCGAGAGATATTCGAGAGATTAACTTATTTGCTTTATTTTTTTTCTATTTCTTCTCTTTGCTCCATTGGAATATTCCAAAGTCATCAATTATGAAACAATTATTTGTACTACTCTTAATTTTTTTCGTTTCCGAATTGGTAGTCATCAAACTCATAAATTACCACAAAAAAACTATTTCAATTTTCTTTATACCACAGAATCGAAACATTTATCTCATTCTCGAGTGGTGAGTCGGAAATATAAAGAAAACTGAATGCGTCCATTGAAGTACTTAGCAAATTACAATATTAGGAGAAATAATACGCGAAATTCCAGGAGATAAGTAGTTTTCACCCGATGAACAATTTTTCCCCTTGTAAAATGACATCATACACTGCGTGGCGTTGCTAAGACTCGCTAAATATTTCCGAACAAGCCTTCAAATTTGTTCAAAATGATAATCCAAAGAGTTGTATATGATTCTCAACTACTGTTAAATTACGTGCACGCCAAGGAAAAAAATGTTCCCCGTTGAAAACAGTTAATTTTGTTAATGTTATCAAAAACTATAAATAATATAAAAAAAGCTGCAGAAATTTAGTATGAGAAATCTCAATATTCAAATTTAACAAATTGAAAAACGTTGAGTCCGGTTGAAATTTTTTTTACATAAATCATATGTAAATTATCTGTCAGCTCGTGGAAAAATTTATCACAAATCCTGGTATATATTAACTGCAGTAAAGTAATTATCACCTCGTATATGTTATTTTAAAAATTCATTAGGCTCGAAGGCGAGTGTATTGTCTCTACACCAAAGGCACATAGATTTTTTTCAAGCTTCAGTAACTATTTCACCCCTATATTGTTGTGTGCTTGCTTGTCCTATGATTTCATTTGAAACATCACAAGTATGAATTTCGTTATTCAAAGAACATTTATCAAATTTTACTACAAATAAACGTCCAACGATAGAGGCACATGAATGAGTAATATTTGCTTTCTTTTCAATTATTCGAAACGAGTGAACCAACTATTTACACATTCATCACTTTCTACGTACGGAAATATTTCTTTCTATATATTTCTTCTATTTGTATATTTACACTCCAGTATGTAGATTATTTATTTGGAAATTAGGTGAGAGAAAAGCTCATGATAAATAAAAGAAATATTCACCATAATCGGTTTCCGTATTATTTTAACAGTTTATGCCTTCAAATTACCCTCATGTTGGAGGGAAAAATACTTTCAATGTCGTAAAAATACAAATATGAACAAGTTACATTCTGTCTTCATCATTGGAAGCAAATTTCTTTGAGCAATTAAAATTTTTTATTATTCTTCCGAACGAATGGGAGTCAAGAATGATTCTACGCAATTTGTAACAATCCGCTCAATGTCCATTCGTAATAATCATTCTTCAGTGTGAGCTACGATTGTGATGAAATTATATCAAGGTATTTTCTTATTATTTTCAGATGAAACTCAATTAGTCAATGCTCTTTATTCGCGACTTGACATTCAAATGTCATTAATAATTCATTCGTTCAAACTAAGTTCGTTTGAAAACGACGAAAGACGGACTAGTTGACGACAAAATAGATAATGAAGACACCGGCGATATCGCGAGCCTGCCAACTACTGCTTTTATTAATGCCGATTGAACTCATATTCCACTAGTCTCCCTTCTATCATTTCATGGGAGCGGCAAAATTAATGAGTAAATCTTCTTACGAAAAAAACCATTGCGGTGTAAAGCAAAATAAAACTGCCGCCTAATAATCATTATATTCCAAGGCATGACGCCAGGTATTAAGACAAGTTCCGCTTACGGAAGACCTTGAGGAATTTTATTTTATATCTGAGTATTAACCAATTGAACATTGAAATCCAGAAGATTCCCTTCAATTTCTCCACGTCAAAACTAGAAATTCTCGAAAAAAAGGTGAGGAGAATCTGAAAGTCTTTCTGGTTATCTAATCGCGGCGTTAAAAATATTGGTAGAATTTTCCACCAAGTGGACAATCTATTTTTACTGCTTCATTGGAGTAAGTTCACTGGCAGTTTTTTTTAAGTATTATGAATGACTTCAGAATTTTAGTATTAGTACAAGTGTAGTTATGAGACAGAGGAAAAAAATCTAACGCAGATCATGAGAGAATGATTTTTGGACTTTAAATTTTTCAGTTCACTAATTTATTTGGGAAATAATACCGAATTTTACTGAATGTCGCAAGATAACTAAATTATTGCATGAAGGAAAACGCAACAATTGATATAAAAACTGTATTTTCTAAGAAATAACACGTGGTTATTTTCTTATCGTTCTTACGTATTTATAAGTATGAGTAAATTTATACACGGTATGAATTTTCCGTGCAATAAAATCGTTCTGTGCATGATTTTTTCCTCAACCTTTTAAAGGAACTAGGTATCCATTTGTAAATTTCTCATAACTACACTCCACCCATAATAAAAATTCTTCAAAACTTAAGAATTGTGGTAGAAAAATGAATTGATCGACAAACATGAAGAAAATAATTGTTCCACTTGAGGAAAATTGCCTCATATTACTGATTATCAGATGATGAATTTAAGAGTAAAGAAATTGGAGGGAGTCAATTGGCATTGGTTGATTAGAACTCATCAAGCTGGAGATGATGGAAAGAAGACAGGCTAGCAAATTTAAATATAGTGTGGAGTGGCGGGATACCTTGCAAAAGCGCTGTGAATATGTTGAGAAAAGTCAGGAACATGTGAAGGGGCCCGCCAAGAAACAGGTACACGCATACTGAGCTCGACTGCGTAGTCATCTGGCTTCTCGTTGAAGTTGCAAATACCATTGCAATTATTGTTGTTGACAATAGCATTGTCATGGCCGGTGATAGTCGCCAGTTGACGAGGTTGATAATAATTATGTGCCTCATCAGTTGGTTTACTAACTGGATTATCGAGGTATGGTTTAAATAGAATAGCATCGTTCTTCGATGACTGTGCATTAACAGAAGGTGCTGGGGGTGTACGGACAGTACTTGTAACACGGTCAGTCTGTAGGGGGGATGGTGTGTTGAAGTGTTTCTCCTTTACTAGACAGAGTGGCGCCTCTTGAAGCGGTGGCTCGTGGCACGTGTCTTTTTTGCATTCAATATCCGCTGGATCGAGACAGATACGTTTTGGGGATGGAGTATCATAGCAGAGACTGAAAGTACAGACTGTGCGTTTTGATGGTGATGAATTAATTTCCAATCTATCTGGAGTAATAGTGTCAATCGGCTCTTTTGGAGAGTAGCAATAGAACTTTCCTTGAGACTCTGGATAGCAGAACCGCTTTAATTCGGACTCACATGATGTTAATGAAGATGTGTAATTTTCTGTACAACATGAAAATACGTAAGAATTCGGTGGACTGTCGGGATCCACCGAAATCAATGGATAATATCTCAATCTCTGGAAGGATGAGTCACAGCAGTAGACGGACGATGAAGGCTCTGAGATTATCGCATCATCATCGCGGCCAGTAGAGCAAGTTCTGAGGTCAACAGCAACAGAAGATTCCGGAAGTTCCTGGAGTGGTCCTAAACGTTGGCGGAGATCGCCACCGCGTAGTGCTATTTCACCCCTCAATTCTGTCTCTTGACTCAACCATTTTTGCACCTGCCTTCGATTTATACCGAATTTTCTAGCTGTAGCCCGTTGATTCCTAGCCAGAATGACATCTCTGTGGAAAGCATCCAACACTTCAAGTTTGAATCGAAGAGAGAATGATCGCCGACGAGATGAATCTCCACTGGGATTCTGATGACTTGGCGAATAATCCATTGGATCTACCTCACCATCTGAACAACTGCTAGTAGATCTGCTGCAAATGCTGGCTGCATCTTTAGGACTCATTGGATCGGAATAAGTTGACTCTCTCGCAGGACTTAATGTATCTGCACAGAGTCCATTACTGCTTCGTGAAAACCGCATCACTGGAGTATTGTACTTCGCCCCAACAGCTACATTGTACATGGATCTATCTGTATCTTCGGTGATTACCCGATTCTCCTCCGGATCCCCTACAATCTCTTTCGTTAGCACACACATGGACGACAACTCATTTTTCATTATTATCGTTTCGTCCTCTTCTTTTTTAATATACATTAACTTAGTATGGTGGTCTTTTTTATTGGAGTCAACAGGTTCATGGATTTGTGGCCCTGAGCTAGTAGTATGTCCTGAAGTTTTCAAGTGAATGTCTCCGACTTGAACGGCCTGCGTAGCGATTCTACGAACTGGCATGTATATGTGTTGGTTAACTGGATATGGAGGGTTTATGGTAGTAGGGGAAGTTGGTGGGCCGTCGGGCGACACTGGTGTCGCCAGAGAGTCTGGGCTAGCACGTTCCATCTTTATCGCTGGCGCAAGGGATTCATTTCCGGGCGAGTCCACATCTCTCCGATGAGAGTGAGACGATGACGATGAGCTCGATAGAATAGCTTGTGGTGATGATACATGACAGCAATTCTGATACACGCTCTTTTCGACAATTCGATTATTATGTTTAACAGGGCAATTATACGTGCCACTACCTGGGCTAGCTAGATGAGTTTGCTGATTGTGTGATTGATGATACAATTGGCTATCACTTATGCCACGATAATCGCACATTGATTGCTTGTATGTGTTTGAATGATTTACATTGTATTTACGATCAACTGGCGAGTTACTCCGGTCAATGCTATAGCTGTGACTGCTACTATTGTCAAAATGACCATGAGATAGCTGGTGTATATTGGAATTTGAATATTCGGTGTAGTCGATTGACAAAGTATGTGCGGGCAAAGAGTTTGGTGAAGTATGGTGTGTGTATTGAGCAGATGTGGGCGAGGTACGATGCGATGAAGGATGAGGTGGGGGGTCTTGTCGAGTAGTCAACTCGTCGCCGTGCAGTCTGGCGAGGCTGAGGTTCAAGGCCGATGCTGATGCCACCATTGCTGGTGCTCCTGCTGCTTTATCCGATGATTTTATCACTATTGGTGTTTCCGCTGTTTTTGACATTACTCTATTAATGACATTTATACCACTGCTATCAACACCAGAGACTGATGGAAAGCCTTTACTCTCAATCATCCCACTGCTATTGCCATTTCCATTTCCACTTCCATTACCATTCTCAGCACAACTGCTCCTCAAATTTTTCTCACACTGTAACCATTTTTGTATCTGTCTCCTGTGTATACCATATTTTCGTGCTGTTGCACGCTGATTTCCACGACATTCAATGTCACTACGATACGAATCTAACACTTTCAGCTTAAACGCTGCTGCGAATATGCGTCTACTACCCATAACACCAACAGTTTTTCTCGCTTGATTACTGTGATTTCGCATCAGTGAATTGTTATTCACTTTCTTCGCTGAACTATTATTATCACTCAACACTCCGCCAACACCGTGTGTCATGACTTGACGAACGAATACGATATATACGTGGATACTGGAAAGTTTTAATAATTCCACAATGTCTATTCCATACCACGAGATAATCTCTCTCATAAAACGAGGGAATTTAACGAAATGACGAATAATAGTGATACATGTGTCTCAAGCACGGTATATTTGCAATCACGTGACGTATGAAAAAGATGTTGGATTTGTGGCAAGGATGGCCATGAGCACAACGCACGGGGATACCTTAACGCGTAACATTGCACGGAATAGCCTGGCCGCACGATACACAAAGTTCCTTTTAGGTCTGGCTAGATGCCGTAACTAATTTTCATCCCCACTTATTTCTACCAGTAGACCCGTCAGTGTTATGGGCTGCTTCCCACTGAAGCGGTCGCTCTTGGCGTTTCCCTCCCCACCACCAACAACACCTCTTGCCCCTCCACCTTTTGCCACACACTTTTTCCATTCCCCTCAAAGCCTCTCTCGCTCTCTCTCTCTCGTCACCACCAGCTACTTCCCCTTACCTTTCAACCGTTTCAACACTCACCAACAAAACCATGTTACCTACACCAGTGTGAGTAATTATTGTTGAGACCTTCTCCTCTCCCTCGCCATTCCCCTCGTTCCCTTTGCCCCTCAGCGTCCCTATTCACTTATGGCACGCAGTGCCGCCACTGAGATTTCGACATTCACCAACACATGCACACATACATTGACAATGAGTACCAGTCATTTTTCTCTGTTGCACAGCCAACATAATTACCCCCTTCCCCTCGTGATAATATCTTTTTTTTTTATTCGTTTAGGGGACTGTTCTCGATATTTTTGACATTTTGTCTTATCAGGTGCATTGAATTAAGAGTCTAGGCAAGGATTAACTCTGTTTGGATGGTTGGTCTAGTTGGCATAGTGGAGATCGAGATAGAAGTGTGTGTGGTAAAGTGGAAAAGCCGCCATTTTGTAGGCTTACGCCGTTAATGACGCGCGCGGAAAACGTCACGCTGGCGTAACGACGCTCGGTGCTCGGTGCTTGGTGTTTGGTGCTCAGTGTTGGTGCCATGTTGTCTGGGGCTGTTGATCTACTCTGGCCACTCTAGCGGTTGCCGTCGTTCATTCGAATCGTTCCAACTCCCAGCCAGCGCGGAGCCACGAAGCCACCATTTTTACCTCCACTTCATATGTGCCATAAGAGCCTTCTCTTTCTCTCTCATTCCATCGACACTTTTTTTTTTTCTCGCCGTACCTCTCACTCCCTTACTCGTCATTCTTTTCCTTCATCATTTATGATTTCTTTACGTCTCATGACTCTATTTGATTTTTTTGTTACTTGTGTTTACGGCTCCACTCTGTCTGGGCTTATCCTCGCTTTAGGTTAAATGCGATATTTAATGAGATACTGCTAGGGCCGGAATAAATGTAGAAAATTTCAACTATAGTCGTTGTAATAATGTCAGTCTTATTGTTGTCACTCGTTATTGTAAATCTTAATATTTCAGTTCTATGAATTGTATGAATAGAGGCGTGTACCTGATCACATAAAGGGTCAAGATCTCAGGGTGGGGTAGAGGTTGAAGATACTATCATGCCTTGTATGGTTGTACAAACTTGTCGTTGGCCTGTAGTTCTTCAAAGATTTGACCTCCAGTTCATGGAAAAAATTCTAATAGCAGCTGGTAATAAGACAAGCTAGAGGGACCAGAAGAATCTCTCCTTGGTTAATTTGGAATGAGGTGGGCGGAGGAATCTGGCCATGGTTCACACCATGGGCTCCCAGGACTTGGGAGAAACCTGAAAATTATGAAGTGATCTTTGAAATATTTGCTTTTGGCAATATTTGTTGAATGTATTTTTCGCCCAAGCGCCACGAAATGGGATCATGTTGTTTTTGAGATGTGAGCTGAGAGTTGATATGCAACTACTGGCAACGTTGCCAAGTATACTGGCGTAGGCGAGCATTCGAGTTGGAAGACTGGCGTTTCTCGTGGCCGTGTGCACCCCCGGCACCCCCGGCACCACCAGTACACCACCAGTACATCACCAGTACACCAGTACCATCATACCAAGTACAACACCTTCACCAATACTACCAATCACTATTTTTTTTAGAAATTTACCAAATTCATAACCTGCCAGAAATCAAAATATTTCTCCATCGATACCAACATTTTTATTTTTTACTATCATTCGATATATTATTTAAATAATACAATAAAATAATATAGAACATAGGATCCTATTTTTTGAGATATTTAAGAATATATCTCATAATTGTTTTAATTATTGATCTTATTATTATCAGTATTATTATTATTTTTCAGTGTATATAAAAATGACTAACGTTTCTACGAACCAGTAGATTAACTAGTTCAACTAGTGCAAACACATACTTTCATCGGGTTCCTGCAACATAATATTTATTCGAAGGGAAAATCAAATCGTAATCATGTCGTTATTATTATGATGTCATATCAATTTGCATTTCGATACGTGGATTTTCTTCATAAATACGTGATAATGGCAATTGAGAGATGAGATGAGTAAACAATTTTTTCCCATTTTTATAATCTTCTCAAAGGTATTATTTCATTGAGTGCTTCGAGGTAGTATTAATAGAGTTATGGATAATTTGATGACACCTAAGATTAACCTCCTAAATTGGTGGTTACCTACGACCTCGGCACCTGCTCGCCTTAAACCTTCTTTCCTTGAATATATAACAGCAGATCGGAGGCTTACCAAGACTCATCGTTGTGGAAACCTGTAGTGGAATTATCTGGGATCATACATCAACTGAGGAGGAAAGGGTGGCGCTTTCGATCACGCCATCCAAATCTTCATTTCATACATGTGTGCCTCCATGTATGTAACCCTATCCTTCCTCTCTTCCAAGAAGTGACTCGAAGGAATGGCATTCCATAAGTCTGACTCAATAGAGAGACTCGTGTTCAAGTATTACATGCGTTCTCTAGGCGATACGACTCTATGCGTCTTTATTCAATTCTATAATTATCAGTCTCATAAAATATTAACCCTTTGCTTATTTTTCTACATCAATAAGCATTATTTTGATGAACAAGTGTATAGAGACAGTAGTGCTACCTAAAGTACCCGGAAAACCATGAAATACTAAACAGTGTAATATTATAACGTACTTGTTCTTTCTTTTTCTTTCTTAATCGAATTGATAACCGATTGTCTTTAAGTTAATCGTCACTCTTTTATCTTATGACTCAGTCCCCTGCTCCTATTGATTTAATAAATTTATTTGATGATATAGAATCGAAGTGGGAACCTAGATGCAAGTGAAATTTTCGGATAAATAAGAAATGATAATGAATTGAGTGTCTGTTGCCAAAAATTCGAGAGCGTGTCGTAGCTTTGTTTTATAATCAGTTCTTCTGGAGAATTAGGGAATTAGGAGATTGATTACGTATGAATGTACGTCTTCCCGGCATAAAAATACTAAGAAGGGATTTTTTATGAATGTAAGCAATGCGTTGATTATTTAAAATAGTCGATTTGTAATATTTTATTGTAACGCGTGGTGATTTTCGAATATATTAGAGAGTCACGTAGGTTGATTCCATGGCAAGTATTCGTCGCCACACTGGCTGGCATGCTGAAATTTGTCCTTGGATCGGAGTTAGGCGCGCTCACAAATAGAAATTAGTGGACAGCGACGTATACTAGTGCACAAGTGAGAAAAAGATACGGATACCATTTGAAAATGTGCAGTGTGGCAACGCAGCAAAATACATAGAGAGCTACAAGTTCCCCTCCTTTGTCTGACGGCCGGTTTCGCCAGACAGGGTGTCGCCAGTTCGGACGGCTCGGACGGCTCAACGGTTTAAATCGTGGGAGCAGTCAGGGAAGGCAACGGAGGGCCGGAGAGGGAAGGGGGGGGGGGAGGGGGCACCCTGTAAGTGGTGGATGGTACATAAGTTGTAACAGGGGACAGATATATAAGAGGGGGAGGAGAGGACGAGAGTGGTGTGTCCTTTCCAGGCAAACGCCAAAGCTTTACAACTGTGAAATGAAAAGGCGAGAAAAGGTAGAAAAACTTGAGGAGACGAGGAAGTCAGAGCCTGAGAGGTACCAGTTACAATGAATGACTCACGCTGAAGATCGGGTTTACTGGTTAGACATATACTGTAATAATCGATTGGCTGTATTGGCATTACAAGATGAAGAAGGCCATTCATATCACATGTGGCAGACATGTGATGGCGAAGAGTAATAGGAATCGGTCGAAGACCTACATTCACGTGGGTAGCCTGAATTTTTGGATAAGTTGGAGAATGTGGCCCGTGGGGGGACGATCACCACCTACGGGATGGCCCTTTGCTTGTTCACTCCTATACCACTTTATACTTCTTTTCTTGCACCCTGGCTGGCTCTGATCCGGTTTAACATCGTTATGGACTTTTTCTTTTCTCTCTTTTTAATGCTCCCCTAGTTGCTCACCTCCCTCTCTTTTCATTTTGCTTGGCGCCCCAAATGGTCGTGTAACCAGAGACGCGCCTCTCTGGCCTGGTGCACACCAGACTCCACGGCGCCCAAATCATGGACGTACGTAGGCGCGGGTTTCACCCTCTATGTTGTCGTGTATTCAGTTCTTTTTTTTTTTTTCTATGCATTTTTTCCTTCTGGCTTTGAAACCTTCTTTTTTTAGTCAAGTGATTCTCTGCAAATTTGGTGCACATCTGTTGCGGAGTTGTAAACTAGGATAAGTTGGTTTTTTAGAACAGGTTTTGATAAATATCTTGGAATTGAAGGAAGATAGTGGAATTTTACAGTAACATTTTTTGTTGTTCTCAGATTGTATGTGCAAAAATATTGATATCTTCAGTTCTGAGATTATAGCTAAAAACTGGGCTAGCAAAGATACTCTTATCCTAGTTTACCACTTTGTTGCAGATATAATATTTTTATTTTTTAATTTTCCAAATGAATGGCGGGAGTTCAGGGTTTATCAGTGATGGAATTCTCACTTCATGATGGCCAAAATTAATTTCATCTTGAAGAGAATGATTCGTGGCGTTCTAAACACCATATGATTTTTCATTTATTCACTTATTTTACTCTTTTGGGTGAAATTCTATTTTTATCGTGGATTTTACCTGATAGATCATGGGCATTCGATCAATCACTAGTATTCATTCTCGTTTTCCTCGATCTCTTTAAGCATTTTTCTTATTCCTCAGTGTCTGTGGTCTATGTCTGTCAAACTTGGACCCTTTCAATTTCAGTGATCGAATCCATAAAAATCACGATTTTCGGTTGCACTAAATTCGATTGAAGCCCATGTGGATGTCATGAATTATCTGTGGGAGTATCACAAGAGTGATACCAACTTTCAGAGTTAGGCTGTTTGACTCCAAGCATGCACGCCAATACAGCCTACTCATGTAGCTAGTATTTTTTTATGCAGTATTATAACTCATGTTGTTTTCTCTTCCATGAGGAGAAAGATGTAGGTTCGTTCATCTACAGATGTGCTCCCGATGAGGTTGATGGAAATTCATGTCCTATTGTGCCATTTTGATCTAATGTGACTCCGACGTGTTTTTTTTTTCAAGTCCCCGACGTCTTTAAATAAGGAGAGAAAATATATTAACTGAAGAATTTTTAATTATCAACGATTCATTAACGCTCACGACCTTCTATTTTACGATGACCACCTTCAAATTTTTATAAATTATAAAATAGTTTCTATTGCTGTGTAGGGCCTACTTAGTCTGAGAACCTACTACTAAGAACTGAGTCATTGACAGTATTAATAATTAGTAATAATAATTGTGTAAAGAGGCGTATAGAATGTCGTTTATCTTCGCTTTTCAATAATAAATTCCTTTATCTCGATTTATATAATTTGATAAAAAGGGTGTCCACTGGAATGACATATCTTGCTCATAACTTTGACAATTCCGTACCGTACCACTTCTTGCTGCGATCTAACGGCAAACATTGTTAGCACACAAAGAGCGCGAAGTTTCAAATTAGGAACATGTCGCAACAAATCCTTTTAATTAATTAAGGTAAAGCTTGATTTTCCTGACATAAATTGACTTAGTTTACACAAGCATTGAGATGTTTATAATTCCTCTCCTTTAATTATTGAAGAGAGAGAATCAAATGATTTTGTTAAATAACTAATTTACCGGATATAGGTATTACGATGACTAGAATTGTGTCGACTGAAAAATGGATTTTTGTGAACACTTTTTTAAAATCAGTTTAGATATTTTGTTATGGAAAAATTAGAAGTTGTTCTTTAGTAAAAAAAAAGTGTCATAATCGTTGAGCCGAAGAATGCGACTGTTCGTACTTATGTAACTGTTCAGGAGGACAGGGTACGCGTATAGGATGGTAGATGACAGTACCCTTTTCTCTTACAAATATCCGCGCCAATTACGAACGATCCTAGGATGGTAAAAAAAAATACGCGTACCATCGGAGAGTCACATAACCGACAGCCATATAGTTACCAGATGTCATTATATATATCTGTATCCAAGATTATTCGGTAGATGGAAATATTCCGGGTTCGTGGCGGGTTTTTGTCTACTGGTATTTGTTCGGGAGTGTAAAACGAGGAGATATTCCCTAAAATTGAAAAATTTCGAATTTTTGGAAAAATATTAGGGGAGCATGACAATTGAGGAGGTATTCACTGAAATGTTTTCCCTACTCAGAATTTCCGAGTTTTCCCGAGAATTTTCACGATGGAAGATATCCATCTAGCCCTAATGAAAAAAAATTCTATTTTCATCTCTCAATTAAATTCAATCTTTTTTTGGACTAATATCGATATAAATACAGTATTTTCTTTTCTTACACAAATAATTATTTTATTAAAATGGTATATTATATTATATGTATATATAGCTTAGCTATGGACCGAAAAAAGCTGACAAAAAACGTTAACTGTTTTTTTTAAAAGGGAACAATAAGTATACTAATGAGTCCAATGTAATGCGATCATCCACTTATTATTCATTAACAAGTCTTAGGCATTTTTTACATAAAAAAACAATTATCAATTACGAAACATTATTCCTTTAATCATGATGACTTATATACAATATCTACAGTGGGTTTGAAGTGCTAAAAAATCTATTCTACATTTTTGGGAATGCTATTTACAATTAATAATGACTAGGAATAGCCTCCAACTTATTAACAATGGTTTATTTTCAGTTAGCTGTTACTTCTTCGGCTCTCCAATCCCTGTATTCCCCTATCGCTAAATTACTAAGAAATTACCAACGTGCCGCACTGTTTCTCCAAACTCAACTCTCGGGTAACTGAGAGCCAGTCAATAAAATCAAACATAGATCATGATAAATTTACACCGACCAACGAGAGATGTCTTGGCAGTGATTGGTACGTGGATCGACTAGTTTAAACACTCGGTAACATTGTCGAAATTATTTCATTCAACAATAATACATAAGGAAAAACAAAAAAATTAAAAACAAAACGAATTTTAAAAAAAACCCTTCCGTTCATGAAGAACAAAAAAGAGAAACCATTGAACCTATAATTATCAGCTGCCACCGAAGGGCACGAACTTTACTATTTATTAGATTATTAAGTACGAACTTAGTATTTAAGTACACACGAGGAATTTATGTACAAATTTTTCCCAAGTGGACTATTAAGGCACATGAATTCACAGTTAATTCTGATTATCTTATCTACATGGTCCCTATGGAGGATGCTTGGAATCTGCAGCACAGGAGCATCCAAATTCCCTTCAATTAATGAAGAAGAAAAAAAACAATTATTCACTTCCTGGGCTTGAAATTGAATTGAGAATTTTTCCCTCCAGATATTTCCTAAGCAACAGCAAGATTGAGGCTAATTCCAGTGGGTCTCGTGAATGCTGAAGCCCTCGTTGGATCAGAAAAATCTAGAGCCGATGATTTACCAACCGGCAGACGTCCAGGCACATGCTCTGGATTCGATGATATCACTGACGTTCTGATAACCATTCGCGTCATGAGATCCGATTGTTTATCTTCCTGAATCTCCCGATACTGTCGTTTAGGTTGAGGCGATGGTATTGTGATCGGTTGGCTCGTTTTCGTGTGTCGAATTATGTTCGAAAATATCACGGGTGATGAAGAAGTCTCGATTACTGCTGGTCGGGGGACAATAACACTGATTGGTGATGATGTTGGTGCTGTCGGTGTGACTATTTTTGCCTCTTCTTTGGTCTCCGAAATTGAGCGGTGGGATCGCATGCAGGACGATTCCTCGTGTTTGTAGAGGTAGGACTTCAGGGCAAAAGCTTTTCCACATCTTCCACAAACGTGGGGCTTCGTGTTGGAGTGCGTTTGAACGTGCGCACGGAGATTTGATTTGTCGGCAAAGGCTTTGTTACAGATTGTGCATTTGAAGGGCTTCTCACCTAAATAAACAAAATGCCCCATGATTAATATTTGCTCAACGGGAATGAGAAGGAGAGATCGAGAAGATACTAAATCCCTATCACGAATTAATTGAAATTGCAGAGTTGCCTTCAATTTTCCATTGAAGCAAAAAAAAAAAAAATGGAAAAATGAAGCTCTTTTGACAAATTGTACGGAGTTGATGAATTATATTAATAATTACCTGTGTGTGTTCTAATGTGTCCCTGCAGCAGCCAGGGCCTCGAGAAGCATTTACCACAGTAATGACACTTGCATCCCTGATTGTGAGTCCTCACGTGCATACTGTACGCAGGCATACTGACATAAACTTTGTCACAATGGGGACACCTTCTCGCCTTTTTGTCTCCTAAAGAGCGATGCGTCTGTCTATGCCTCGCAAGGTTCGACGAGGTTGAATATTTCTTTCCACAATCAGGACATTCATGATCCTCAGTGTCATCGGTTTTAGATGAGTCCGATTGTACCGAAGAGATTCTACGAACTGGTGGATTCTGGGATTGACTGTGCAATAATCTCCTCGATTCTTCGGACAACTGTGGGGATCTCAAACAAGTTCGTCGACTTCTAGCTTCCAATAACTCTCTCTCGCTCTCAATTCTCTCGAAAAATAATCGCGTTCGTTCTCTGAGGCTCAAATCGGAGGCCTCACTAATGTGAATTCCCTGACGTAGGCTCGCTGTTTCCTTAGAGATGTCCCTGTATTTTTCTAAATCCTTCATGTCACCCGTCCAACGTGGTGATGCTGAACGATGGTGAATAACGCTGCTTGGATGAATTAAGGTACCAGCAGCCGCTGCCAAACTCACTTCTGCCAATTTTGTCAAATTGTAGAGCTCCTCGGGACATTCTGATGACGTCTCACTGGCGCAATCGCTCACACCGTCCGACGTTGGTTGATTGGAATTGTACTCTGGGATTCTCACACCACGTTCAGGACTAAAACCTGCAAATCAAATACAAATAAATAACATTTTTTCCCAACTAAACATTTATTCACCGACTCGAGTTGATAAACACTTCTCGAGAAGAACAAAAATAGCGCGCAACTCTCAGTGTTCTTCAACGATCTGACGCATCAGTCTAGAAATTTATGAAATTAAGAAGAAATTGAAGATACCTCTGATATTCTCCTCAAACTCCTCTGGTCCGTTATACCTCCTGTGAGTGATCAAGAAAGCTCGTGGCATTTCTATATTTAATTGAATTAATCAACAGCACATAACACTTGACACCACACAGCACAAAATAAATTTCTTGATTTTTTTTTTAAATTTTTGAGTTTGAAATAAAAATTCTTATATATTTTATTTTATTTTATTTGGGAGTTAGTGGATAAGGTTGGAGTAACAAATGAAGGCACGGAGACGACAGGGTAGTTAACGTCTTGGAAGTTTAGGAGGTAATAGTTGGTCCGGGTATGATTCGGGGCTACATATAGCCGGAGCCAGCCTCCCTCGTGCCTCATCCCCCACCATTATTCAGCTGCTGCTCTACCGTTGCTACCGCTCCACCGTTGCTCTATCCCTGTCGTCGGCACACACCACGCGCCCCAGCATGTGCCACTGACTACACCACTCACTATTCCCCTCTATCACTACTCACCCTCTCTCCTACATTTGTGTTTTCTTCAAAACGTGTGTGTTTCACGTTTTTCAATCGTTTTGGACTGCCACCACGAAGATTGCCTACCAGTGGCATGTGTCCACCCCCAATCTCATGTATTCCTTCATCGTGGCTCCCCTGGAGCACAAAGGACAGCTGGATCGACCCCACTCGATCTCTCATAATGTGTACACTCTTTTTTTTTTTCACTATTCCCGTCAAATTTCCACACCAATAGCTCATGCTAATTTTTTTTAGTCGAGACATATCTTAACGGAGGAAATTTATCTGCAAGCGCTCACATCAATCATCTGTGGGAGCTTGATATCATTTATGATAGAGCTTTACTATTTACTTTACTCATTCTCTATGAAGCCATGTTGTTAAACCGTACGGTGATAACTATAAAATTCACCTGAAGTTACTGTACAATTATATCAAAATATTCCAATACAAACATAAAACATTTAAATTTATGAGAAAAATGTTTTTTTCATCTTGCCGTTTTAAATACTAACAACATTATGCTAAATCGCGGATTGAAAGTAATCATCCAATTTTCAGGATATTTCCGCTGTACTGTAATCACAGAAATTTTTTATAAAAACTGATTCCAAGCATCACAAATAATGGCCGTCAGCTCAACGCTTTCAACTACTTCTTCTTCTTGTCGTTGCAGGAAAGATATTTCCACTGAATTTGTCATTGAAAAAAAGTGATTTGTCGAAATGTGGGAGGTGGTCTATTTGATTTTTGCATGCTTCTTCGGGAGTTTTAGAAAAAAAATTGAAATAGTTGGGTTGAAGTTGTGTTAAATGCATTGGTGAGAAGTGGATTATGGTAGTAGGATCTTTTGGTGGTCGATTGAATGAATGCCACGCGGGTTAGTCAGCATCTACGGTGCTAAATTGGGCAATGGTTTGGCTTGATGCCAGAAGAAACCACCCAGCGCACCAACCTGTGGTGTCTTGGACTTCTATCGAACCGTTAAAACGTATGCGGGAATCTTTAAACTTGATGCTCAAAAGGTTTTCCTGTGTTTGTCTAATAAATGTCGTTTTAATCATTTCATACTACCGGCAGGTTCAATCGTCATGAGTACTCGGTACCTTCACCAAGTGAGTCAAAGCCTCTCAAAGTTTCCACTGGTGTCATCAGCTAAATACCGGAGATAGAGCCTAGGTGCTATTAGAACAGGTGTCCAACGCGTATCGACGTCGTTTGCCAAAAATAAAAGAGCAACTTGCTTTTGACGCAAGTCGAAACGTCGAGACTTCCTGTACCAGAACATTGGATAATTATTTATACCATCAACCGAAGAGCGACTGTAGATACTTACTAATGGGACTTTTAGGTTTCTTTAGCTTATCTTCATTTAGCTCTGCAGATGGGAAGAAAAGTTTTTTCAAGCATTAAAAAATCTCAGGACTTCCTGGCATGAGTGATTGCTTCCAAAGATACCAATCTTTAGTCGCGTGTCGAGGCACGTGGGGGGAGGGAAAAAATATCCGGAAATACAGGGTTTTCACCTCTAAATGTTCCCTCCGCCTCCCGGAAACGTATAGAATATTATCTCGGGGAGATGAGGTAGTCGTATTTAAATGAGTGATATTTGGGTGGTAGGCAAACACGGTTGGTAAGTGTTGGAAATGGAATTCGTGACTCGGCATGGGGTTGCCGTGGTTATTTTCAGCGTCTCTCGTTGCAGCTGTCGCGTGCCTACCACACGGTTAAACCACCGACAATTGACCGCCGTACAACGACCCATCAAGTACAACCGATGTCTTTGATTTTTAATCTTCCATTGTTTTTAATGGGGAATTTTGATGATCATTGGGTGTGAGGGCTCTGGGGATTTAGCAGAGACAGATACCCGGCGATTTCCACTTGAGTAAAACCCTTCGGTGGAGAAAATGACGTCGAGCATGTCCACTGGAACAAAAAGGATATGCACTGAGACACTATGAAAAACGAGTCAAATGTCTGCTCGCATTTTGGCTAACTGCCATTTCAAAATTTTCAGACGTTTGCGTGTCACATTGCTGACTGTCTTCTACTGGTTCCCAACTACTCGTTCTACTCCACCCGGTCACTAAATTATGGCAACTCCCGTTTCTGAGAGTTAAGACTTTTCACTTTATGAGATTCCATTGGAAGAATGAGTAATTAATTATTGGGTGTTTATCGTTCGGTCATCGACCCATTGGGATAATTTCTTTGTCCTTTTTTTTTTTAGGCACATTCAACCCTCGGTAATTGGAGAAGATCTTGAAAAAAATCCCTGTTGAAGGACGACCCTCGATTTAGGTTCAAACCCTTGAAGTCACTGGGGGAGCGTTCACTACAAAAAAATCTTAAAATTATGAGTTAAATATGAACTATTGGAGGCTTTTACTCTATTTGGTAAGTCAGTTTTTATTGAATTTCTGAGTTACCTCCAGTTAATTTCCGAGATTTTAATAAATAGCAGGGGTTTGAGAGCGAGATATTAACAGGGATTTCTGCTAACAATTGTCTGAAATAAATAAGAATAATGCGGGGAACCTTGTCTCTTAATATTGGGGGAGGAATTCGGTTGGCTGAGGTCAGTGTGTGTGTCTGCGATGATTGGAAGGCTGAAAGGCAGTTGGATTGTGCGAGGGGAAGGCCTGCTTGACGACAATGCAGTGCCTTTGGTTTCTTCGCAGGTGGTGGGTGCGGGTGTGCGCCCACTGTCAAGGGGTTACAAAAGACCCCAGCCGATCAGCTGGCAGGGGAGATAAAAACCGGGGTATCCTGTCTAGTTGTACGGCTAGGATGCCTTGTCCTTCGAGAATCATTCAGAGTCATATGATGCTACTATTTCATTGATGATAAAAACCGATATTTTCCACTCCAGCATGATCTGTTATTTCCAGAACTTTTCAAAGTGGTGAAACTGTATCGAACCCATTATTTGAACCGCTACAATATCCTATGATAAAACGCGATGTTATGAAACGGGTAAATTTTTTACTATTGTTATTCCCAAAACGCATCTCGATGTTGTGTAATTTCGAGAATTTAATTCATTTATGAAATCAATTATGATTGTACACCTTCTACATTCTTATTAATCTCTTTTGTACACGTCTTTTGAAGAATGTATTATTTGCAAATTTAATAATCGGGAGGAAATTTACACATTTTTACTGTATTTTTCCTTTTTTTTAAACTACATATGTGTTTAATAAATTGTATACGCGTTTTTTACGCGTGATGAAATATAGAGAAAGCAATCGTTTCCTCTTTAAAAATTGAACAAATTTTTTAGCAAAAGGTAAAAAGTGCTAACTATAGCTCATCATCAATTTAACGATAACTGTAGTAATTACTACAATAAATTTTTGAATGCTTTCTGGAAGAATCTGAAAAGATTAATTTCGAATAACCAGGGGTATCGGTTTCTGGTGGAACTTATCCCCGTTTGGTTTTAGGGATGCAATATGGAAATGAATTATTGAGTGTGGAGGGATTTTATGACATGTAGAAAAGTCATAAATGGGAGAATTAATCACTAGGAATGTCGCATCCCTCTTCCTTGAGACTCGTCTTGAGGGAAACAGGATGGCGAGGAAGGGCAAAGCCTTATGGACCAGGAAAGGTGCAGAAAGAGGCTGCGGCGAGGGTTGGAAGAGGGGGTTGTGCTAGAGAATGGACTGGAATGGAGTACTGTGGGGTTGCAGACACCAAGTCACCACTGGCAACTGGCACGCGACCGACACGCGCCCTTCTTCCGACTTCCCCTCCAACAGCCCTCACCCGTCCTCATCACATCGTCTTCCTCTTTCTCCGGCGCACCCAATGAAACGGATGTAAAACCACATGCGGGAACATGACATTGCGGGGCATGTGCCTTCTTCTGATTACCAAAGGGAAATTGTCACAGGGTATACGTACCTAGCCGGAAAGGCTTGAGTACAGAAAATCTTCAAGAACCCTTATCGTACGCCTTATCGAATTGCCTCCGGATGTCATCAACAAGTGCACACGTCGCCCCATCCTCTTTAGAATCTTTTCGAGGCCCCGAAAAAAAATATTTAATCAAAATTATGGATTGAATTCATTAATCGATTGCGTAAGTCACTCTGAAAATTTAAGCGGGGATCATTTAACTATTTATATTCTTCAATTGAAATTTTTTTGGCTCAAATTTGGGAATTGCTCTGTTTAATTTTCATGGAACATTTTTTTTACGTGCGACATTTTGATTACGAGTCTGTAATGTCATGGAACTGTCAAGGTCAAAACGTGATCTTCTCGATGGGAGAATACCGATAAATTTAATCAATAAAATTAGTTAAATTTTTGGCTGGGCACCAGATAATAGGACATGAGGTCAGTTATCATCGATTACTCAACAATTATATGAGCCTGTACTGTTACATTTAATCTTAATTAATTTAATCTTAATTTTTTCTAAATGTCGTGATGTCATGAATTTATCAAGATAATTCTGGGAGATTATCAAATCCAAAGATTACAAAAAAAATGTATTGGAGCATAACAGGTTGTCCCTTCTCATCTCAGCACGAAGCTTCCTTATCTTTTCAATGACATAATTTGTAAACAGAATCTTCTGGACTGCAAAGTGAAAAGAAAATGAATCAATGAGTATTCTGTTGAGAGAACAAAGAGACTGAAAGTTGCTGGGAAACATTGAATCTATGTATAGCCCAAGCGAGGTAGGAGATTCATTGGAGATCCAGACGAACAAGAAGCGGAGTAATGCCTCTGTGAAGCGCAATCAATGTTCCTCAGCAATAGATCTGCGTAAATTTATTTTCACCGTAAAAGTTTCACCCTCAATCATATTGATGTGAAATGTCTCCAACGGGTCATTGTTGAGATTGGAGTGATCATTTAGTTGGAGAATCCATAAATAAACCATTGAAGAAATCCAACATTGGATGATGATTACGTCAAACGGTATTGGCAGTGAGCCTTGATGTGTCCCTAAATCGTTAACCCGCATACTGATCATGTGTATAACGAAACTCATTCTTATTTTCTTGGTTGGCAATTGGGAGTGAAACTTTTGGCAATGAGCTCTGATTCCTCAACAGCCCATTGGTCATGTCTTTGCATAGACCGCTGTACAGTGTACACCCATCGGAGGAAGCAAACTCTAATTATAGAAGGTTTGAGGATGAAGGTGGAAAGTGAGATGGGGCAGAGTGAGGGTGTATGTGCGGGTGTACCCAATGGAGAATCGGTTGCATTGGGCGCTCGTAAAATGCAGCCTGCATCCGCTCTTGGCGCAGATGTCCCACCACATACAAGCTTTTTAGGGACCGCTCTTCGTGTCCCGGGAATTTCGTCCGGTTCTTCCCCATAGACTCCTTCAACACCAGACACATCTACCTGGGACGATGAACCCCTATTTACGGCCTACTATTCCCTCAAGGTTATTGAACTTTTTCATTAACCTGATTAAAGCCATTCAAAAAACAGTCACAAAAACAAGTGGCACATTGTTGAAAAATTACACTTGAAAAATATCAGGATTCTTCATTGATCGATCGTTTAATTTCTTGAATATTCTACGACTTCCCACGATAAATGAGAAATTTCAATTGCGACTGAAATTTTGGGAAATTTTCAACATGTACTAGGCGTACGGTACAACTTTTTGCCAATAAATTAGTAATGGACTTGTGAATTTTTAAATCTACAGTTTTCCTGAAATATTTTCAATTGTTAAATATTCGATAAATAACTCAGTTGACTATAATGTGGGTATTTAATTTTGGCTACCTCCTATTGATAAAACGTCGTGAGAATTTTTCCGTAGACTTAATCTAAATCACTAAAAATTCTTTGATATTTTGTTCCGAGATATTCTTAAAATAATTCGTGTGGAATTTTCCGCACATCTCCTGTCTTTCACCACTTCCCCCCAGAATTAATAACAACTCGTCAAGGAATTAACCTAAATTAAGAATAGATCGGATGGCTTCCTTGAATGAAAAATAAAACAAAGTGATTTTCGTCTACCGATTGAAAAAAAAAAATTGTTCAAGTGAGTGGAAGAAAGCAAACTGCGCTAATTTTAGATGTTCAGGGTCTGGATACTGAGGCAGCTGGTGATTTGCGTTCGCACGTGGTGCTCTGTCGTGCCGTGTGTCCAGCCCGTCCAGCCGCCTGGACACCCCTTCGTCCAGCACCCGGGGGGTTTCACCATCTCGAAAAAAAAATCCATGACAAATCACAACTACATGAATACCACCAAAACTCATAAATCAGTTACCATAACACAGAGACTTCTGCTCCGGATGTTTTAAGGTTTTCGAGTAGAGACAATCTCTCTGTATATACCCTTCCAGACGATCCCTCTGGTTCCGCTGGAGAAGACACCTCATCCGGATACGATGTTTGAACCAGCACACGCTGGAGTCCAAGAGAGAGCAAACGTGTGGGTGCAGTCTAGTATAAATAGACAACGGTGGTTGTAGTTAGCCTTGAGAAATCTGTTGTTCTTCACTCGAGGAAAACTTCCTCGTTTCATTCAGACCTCCATCAATCTCGCAAATAGCCACCGTGCATTTATTGACAATACGATTAAAACCACTCCTCTAAACTGACGAGAAACTCCCAAGTCCCTACACCCGAAAATTCAATGAAATTACAAACATTTATGCTTCACATTCCCATCGCCGGGAAAACTGGCCAAGTCAACATGTGTCAATGACCCAAGAAGAAAAAAAACTAAAACGTTCTTTTTTTTTCTCACTGAAACACTTGTCCCAAGCTCGAATTTCTGGAAGCCTCCCGGACAACCTGTCACAGTGGGTCTACGAGAAAACTCCTGAAACGCGAAAAGTGAAAACATATGATGAAGATCTGGGGCCCTTTGGCCCTCCCAGGAGCAAAATAATAAGTGGGAGAATCGTTGGGACCAACAGCATCGATTTTTCTCAAGGCTTAATATGGGATCACCATTTCATCCAAACGAGGGCTTCCAGATTATAAAAAAGACCAACGGGCTGTTTACACCTCCTCGACGAGGGACAATACCCTTTGGTAAATACACTCGAGGCAACATCTCAGTGGGAGAAGTTTTGAGATCTGTCTTCAAAAGTATTGAATTCCCGATGACAACAGTACCTCAGTAAACAAAATTATCACCCCCAAACAGATAATCTATTGGAAAATTTGTTCTTAAATTTTTTCATTAACATTTCTTGACAATTTTGACTCCAACATTCATGTGGACTTTATTTAACATTTCGCCCCCCGTCTCTTATTACATTTATTTTCACCTCAAAGAAACTTAGAGACGTCACCTGCTTCAGTATATTGCTAAACCCATTGAAGAAATCTGATACTGAATTTTACGATTGCGTTTGTGGGCGAAAATGAAAAAAAAGAACTGAAGAACGATGAAAGAAAAAATAACAAGCAAACGACAGAAGTATGCAAGATATATTATATATTAAGTCATATGCGAATCTGTTTTTTTTTTTCATCTGCGCCAGCGGTTAAATATCGTTACAGGTAGAATCGCACAAAATGTGAACTATGCCAATTTCTTCCAAACAATCATGCCCACGATATAAAGATTAAGAAAAATTGCTGTATTACGAAAAATTAGTACGAATCGATGTATTTTGATTGACCTATATAAAAACCTGAGTCTACAATTGGTTTGCAAGCTGCTGAGGCATTTAAGACAGACGATATTTAAATAAATCCGAAGGTTAATTAATCCTTGTATCTCATTCATTACTAGACTGGTACTTAAATTTAAAGTTGTTATCAGCAAAATTCATTGTATATATGAGGAATTCTGTAAAAATTGAGCCTTCAAAAACGAAATCATGTCTCAAAAATATAAATTCTCAAGTTTCTATGAGATTTTACGTAATTTCCAATAGAAATAATGAATATTATCTTCTCATATTTAAAATGTAATAAATACAATGCTTTCGTTGGGAAGCAAAAACGAGTGAGCAAAAAAGTTGGGTTGACGAGGGCACGTGCCCCCAGAGCGTTTATCCGGCGGAACGCACGTATATACATAACGGAGAGGAAGTAAAGACCAAAGCGAATGGAAAGAGAGCGACACCGTCATGGTTTAAAGGACAGATGTCTGGAGACTTGTTCCCTTTTTGTTTAAAACAGCCTCCATCACTTTTTTTCCTCTCCCTTCACACAAATTCTTCAGCAGGAAAAGAATAAAGTCGAAAAAAAAAAATCATAATTTGACATCAACATTTATTTTCCTCATTGAATAATAATTGACGCTGATTACACTTATACTAAAAGTCCTTTGATTCATCATAAATTCCTTGATCAAAAATTTATCTAATCAGTCCCGTGATTATAATCAGAACCAGAGTCTCAACAGTGATACGATTCTTGCCATGATATACTCTCAGTGATTACAAAAGAAAGACTTGTAAATGCTCTATTTCTACATAATAATCGACGAAAAAAAAATTAAAAAAGAGAAAAAAACGTGATTAATCGTCACAAATCAACTAACAATCAGCTTTTGAACTTGACGCTTGCGCTCGGACAGCTTTGACCGCAGCTTCAAGCCCCGTGACTGCTGACAACACTTGAAAGAGGCTCTCCATGAGCCTGTCAAAAATCTCCATCGTCTCGGTATCACTTTTTGTTACTACAAACAGATCAGAGCGATCTTGTCCAAGGTATTTACAATACATATTGACAGCTGTTGTAACATCGTCATCGTCATGGAAGGGATCCCCTGGCCATTGGGCTCGATGCAGCCTGACTGCTTCGAGGGCTGCAGACCACCGAGCAGATCTCAAGAGCTCAGCCACCCGGATGACTTCTTCAATGGAGCCAGCAACAGGTAAAGGACTCGGTGAGGGGGTTGGAGTGGGTGTTCCTCGTTCACTCTCAGTACTCTCTTCCAGAGCTCTACACAATGCAGTCTTCATCATAGAAATCTCAGGGGACATGTCGTGCAACTGCACAGATATATTCTTCGATGCTTTTAACAATGCAAATAGCATCTTGTTGGCAGCCTCGATGAGAAGCAACAGTTGGAAATGAAGCTTGTAAAATGATCGCCCTAGTCCGAGGAGCATATCCTCTGGTACACTGTCCGGATGGACCTCTCCCAGAACCTGGAGTTTATTCGTTGCTTTGACAGCTTCTAAACACTCAGTTGCGTGATCCTTTTTATCTAAGAATGTCTCCAAGTGCTCCTGAATCTCGAGCATGCCAAATCGGAGGGTTTCGTGTAATCTCTGATGGGAAAAAACGACAGTGGAAAACCAGACTAATGGTGGTTCTGCTTTTGAACTGAGTAATTCTGCATGAGTGGACAAGTAAGAGGCTAATTGCGATGCAGCAGTGCTCCCATTGGTCAACAATGCACTGGCCTCTCGGGATAATCCCACTGACTTGCTGCAAACGTCCCTCAATATTTTACTCAAGAGGTGGAAAAAATCAAGGATATTGTAGGGAACCTGTGAGATCAGATGTTGAATCTGTTGTCGCCATATTTCCTCGGCGTCATCCCGAACAATTTGTCGGCCAAATGGCATGAGGGCTGATAAATTTGGTGAGGCATTGCAGGGGGTTACATCCCCAAGGTCTCCCGCACTCGAACCAGATGTGTCTGATCTTGTGGAAGAGTCATGGCGCGAACGGCTAGGGATCAGTGACAACGAAGAAGGTGGGAAAATTCCGGCGATCGTTGGCTCCTGGCCAGCCCCAGACCCAGATGGTACTTCATCCAGCGGTGATTCTGAGCCCACCTCGTCGTCTGATGACTCTTCGGCTACACCACCTCGGCGAGACGTGTGCTTGCTCGATGAAACAGTTTTCTCCGAGAGACTCTCCTCGAGTTGACGCAGGCTAGGCTCTCTTTCTTCACCCTCACTCAGGGGACGTCTTCGCACACCCCAGTTGAAGTTATCAGTACTCTCGCCTTCAACGCTCTCGCTCTCGTACTCGAGAAAATCGAAATCCTTGAAAACTCCAAACTGCTCGTCATCACGACGCGATCCACCGCTCAGATCATTATTCGCTCCTGACACTTCTTCAGTCGATGATGCCATTGACGACTGCCTCTCCATGAGGTCCGAACTTTGACTGAATATTACCTGTAGTTCCGAATCAATTATTTAGTATTTGGCAATGATTTTCATTTCCATTAGTAGTGAAGGAGTTTCATAAGGATGGTGCAATGTTAACAAATGTATGAAGTTATAAAAAATCTGTAATGGCATTATCGGATCAACTTTTGTATGGAATTCACTGCAAGCCTATGTGGAGGGTTCTTATATATTTTTATAGACCATATAATTTTACGCAGTCTATGAATCTTGAGGAAAATCAATTTAGAATTGGTCAATTTCCGTAGAAAATCGTTGAGATGTAGAAAAATCTGTGAAAAATCATAATTCTACGATTTTCCTATCGAAAATCTCAATTCGAATAGAGGAAATGATAGTTCAATTTGAAATAAACTCCTCCTGCACCACTTCACTACTGATTCGTTTTCACTGTAAAGCCCATCTATGACACTTCAGCGTGATAATCGAAGTCTTGTGCGTGATTAAACTAACATGACTCACATGGTTTACGCGACACAATTAAATTCTCAACATCAAAGCACATAGTAAAGTAAAAAAAAATATATAAATTCTACTTCATTAAATTTTCACGGGTGTCGTAAAACCCTGATAGTGTGAGTTAAGCCTTTATGTGTGTTTCCAATAATTCATAATCGTCATTTTTCAATTTTCATTTGAAATTTTGAAATCAGACCCTCTTTACCTTGCTACATAGTGTCATTGAGCTAATCTGTTCATCCTGAAAATCAAGTGGGATGATTTGACTGGGAAAAATTATTTCGGAGGTAAGGTACTTACAGATGGACTCTTGGGGAGACCCACTGGCTGACCAAATGGACGCAGAAGATTCACCAGGCACTCTCTCACTCGTCCCTGTTTTTAATAAACATGATGAGAATTATCAAATTATGGAAAATATTATTTAGGAGTGAAGTGGATAAATGCAGTTTAATTATAATTTAGTAAAATAGTATTATGAATGCATACACTTGTTTGTGGTCAGTTGTTAGTTAATACCTCGAAATTTAAAGATTTTAACAACCTATTCTGTACATGTATAACAGAATTGAACAAGTGGATTTTGTATATATTAGTCAAGAAAGTATAGAAGTGACAGGAATTTATTTTGTATTATCGGGAATTTCTGATATTTAGTGTGGGATTTTTTGTAATAATAAAATATTTAAATTCTGGACGCCAAGTGAGTACTAGAAATATTGATTATCCACATGTTAGAAGTCAGTTTTTCTTCTATGGAATAGATAATTTTTCAGACTTTTTATTTATTTGATTTCAATTGATTGAATTGATTTCATCAATTTTTCTTCACGTATCATTTTTATCGATATAACAATATACTATCTCCAATTGAATTTCCACGTAGCACGATTTTTTAAATGACTTCATGAATTTTTCAAGCTCACCTGAGACATCCAAGGTCTTTTCCACCCCGAAATGGCGTTACTATCTGCGGGCGAGAGTGATAAAGAACGTCTCGGTGATGCCGATGTCTTTTCATCCTCAATTTGTCTTCTCAACCATCTCTTCCCAATAATCGGTGTTTTTGTCACGTCGTACGTGAAGTCCATTGTTCTCCCTAAGTTACATAGTCGATAAAGCATCAAAAAATGAATGATATCGCGTCTCACCATTCATGGGTGAGGATGGGAGGGTTTCAAAAAATTATAAATGTGCGCAAAACTAAAAAAAATATTGTCTTTATTGTCAGGACCAAATCGATCTACAGCCACAAACATTGGTTATTATTTTTATCGCAACCTGAGAGGTGTCAAGTGTGTGTGCAGTCCGCAAAAAGTCCATGCAAATGTTACAAAGAAGAAAAACAATGAGAAAATTAGCATCAAAGAGAAAGAGTATATTCACTAGATCAAAAATTCTCACCAGGGAGTTCTTTCTTCGTAAATATCTCCGTATCAGTGAAGCTGGGATGAGGAGAAGTCATGGACGGTTCCCAGGATGGTCCATGAACCGAAGTTGGAGGAGCGACAAGAGTGGATGACCTCGTCACGACTAGCTTCAGAATCTTCAACGCCTCCTTCCAGTATAGGCCCTGGAAGTTATTTGCATAATTTCAAAGTTTTAATCAACCGTCTCTCTGATCCCATGAAATCAATCAGGGGCGAGAAAGCGTGTTAAGTCAACCATTATAATTCTATGAAATATTCATTAATGCAGTAAACCTATTGATATTAATTAATGTGATGTTCGTCGTGGATAATTAAAAATACGTCAAGTTGGGTTTAGGTGACTTTATCACTTAAGCTACTGGAATAATTGGAAAGGTTGACTACTCACCTCAACATATTTCGAGATGACTCTCAACAATTCTGTATTGATAGGCTGTGCCGCTCTGGAGGCAAGATCCACATAATGCAGAAGACAATGAATAATACTGAGGACAGGTAGAGCGATGCTAGCAGGTCCCTTCTCGAGCACCTCCACCAGGAAGGCGAGCATATTGAAGCTCAAATGAGCATAGGTGTCATAAAGATATTTAACAACGCACTTTGTCCACTGAAAACTCTCCTTACTAAATGTTCTCCTACTGTACAACGTCATCACAGTGCCCAAATGATCTAGCTTCTTTCCTTTCTCCGCGGACACCTGGGCAATGTTCTCAGCACTTCTAATACAAAGCTCATTAGCGTCCTCGTAATTTAATAACATATACGGTAATAAAGAGATCACGTTCATGGGAAATGCGAGATTCTGCGTGGGATCGACGAATGGTAGATCCAACAGGGGAGTAAATTGAGACAATAGAGTTACAACTGGCTCATAAGTATTCGGACTGGTGCAGCCTTTCAATAATAATGCATGGACTCCAGGGAATGAACTCCACCCCAACTGCTGCTGGAGTTTTTCCACTTTATCCCTAGCGTCCGGACGATCGAGGGGCAATCGATGTAGCACTCGGCCCAGTAGTCTCAGTGCCAATAAAAATTCATGCTCATAGTCGGATTCCAGGAGAGATACTGATAGCCAGAATAATTGAGCCAGAATGGTCATTTTGTCGTCTTGAGTCGCTGAGTCCCCCAACAGCTTCAGGGACTGGGCAGATCGGGATCTTGAGAGGTTTGAAATGGGATATTTATTGGATACTCTTGAATCTTCCTTTGAATCGGAATTTGCTGGTCCTGCCGATTTCCTCATGCAGTAGCTGACAGAGTAACTCGTGCTTCTGGCGTGCCCAGTCTGATTGAGGTGATTAAAGACGTGGGGACCAGGTGGATAGCCCACTCCAATATTTCTCTTATTCGCAATAATTCCAGAAGCTGCATCCTTATTATTCAAATTCGGCGTTGACTTGAAGATCTCCTTCATGAAGTCCAGGGGACGAAAATCTGACTCTAGAGAGTCGACTGCTGCTTCTAAGGTCAGAAGAAGTTCAGTTACGTAACCCTGCATGTCCTCACCCTGTTCAGCTACTGTTTCTACTAATCTCGATAGAATATCGGAGAGCATTCTCGATGTAATTGGAACTCTGAGAGCCCTGAAAACTTGTAACGATCGTCCAGCATAATGTCTCGATGAACAAGATAATCCAAGCTGCAAGGCAGTCTCCGCCCATCGCTGACTGACATGTGCATGCGGGAGAGAGTCTCTAAAAACCCTCAAAACATGTCTCAATAGAACAGTCAATTGTTCAGCGCTTCGAACCCACCAGGTTTTCGCAGTCATATCCTCATAATTCCACAGGGGCTGAACAGTTCTCGATGCCAAGAAGTTGATCAACGATTTAATCACATCTTGAATAGCCATATTGGGTCCAGGCTGAGGCCCATTCCAAATAGCAGTGTCTTCAGGTGTTACGATGACAGGAGGACCTGTAGGAGTCTGCCAAGGTCTCAGTGTCGTATTGAAGTCCTGCTTAGTCTCTGTCCCTCCAACATTCGGTGGAGTGAGGCTATTAGAAGGAATAGGAGAGTGCGAGGGTGAGGATTCTAACGAAGTTTGTCCAGGCGATGGATTTTTTACATTAAAATTTTCCTCAGATGGTAAAGGGGGTGGTGGAGGGGGTGGCATGGGAGGCGGAGGTGGCGGACAGGGTGGGTCAGGTACAGAAGACAATGGGGGAGGTGAGGTGGTCCGGGGAGGAGTGGCGGTGGGTGGAGGTGGGCCGTATAAATAGCTATCAAATTCAGGATCGACTTCTGTGAAGTTGTGTTCTAATACATGTAAGTTTGGAGTTGTTAAGCCCAAACCTAATTGCTCTGTTCGTGACGCAAGAAGTACCCTGGCAACGCCCAAGTGGTCTCTATGATCACCGAGGACCACAAGGAGATTTAATAAGAGCAGACGACAGTGATCTCGGACCAAAGGACGTGAGTGATCGAGTCCAAGGAAGACGATGTGCAGCATCAAAGGTACGTGAATCGACCAGTCTATTTGAATTCCATCGACGACGATATCTGTTAAAAGCATAACTGCAATGTTGCAGCGATGGAACCCACTAATTGGTTGTGATGCATCGGGTAGATATTCTGTCAGAGGTGCAAAGTACCCACCGTACTCTGGCATCGGTAATGGATGGGGTTGAGGAATATCGAATTTCTCGTTTTGTCCAATTTTAGTGGACACCGTGACGGCATTTCGGGGATAAATCTCCTCGGTGAGTTCTACTTCGGTTGTGGGGGTTGAAAAGTCATCGGGGAGAATTGAGGGGCCACTGGTAGTCCTAGCTTTCTCGGGTTTTGATGGCTGAAATCCAGCGAGGGCTCGCAGGGCGGTGTCTGATTTAGAGCCAGTCTTCACTGGGTCCTCCCCAGAGTGTCGTTTTGTATGAATTGTACCCTTCTCCACCGCAAGATCGCGAGATGGATTTCCTGGATCTGCTGCAGGTGCGTCACTGTGGGATGACGCTTTTCTCATACTTGTTAAACGGTAGAAAGGAGGCGTTTCAGTTCTCTCAATTAAGCAATTTAAAGTCTCCACTGTTTGGAGCTCTGTCATCATTTCGTCTACTAATCTCTCTGCTCTTGAGCGAGCCAGGAAGAGAACTACTCGTTTTGCGTAGGGGAGTAGTTCCTGTGGCGCCATGCCTGATACTATTATCAAATAACGGATTATCACTTTGAGATTATTCGGCCAGCAGCCGCACAACGTCGCCCACAGCTCCTCCACCTCTTTCGGATGCTCGTCGGAGAACTGAGGGGAAAATTTGAAGATTATTTTTATACCATCAAGGACACGATATCATCATGCCAGTGATCTCTGTAATCTTTACCTTTGCCGTAATGTAAAAGAGATTGTTGAGAACCATTTCAGTAGCTTCTGCACTCCCCCAACCTTCTCTCTTTGCTCCTCCACGGCTAACGTCGGAGGTGTAATACTGAAACATCAGATAAGCAAGAGTGTAAAACGGAACGATGGTTATCTGAAAAATTTACTCATCATCAAAGAATAGACGGAGCTTGCCGAAATTGCCGATTCGTATTTCGATTCGTGAGATTAAGGACTCGATATCCATACGCTCTCTAGCTCTCTATCATTTCATACTCTTCGGGGAAAAATCAAGGGCACGACTGTAGTAATTTATTTTAGAAAACCGAGAAGGAGAGGAGAGAAATGTCAATTGTTGGAATTAACGGCGGAAATTATTTTCAAATTATTTTATTTTATTGAAATCTTTCAATTATATTTTCAGAGAGTTAAGAATTCATTTAAAATTACTCTTTCCATATTTTTATATCTAAAGGTCTAGTTCTGATTTTCAGTGAATTATTCAATTATAGGACAGTTATACTACAGTAGCACAGTGTGAAAGGACACCGGTTTCGCTGTATTCTCTTAAATGTATAACAGGGGGTGTAGCTCAGATGGTAGAGCGCTCGCTTAGCATGCGAGAGGTACCGGGATCGATACCCGGCACCTCCAATTTTTTTTCGATTTTTTCAAATTCCACAGACAAAAGTATTTCAAACTGCCCAACTGCGAAAAACTGCTGATGCACATATCTCATTACTTAGTTTAAAAACTGCAGGCCCTCTACTGATATTCTTACTCTGCCAAAGATGATAATAGAAATTCTATAATTGATCGAAGTTGTTCACCGCATTAATACTCTCAAAAAAAAAAATTAATACAAGCAATTATTGCCGATACGAAATTCTCCATCATTTGAATTTATATTTTCCTCACTTCGAGAATGAGAGGACAAATTTACCGGCCAAATCCGGAGTGTTTGATGTAAATTACAATTATTAAATTGTATAAAAATGTTTTTGCCATTATTTAATAATAATTGTGTGCTGTAAATGGAGTCCGTCAAGAATAGAAACCCTGCGGGTGCAGTAGGTTTGTTTTTTTATAATTTCGTTATTGTCTTAACGTTTTATACGATGTGTATACCTGATAATAGCTTGATGGATTAGCTGGTGGTGGTACGTTAGGATCGACGAGTTCCATGTTGTGGAGCCAAGGCAGCAGATATTGGAGTAACAATTGTCGGACTTCACGTCTTGCTGTTTGAAATCTGTGTGTTATCTCTGAAAGATGATGTAGTGCATAGTAGTTCTAATATAGGTGAATCACTTGGTTTCGAGGCATTATATATCACGCATACAGCACGGAAGAGTAACAAGGAGATAGAGGGAAGGGAAAAGGAGATGAGAGAAAAGTAGTGGTCGAGTTGATACGGCGAGTGCGAAAAGGGTAGGGAACCGGTTGATGTCTGACAGATGTTTCAAGAGCAATTACTCCATCAGTCGCCTGATGTATACTTGTAGATAAAAAATATATGGAGAGAGAGTGTGATAAGGTGCAAAAAATGTTCCCAGAGGCCGAGTAAAAAAAATTGGAGTGAAAAATTGAGCAAAAAATTATATGGAATAAAACGTTGAGGAAACTTCCGCACGTGTTTAGATTCTAAATGTAGAGTGTTTTTGAGCTTCGTAACTCACGATTTTAGAATGGATTTCAGGGAGCTGTGACGGGTGGGAGATAGCCCAAGCGGGTGAGCATCGAGGTGAAAGAAAAAGAGGGAAATAATGGTTATAAATGGAACCCACTGATTCCAAACCGATGCTGTCACATTTGACCCGCGTCCTGATCCCACTGTCACGTCAGACCACGCCATTTTCGAATGTCTTGTCAAAATTTCATCACAAATCCTTACTGTTATCACTTACCCCCTCCAACCCTCTATAATTATTGAAAATACTCCTTTGTAATATCTTGTAATATCTCGAGATTTCCCAGACAGTCAGGACGCCCCAAATACTCAAGTATGTCCTGGGACGATTGAACCTTTGAATATTCAGTGGAATTTTCCACTAATTCTCATGCATAAATTTCGATTGAAAGTCACACGCAGTTTTAATTTGATAAGCCCACGAAATTCGTTTAGAGTAAACGCCAACTCACCGCTGAACATGGGCATTGTGAGCTCAGGATGAAGCTGAGCAAGTTGTCTCGAAAGATACATCTGATTGCGGCAATAAGTATTCCTCAGGAGCGCATCAAGGGTTCCCGCTTTAGTCGGTGAGGTTGATCCGGCTGTATTTGTCAATCCGACAGCTCCAGCAGTCGTTACAATCGTAGAAGTCAACTCTTCCGGTCCTGTAGAAGAAAATACTATGAGTACATAAAAGATACCCTAAACTGGGGACATATACTTGGAAGAAAATAACCAGGGGCAATCAATTGCTCCTGACTTTAGATTGACAGAGGGGTGCCAAGAGTTGGTAAACACTTGCTGATTGTAAATAAAGGGGGTAGTTTTCCAGGCAAGGTGCTGGAATGGAGTTTGTCTGTCCGAAAGCACTGGCGCGCAGAAGCCAAAAAGCTTTGAAGACTGAGGCGGGCTTTATCAAGCCTCGCATCATGCCGTACAATCCTCACAAGTAAGCGGAACTCCAGAGGAAGGTGATCGACGGTAACCCGTAACTATTTATTCCTATCGAATTTGAACACAGGGGAGGATTCCCGGACGTTAACAGAATCCCCTCAGCAGTTTTTATCCTTGAAAATTCAAACAACTCACGCTTTTGGATGTATCAAATAAAACAAGTTTTCGAGAATGTTGAATTGACATGAACGGTAAACGATTACAGAGTGAACGAGTCAAGTGTTTAACTACTCGATCAAATGTGCGTTGAAAATATTTAGATTGGTGGAATTTGAAGAATCAACAATGAAGGAAAGAGAGTCGAGCAAAATGACGAATCAATCGGATTGGGCAGAGACAACCATGATTGCAATCCAGATGTATTATACACCGGTATTAGTATCCCTGGGTACTTTAGGCAATTGTTTATCAGTGTACGTATTTTTCTACACAAAAATGCGAAGAGCTTCATCGAGCTGGTATCTGGCAGCCCTCGTGATAAGTGATACGGGCTTCCTGGTGGCGGTATTCGTCGTGTGGTTGAACATGGTGGGAATTGGCATTTTCAACCTTGAGGGTTACTGTCAATTTTTTGTCTATCTATCGACATTGTGTAGTTTTTTGAGTGTATGGTTTGTGGTATCGTTCACCGTTGAACGTTTCATAGCAGTGCAGTATCCCCTGCGACGGCAGTCAATGTGCACAGTGGCAAAAGCCAAACTGGTCCTGACTTTAATCACTGGAATTGGAGTGGTGCTGTGCAGTCCAGTTCTATGGCTCACCAGTCCCCAGCCCATGCAGCATAAACAAAATATAACAGCGTGTTTGTTGGTGGCGGAGAGGGAGAATTTTGCCAATGTATTTAATGCCGCTGATACCATCTTAACTTTCGTTCTACCTTTCACTGTCATTGTCATTCTCAATGGGCTTATTTCGAGGACTGTCTGGAGGTTGGCTAATGTACGGAGGACACTGACCACTAATGGCCAGAGCAGAGATCCCAAGTGCGGAAACATCGGCGTGTCTCAGGCGACAGTCACAAAAATGCTACTGGTAGTTTCCACCGTTTTTCTCTGCTTCAATCTGCCGGCCTACGTCATGAGAGTCAGAGCATTTCTCGAGGTAGGTGAATAATACCGTATTATAATCATTCCAAGGGAATACCGAATGACAATCGTATATCTTCATCATCTATATCTTCCCATGAATTGCTCTTTTTTCAATTCATCACGCTTTTATTGAGTTCTCGCACATTTAACGACACTATAACAAATGGAAAAAGAATGAGTTGGCTATTTAGGTATTTCCGGGATTTAAAATCGATCTGGCCACTGATATTTGGTCCTCCGGCATCGACGTGGGGGTATAAATTAGTGAAAGTTAAGTTTCATTGAATGCACGGGGGTTAACACTACTCTCGATCGATTGATCAAAGTTATTCCCGGATACATGTAATATCTTCATGGTTTTATAGATGGAACTGTTTACTTTGTTGAGTTATTGGTGAATAGGTGGAGTGAGAGATAGGAGATGGAAATGATTAGCTATGGATAGTACTACTTATGAAGGCTTCGTGCACATTGTGACGTTTACATTTTGTTCCTTAGGTACACCAAGATGATCCAAGGTCCACTGTAATAGCTCAGCACATCGCTAACATTCTCTTTGATACTAATTTTGGAATAAACTTCGTACTGTACTGTGCGAGCGGACAAAACTTCCGTAAAGCCGTTGTACGATTGATCCTCAGGAGGCCGAGAAGATGGCACTCTGGCACACCAGTATCGAATCATGGTATTTTATTTCGTAACAAAATTGTTCTAATTCTGGATACAACTCTGTGGCCAGTTATAAACAAACCACTTGAGAAACCAAGCAATTTATGATATGCATTTTATCATCAATAGTTTTTATTAGAAGTGGGTAATATTTGTTTTCAGCCTTTTGATTGTAGAAATAGTTGCGCAATCCTCTGGAAAATTTCAAGGAAAATTCCTACAGATCCCTGTGGCTCAGAATGAATGAACAAAGTTTCCAAGTAAATGGTGATGCAAATCAGGCGTGCTCAAATTTTCAGCAATATCGACTTAACTGTTTATCGGTTGCTTCAATAATCGCAAGCCCAGCAAGTACACAAAAAAATCGAAAGTTACAACTCAAATGTTTATCCGTTGTTCATTGTTTAATTAATTGTTTAATATCTTGACGATTTTCTTCAGCTATGAAAGTGTCGTCATGTTTTTTGGCGGATCTTCTTATTTGGAAACTTTAATGAAAATTAGGGAAACTACTAAATTGGGCTAGTGTAGCGCCGTTTACTCCTTATTGAATGATCCTATTATGTTGGCCCAAACAGGAATCGTATTGTTTCATTCTCAATACTGAAGTTGTTTGCGCGATCTGTAGCATCCTTTTAGCTTATCCCCTCAAATCAATACGCTTTAATTTAGAATTGCCCCCTCAGTAAGCCACTCAGTAAACCCGTTTGATAATTTTATTTTCGCTTTGTAGTGAGCGATGTGAGGAGATCGAGCAGCAAAGTTGCCAGACAAAGAACGATCGTTTACGAGGTTCCCTGGACTGAGGGCTGTGAGCTGAGGGAAATTGAGTCCACGACAAGCAGGAGACTAAGTCAATAAAATATCGGATAAGAATACAATACCCACCGCTGTCAAGCTCAGCCCCTGGCAGTGGTCGAATATTTCCGAAGAATCTCTGGTCCAGGAGTTGGAGAAGCTGAATTGCGGCGTCTTGAACTGGTGCACGGGGACAACCCGTGTTCATCAGACTGACATTTATTACACTCGTGTAATGATCACATGGATACTCCCTGGAATCCGAGGATATATACATGTTGTATTTTTTTTATTTCACATTTATCTCACCGTCCATTCGTACATGGAGAAAATTAAATAGTCGAAATTCCTCCGTCGGAATTGTTATTTAACTTTTTACAGGTAAAGCGTTCTGTGGACAGCTGTAATTACCACAAAATTACCAATAAAATATTCAATAAAATTACATATCTTCCTTCTAATTTTGAAGCGAAATGTGGCCGAGAAAAGTTTTATAGAATTGTTATCGATTTTTTTTTTTCGGAGCGTTGAGCAATTTTTATCTGATTTTCCTCAGAAAATTATGATATTGCCACTAAAATTTTCCGAGTGGTTTTCGCAATCGATGGATTAAGAGCTCCGCAATTTTTTCTGCATATTTATCTCCGTGCGTGACAGAAAACCATCAACATTACGATGGAATATAGTGAATATTCCCAGATAACAGATAAGCTTTCATGTTATATTGTATTATTATTATATTATCCGATATCGTATGGACGACGGTAGTGGTTTCCAAGCAATATAAAAAGGATGATTATTGCGGGTCCGTTGAACACCCTTTTGCTATAGTACTCTCCCGTGAATATGGAAATTTTGACTATTTAATTGTCTCCGTGCGTGGGTTTCTGTGGTAAAAGGAGTGGGCGAGATTACCTGGCACTGAAAATAGAAGCGAGGGCAAGATAGCAGCCGTCGGCTACCTGGGGCATGCCTGTGTAGCAGCGATCCACAACCCAATCAAGGAGGGTTCCAATGTCTGGATTTCCTTCCAGTAGTAACACCACTGTCTCGCGAGCCAGTGCATAAATCTGAAATGTAGAAAAATTTTCCTGAAGGGAAGACTCGGAATCAACTCTTCTAAACGTTTCCCTACGTCAAATATTCAGTTACATGAAGAAAAAGTCGACCGTGACGATTAAAAATTGTGCGAAATTTTAGAAACTGCACATTTTTTTAATTAAATCATTAAAAGAATCACATAAGTTTGTTGGAAATTTGTATTAATTCTTATTATATTTGAATAGTCCTCAGTGATCGAGTGTATATTAGACGAACGGTCCATTATAATTCATAATGCGGAACTTATCACTCTTTTTTCACGCATCAATAACCAAGTGAAGAAAGGAGAGGGGCTGAAGGCTTTGAAATTGTCCGTTTGTATGAATAGAGCTCACTTTGTCACACCTAGTGTTAAAATCATTCACATTTTTCTCTTCACAATCTCCATTCAATTCCATTTTGAATCATGTTATTAATCTTTGACAACGTATCATTTTTCACCTTCTCAGGATTATTCGTGACCAAAATGTGCGACACTTGACCACAATACTAAATCGCCGCAAAATTCAACGACGCGAGTCGCAGCCCTTTCCATTCGAGAGTTGAGAAATAAACATTCATCCTTGCTAACTTCCAACTACATACTATGCACTCAATGTAATTCAAACTTTCGTATCAAAAATATTTTCATGGCAAATTGTTCCAATGCCACCTGAAAGTACAGCGGCGCAATCTAATAAAATTTATGTGAGAAAATTTAACGTGCATGGAAAATTCTCTTTTACACATTTCTATCCAACGAATTGTGTTACTTTAAATAGTCAAGTTCTTTTTCGCAATTTAATATTATCTACGAAGTGAACATATTAAGTACATGATTTGGAGAGGCTGTTCAGTTTTATGGCTTTCTCAGCGTTCGAAACGTTTCGAGAATTTAAGGGAAATCAATGGTTGGTTCGAGGAAAAATCTTACTATTTGGAAAAATCTTACTGTTTGGAAAAATCAAAGTTTCTGGGGTCTTTGAGCGTTCTAATATCATCGGCGAAGTAAGTTTATGTTAAACAAAGAACCGATTAATGGAAAAATGTAACTTTAGGGGAAAGCCACTTTGTGTTTGAAAAGTCATAAATCAAGTGGTGGGTCGATGGTGAAAAAAATGGATTTTCACGTTTCTGAGGGTTTTAAATAATAGTATCATCGAATTTTGGAGCAAAGTCTCTGTGAAAAATGATAGATAATGAGCCGATGAACGTGTCGACATTAGAATTCCATCCTCATGATTTTCGATAAATTTATCGACTAAACTCCATAACTCAATGTCTATAACGAAATAGTGCTCGTTACACTCAATTCCCCAAATACCTTTTCGTCTTTACTGGAGAGAAGTAAATCCAACCATTGATAGAGAATAGCCCCCTCTTCAGAGAGCAGCTGAGAATTGAAACACGGTCCACAGCAGAGTAACCCACTCATTGCCTGTAAAGCGGATAGTTGAAGCTCTGAGCACGTTTTTTCCTCATCAAGTGATGTCGAAGTGTTGGTCAAAGGCTTCCCATAGGGGCCGGCCCATGCAGCAAAAAGGGTGAACAAGTTCCTCCGGAGGTCACGTTTCAGCAATGAGTGACATGTATCAACTGCATCCAGAAATATTAACCGTTAAAAGCACGAAAAAACAGATCTCTGATAAAATCCCAAAACCCCAGGCTAAATAACTTTACAAAGAACTTACGTGAGAAACTTTTAATCATCTTTCGGATAAAGTTACAGAAGTGTAACTTAATGTCACGTACGGCCGGTGCTTCCTTGTCTGTTTCATTTTCGAGATAAAGCCTTGCACCGTCTATATACTCGACGAATGTGGGGTGAAGCGACTGTGTTTCACGGTCTAACACCGCAGGACTTTCGGCAATCAGAAAATAAATCGAGATGAAGAAACATTACTCGGTTAAATTTATATAACATTGTACGTTCTTCAACGTTTTCTTACCAAATTCCGAATGTTCCATACTCGGCTACAAGCTCTAATACTCGAACAAGATGAAGTCTCAGAGCATCCCTTCGTCTTCTACGTCGCATGTTCTCTTGTTTCCTATCAACAGCTTCGCGTATGAAAGGGACAAGCTCTTCCATTAAATCCCTAAGGCGAAACGAATAAAGTCATTGTCAAAAGGAACTATTAAGTCTTACGCGTAATATCGTAATGAATTAACAAGACCCACTTAAGAGCATCTGCGTTAACTTTTCCAATAGCCTGGACTACGGCATCCCTCACATCGACCGCCTCGCACCTCAATAAGGGCACTGTCAGTTTATAGAGTGCCGAAGGGCTGGCATTTGTTCCTGGGGACTTGTTATCTCCTCTTTCTGCCGAGAGGCTATCTGGGGATGAGCTGTTACGGCAAAAATAATGAACTTTACTACAGAATTCCTTCTCATAAAACTTGTCTCAACTGTGTTACAATAAGGGGAAAAGTCTACGTGCGTTGAAAAATAACTCAATCTACTCGGGTACGATAAAAGGTGATCTACGCTAATTACAGTCACCTCATAGTTAGAAACAGTGTTGAGAATGGTCTCGAACTAAACGATAATTGGTTTATTTTCTCACAGTGCGTTAAATACTGATTTTTTTTCTCTCTTATAATTTTTTTCATTAACCCAGTGCAGTGGAACCGTTGTTCCTTGATTATTGGGCTTTTTTTTGGTGTTTGATTTATTTGTTTGCACGTCTCATCTTTGGCTCACCTGGTCCGCTTATGCCTGGTGTAGATTCCGGATATGGACGGTACGGAGAAACGTCCCGGCAGGGTCTGCGCCCCACCGAGATTCTCCAGGCTCTGACTCAACTCCTTACTCATGCATAATACACCAAACTCCACCGTATGCTGACCACTAGGAGTATGCAATACAGTGTGTACCACCAATGCTCGTTTCAACTCATTATTTATGATTTTTGAGTTTGATTTGTATTTTTAGGGGTTTTTTTTGCATTTTTTCTTTTGGACAATGACAAATTAGATAGAGGAAAAGACAAAATTCTAGAGTATTCTTAGAATTCTAGGAAAACATCAATTGACATGCTTGATGCAGTGCAGTTATTATGGAGTGTGAACATGAGAAAGCTTCTGGGGGGTATAAATTGGTGCTTTGTTTTTCTCTCTTCCCTATCTTCCTGTGGAAGATACAAGTATTGAACGCAATTCCCAGGGGAGTTTTCCAAGAGTATGTGCCCATCATCTCAATCAGGGAAATTTCTGAATTTTCGAGAGTGTCTTTTCACTCGTGATTTCAACGTACAACTAAAATTAATGAACCGAACGACAGACGTAGATAAATTATTATTATTTTTATTAAATTAGACAGGATTTTTTTTCTTCCAAGGATATTATTTCCTCAGATCCGTTTATGAAGGAGCAGTTCCACGCGTTTGAAGTATCGAGAACTCGATTTTTCCGCTGAAAATCAATTTCCAATGCAATCCTAAATACGAATGGATTTACTACCATTTTTAGAAAATGATTTAAATAATTTATTAGCCGACATCATTGCAAAATGCCGTGCAAGCAAGGTTGGATGAAAATCTCTGATATTTAATTCCAAACGTAGAAAAGAATGTGAACGTAAAAAACCAAAAATATTTGGGCATCCCTGATAATATTATTCAGATCTTCCTTGAATCACACAATATTCATAGAAAATTGACCCGGGGTGAATTGATTAGAAGTATTTCTCCTCTTAATTTCGTCAGCGGCGATTTTTTTTCCTGTCGACTGTTCAATTGATTTGTGCGATAATTCTGACAAAATGTTTGAGTGATGACTATTGTGCTTAAATCAAGAGCAAGTGTTATACGGTGGTACAACAGACATAAGCAGACAAGACCCAACACCCATTAATTAACGCTAGATAGTCAATATATATGAAATATTAATATTTAGCATATCAGCAAATAATTAATATGGCACGTTTAATGTAATTAGAACAATGTTGAGTATAAATATATATGTACTCATTGTAATTCTGACTTACCTGAGACTGAGATCGGGACTAGCGCAGCGAATAATTGGGCTAGGGATGGGTGGTACAACGCGATAACCAAAGGTTAAATAATTTTTCCAGATATGCATGTAGACATCCCTCTCGTTCACTGGTTTCCTTACGGCTGTGGAACTCCGTAACAACGAAGCTCTGTTATCATTGACAGGCCTGCAATGGCAACCGAAGAGACACTAAGTCGCTTGAGTCATTAAAGCTTAATAACCCCGATTAAATTGCGACCAATAAAGGATTTTTCTGCAGCTCAATGAAGTTTCGAGAAAATTTTTTAACATTTCTTCATAAAGTCCGCAGTTTCTCTTTATCAATCGATATTTAATGGTGGTTCAAACTTCGATTTATCTGATTTAACCACTTCATTATTGAATTATTTACTGAATAATTATGTGGGCCGCAATACGAAGGGAAATTGAGATTTTAAATAAAAAACTTACGTTGGATCAACGACAGTAAACAGCGAATTAATTCGTGTGAAGACAATGGGCCATGAGTGAGCAGTTGCATTGGGACACAACGTCAGCACTCTATCTTTTTCCAGAAAGGCAAAAAGACAAGTGCTCCAGGGATCAGCTCCATTGAGATTGAGTAATGAGGAGCTCTTGGTGCTGTTCTCATCATGGAATCCAGCAGTCCAGACGCAGCTGCTTCTGTCAGCTATCCACTGGAGATCCACATTGGAAGTGGAGGCAGCAGCAGCCTTTTCAGCAGGTGGCAGCAAATGATAGCATTTTTCCACAACCGAAGGACAGCAGGCATCGATGACATCAATAATCGGCTGATCAGTTTCCAGGCCTCCGAGTGCCTTCAGCAACACCTTAACTTCTCTCAAGATATGCACAGCAAGTCGTCGAGGGTACAACCGACAATTGCACAACATAACAAGAGCAAAACCCTCGACAAAATGGAAAACACTCGAAGCCTGCTCGACTTTTTGAGTTGGATCGGCCTTCTTCACTGCAACTTCAACTCTCGGGTTAATCCTGTTATTATCACTTTGTTCTTTAGCCCTGGGACTTGGACTAATCAGTGCATTTTTCCAAGATGTCAATAATTGTAGGAGCATCCTTAATCCATTGTCAACAAGCTGGGGAAAAGTGTCCTGCACGTCTCTAGCCAGAAACTGAGTAAAGCCCAGCACAACATCTTGTCTCCAGTCCGGAAAATCTATCACTAGAGTCTGTAAACTCTGATAAGCCAATCCTCGCAGCTCTTCATCCATATGTACTGTCAGTCTCCCAAGGAGATCAACAAGCTCAGCTCCAGTCATACCATCAGGAATGAGTCTAGGCACAGCAGCCACACAAGTCCTGAATAAATCGATCCTGGGTTTCCGCTCCCCTGTTATCATTTCGTCAGGCTCTTTGTTCATGTTTTGAGTGCTAGTCATCATCAGGGGGCGGCCATAATGGACGTCTAAAGCTCTGAGAATGTCGACAAAGACTCTACGAACGTGGGGGAAGTACGAGGACATTCCAATACTCCGTGCAGTGTCTTCGGTTAACATTTTATTGAGGAAAGTCTTTTTAACTCGCATGGTGTTGCCACTGGGAAGTACCCCCATCGTTCTAGGCATTGGAGGTTCCCCTTCCTTCTGTTGCAAACTGTCAGCAACAACCAAAAATGCTCTGAGACCAATGCTCATTCGTTCTGGAGTGAGAATAATCTTCACTGGCCTTCCAACTGACAATAGATCGAATACTATTTCTCTCATAGCGAAATCGAGTCTCTCTTGGGCTATGAATTGGATGATTTTAACGAAAATGTTGAGGGGAGTGTCTCTGGGCATCACTGCTTTGGATCCCTTAGGGAATAGAGAGTTTACGATACTCTGGAGTCGACTTTGAGTTGCTGAGTTACTCTCGCACTTAATCCTAATCATGTAGACCCACAGTAGACGATATAATGCTTCTAGAGCTACTCGACTCATCTTTGGATCTCGAGTCTTCAAGTGAGAGAGACACATGGCTAAAAAGTAATGCCAATTTGCTAAGAAAAAAGTTTTCTGACTGACGCACAGAAGACACGTAACGAGGGGAAATAGTGCTAATCTATGTTTCGATTTGGTGCACATATCTAGTGTATTTGAATAAAGCATTTCAACAAAGTTTTTCAAACAAGGAACATTCACTTCGTTCTTCACCGCAGCAGCAACAGGTACTAATATCTCTACGAATAATCCAGCGAGTGCATGCTTCACATCTTTGTCCTTAACTTCCAAGAAATACTGTGCACACTCTTGCATAAATTGGAAGGATGCCTCGAACTCCTCGATTGGTACCATCTTCACTCTGAAGAATTTCATCCCCATGAGGAGTGAAATTATGCTCTGGGTGGTATGAGGTCCCGGTTCTTTAGCCCTGAGTTCCTTGAGATCGGCCATAAAACGTTTTCTAACAGCCATAAATCTGGATTGAGCCAGTACTCCAATAACTTCAGCAAAGAGATCAGCAATAATATGGATATTTACTGCATTGGGCTCATTTTGAATGCCCTCCCTGTACTTGAAGTGTTTGAATGCAATATTCTCAATGTCTGTGACGAGATCCTCGTGGCCTGGGTGAAAGGGTAATTGTCTCAACACTTCAATGAGCATGAGGCAAAAGATGAATTCGACTGCAAGATCACGACGTTCTTGAAGTAAATCAGATTCACTCCTCTCTGGGACCTCAACGTTAGAAGAGACAATGGTGTACATGATGCTCTTGCCTTTCTGATCATCTTTGCCAGGGGCTGGCTTCTTCTGATCAGTTCCCTGATCCACCAACTGTCTCTCATACCACTTGAAGAGTGAACGAAGGATCGAAGGGAGGCAGTGCTCGGCCACTGAGCCAAACGCCGACAACAGTTGATCAAATTGGGCATCTTCACCTCTCTGGAGAACTTTTGACAATGGCTTCTCAGTCTCAGTCATTACTGCCTCAATTTTCCTCTCTGCCTGACTAGCAAAATCAGCGAAGAGAGTTCTCATGACGAATTCCCCCGGTCTGAGATCCATATCTTCTATATGCTGGGGTTTCACTGTCTCTTTCTGCGCTCCCCACGGTAGAACCACTGTCACTGCACTCACACGGCTTGAGCTACTCTCTGCAATATCGTTTTGTAGATTTAGTGGAAGGTGAAGGGATATTTTTTGAGCATGATCACTCACCATAGCCAGATACTGACGTACTGGCAGTATAAATACTCGCCACATCGCTCATTTCTCCCTGAATTGATCCATGGAGTGTCAAAGGATCTTGCACAAGTACAGAAACATCCACTCCACTGTCCTGGGTAGTCTCATTGTGTCCGGCTCGCTGTTCACCAGTGTCTGAAGGAAGAACAAATGGAACTTTTAAGTATTTTCACAGCTAATTGCACAATGTCAGAGGCACTAGGGTCAACTGAAACGATGAAGCCCTGAGCCAGCGTCACCTCAAAGTACATACACTTGTTTTCTAATTAAATTATCAATGTACATTTGCATTTGTGTGGGATGCACGTGTCTGAGTGACATTGAGACACTCAATAGACTTACCCGAGTGAGTATCATCGCCTGTTGGCTGATTTTCCGTACCTGGAACATACACACAGACAGTTGAAGATTGACGATAAATACTGCGGCTTCAAGCCTATTTAAAGATTCTGCTACATGCGACCATTGAATATTTACCCTTTGCCATCTCCTCGATGCTTGCTTCACCTTCTGGCAACATTTTTCAAAGCTCTAGTCCATTCCTAGTTTGGAAGACAATGAAAATTTACATTTTTTACGGTATCTCTAATATCTCAGTTGTTGACATTGACACTCGGCTGAGTGCCAGTAAATTAAGATAAGAGATAAGGTCATTGCAATAATCACCAATACGTTAGCCAATTAATCATAAAAAATTATATCGACCGACAAATATGCGTATTAGATTCTTCAATTCTATGATAAAGAAAGAAAATACTGTTATTGCGTTCTTTATTGATCGCGAGTGTTGAGGATTTATTGAGGTCTCGGATAAACTTAAGACGATTAATTGCTGGGTTAGAGACCTTTTTATGAGATACGTGGTTGCATAGCCGGAAAAAAAAACAAAAAGCCGTAATTCTATAACCTGAAACGTCAAATGACAGCAATTCAGGGCCTCCTCTGTGCTCATTTGGATAATTCACTTTTATTCTTGAACTGGATCATTGTTTCATGCACTGTCCAGGCCAAAGAGGATTGACTAAAGTAGAGGCTCAGTTCTGGGGGTTTGAGTGACCCCATCGGCATCGTAGTAGCCGACCCCATAAGAGGGAGGGCACCACACGCAACGCTGGGGTATCTGCTCGTTAGCCGATTCAGCGACTCTTCAGTAGCAGTCCCACTTCCACAGGGGCCAGTCGAAAGGGAACTCCCACAGAACATTAGAGATCCTGACATCCACAGGGCAGCAGTCTGGAAGAGATATTTTTACTCAATATAAAGATAAATAATAATTTATTCATGGAATCATGTGCCTTAATACTGACCAGAATTGGTCAGAATTGCCCTGCACGCAACCAGCCCCACCATAGCCAGGGAATGATAAAAATCATATCTATTCGCTGTCTCAAACACTTGCTTCAATTGATCGTCCTTATATTTCCCTAAAAAAAAAATAAATAATTCTTAATCAAGAATATAAGGACCCGATGACTGAAAAAATAAAAAAAATCCGCACTGTGAGCTCCATATGCCCCGAGGATGACTGCAGTTGCTCCACTGAGTCCTGCCAATTTCAAATAAGGCCCTGAGGCTACTGCCGATTTCCACAAAGGCTCAGGTGGAACCAGTTTGTACTCAACACGTGGCTTGAGGCCTGAATAATTGATAACCTAAACAATTCATGGATATTCATTCCTCATGTAATCAACAAATGTCAAAAAAAAATGATTTTGATCGCTGTATGGTATCTACATGACCTCAAAGTTTCAAAAATAGAATAAACTATAGAAGCATTACCCAGTCTCCAAAAATCAGGCAATAACAATAAATAAATTGATTCCTCTTATTTTTTATTAAAAAATAACAGCGACTTACAGCTGATGCAGCAGTTTTCGCAAACGAAGCGGCATTCGTGCAGACGGCATTAGAAAACAGAACGTAATTCAATGTATCTGATACTCCCATTCCCGTTTCACAGATCCAATCGAAGTGTTTTTGATGGTTAAGACAAAAATCCACACGCTAAATTCTCTTCAATCAATTATTTTTCACTGACTATTGGATTTTACGTGATTGCACTGTTTTTTTAGGAGAGAATTATTTATTAGATTCAGAATTTTCGCAATTATCTTATCTCGTCAAATTGAGACTGCCCGCGGTCTGCTGTGCGTAGGCGCGTTCTTCTGTGCGCATGCAGGTTGTTTTATGCGCATGCGCGGAGTATCGCCTGGCGACCCCCACTCGAGCGCCGCCTCCAACGCCCTGCCATCTTGAGTGGGGGGTCAGTCGTTCGCCAGCGTTCGGCGTGGAACGGTCGGTCACGTGTCGCGTAGTGAAAATTCATTAACATCGGGTTCCTAGTGAGTGAAGAAAACCGGTGCCGCCTATAAACATTGAAAATACCAAGTGCGGGACTCAGTGCAAATGATTTTGGGATGTGAAATAATTTTTTAAACAGTTTATCAGTGCATTTTGAGTGGTTGAGATATTTCCTTTGGTACACTGAACTTCGGTATTGCCGAACGGCCGCCCGGCGTCATTGTGTTTACAAAAATTCCTTTGTCCGTTTCTCGGAATTGTTGAGTGTGTGTTTAGATACAAACTGAAGTGAGAGTGCGAATTAGATTCGAAGGATTACTTTTCTCATTCATCTTATTTTCAATGAGTAAAAATATTATTTGATCTTTGATATTATTTTATTGATTTTTGTGGATTTTGAGTTGATAAAACATTCTTGGTTGTGTGGTGATTTGTGATTAGTGTGTGTCTGTGTAGTGATTAGTGAACTTTTGAACTGTCTGCTGTCTTTGAAAATGCTGGTGCTTCCAAGCCGACTTCAACCTTTGGCGTCAGAATCACATGGAGAGATCTTCAGGATCGGAGGGCATCTTGCAACCGACTGCAAGGTGAGTTTCGTATGCATTTTTTTATGACCTTGAAGCATTATTTTCATTTTATTTTCATGTCATTTTTTTCATTCCTGATTCTTGATATATTCAATGCTTACATTACAAACAATTTTCAATTATTCAATTAACTCTCCAATAAAATAAAAGAATTTTAAATAAAAAATAATAAATCATTTTAAATAATAATTTAAAATAAAAACTCTCAAATCAAAATTAAAAATCGCCTTTGTAGTAAAAAAATTCTTTAGTCGAAATTTCATTAACAATTTGTTTTTTTTTTATGTTTACAGTTAAGGTAAGACGTTCGAAAGGTGAAAATTGAAAGCGGACTTATTTTCATCCAACGCCGGTGAGTGAAATTTATTTATTAACTAGCGCCGCCGGATATATCGTATCCGTTCCGTGGATTTTTTCGTGGTCGGTTCGCGGGTTTGAATTTTCGAGATGATTTTATCTCTCGATCAGATGATGTCGAGATGCCACTAGATATGGCTCCATCAGATAAATCGCGAGTGCGTGTATAAACAAGTGATTGACTACGCTGGAGTGCCGCATTTTGAAATTGGAATTAAAGCCCGGTTGGATTGTCTGGAAAAGATGATTTACTCCAAAATTGGCACTCCTAATTACTCCACCAATTAATCGATTTTTCCGATAATTGTTAGCTAGCGCTCTAGTTGTTGACAACCGCTACGGCGCTAGCTAACAATTATTGGAAAAAACTATTAATTTCTGGAGTAACTAGCAGTCCAAATTTCGGAGTAAATTATATTTTCCAGATAATCCATCTCCGCCCAAAACGGTAAGTACGATATTAAATTATTATTGAAGTAAATCAAGTAAACATCACTGACAAATTTATCAAGATATTTTTAATAACTGTTAATTCGTTGAAACACAAATAATTAGCAGTCGGAGGCTTTGAAATCAGCTCGTCAAAAATTCCAGTCAGTGGAATCTGAGGCATCGAAGAGCTCAGAGTTGTTAAAAGGGAAGCTGGAGGGATATTACTGAAAAGTCGCTGAGTCTGCTAATGACAGATACCCCAGCGTTGCGTGTGGTGCCCTCCCTCTTATGGGGTCGGCTACTACGATGCCGCTGGGGTCACTCAAACCCCCAGAACTGATCATCTACTTTGGTCAATCCTCTTTGGTCCAGGCGATTGGATACAGTCTATGGGTTTCTTGACAACGTAATTATATCGACGTCTTCTTGATTCATTACAATCAGCGACAATAAGAACAAATATAAGCGAAAGTGGAGTAGAGAAAGATTTGGGACCAACAAAGAAGGAATCCAGGCGATAGAGTAGTGTGATTATATGCATTACAGAGGGCGGTCGTTTTCAAATATGGAAAAAACTATTACATTGATAAGTTGCCAGCAGAGTTGCAAAGATTATGTCCGGTAGAATTTTCACTGCATTCTATTTACACGCGTGCTTCGATTTTTCCTGTTCTTGTTCAACAAAATAAAATACGAACAATTGTTTCTGATAACTTCAAAGCCTATCAAACGGACAAATACTGCTCTATATGATACGGTATGTGTGAGTCTATCAAATAATTTGCTATATTTGTAAATTAGAACGTGTGAAAGCATCGCATAACCTCAAAGGCCAGCATCATGTGTTCAGTTTGCAATTACAGATTAATTTGAAACTGTAAAAAATGGTTCGACACAACAATCAACTGCCAGATAATCTCCCCCAACTCCAGAATCTGATAAAACGTGATCCTGAATCTTACAAGGAAGAGGTAATTGTTATTTGAATGATCATTTTCTTAAAAACGAAAGAACAAAATCAATGATAAATTGTTAATCTGATAATGGTCATGCTTTCCAGTTTACCCAACAATACAACCACTATAAATCGACCCTGGAAGTGTTTCGTCTGACCCCCGACCAGTTTAACAAAAGTCTGGATGAGCTTCTCATGTTCATAGCTCAGGTAAATATATTTAACATGACCAAGTAAAAAGCATCTCAAATGATCTCCTTTACTTGCAGGTATAACGAAAATCGAGTATTATTCCTAATTCCAATTCAATCACTACTCATTAGAACTAAAGTAAAACATAATTTGATTGATCCGTAAAAAATGGAGAAGCACCTGAATCAGCTAAAAACTAAAATAGTGTGTCGTGATACGGTGTTAAGGGAGCTGTTCTCTCTCTTGGGGGCCCCAGAGGAGCCCCTGCCTCACAGCATCTTTATTTACGGTCACATAGCAACCGGGAAATCCCTGGTGATGGAATCCCTATTACAGTGCCTTAAATACAACTACTCAGTGATAAACTGCATCGAGCACAGTAACACTCGTCACATGTTCGACTATATTCTGCAGGAGTTGACTCCCCAGAATCTGAATGAAAATGATATAGACTCCAAAGGAAAACGCAAATGCGACAATGTCATGGATTTCATCGACGATTTGCGTTCGATTTCGAGTAAAAATCCAGATAATCCCATGATCATTGTCTTCGATAAGTGCGACAGGCTGAGAGATATGGACATGAATCTCCTGCCAGCTCTTCTGAGACTTCGAGAACTGTCTGGGGTGAATGTCTGCACAGTTTTTCTGTCAGACATAATATGGGAAAAATACAGAGTGAAAATGGGAATGTTAGAGCCCATTAGAATCCATTTCCCTCAGTACACTAAAGACGAAATGCAACAAATTCTATTTACCTATAAACCTGAAGGCTATTCTGATGGTTTCTACCAGAATTATCTGAACCTCTTCCTCTCAGTGTTCTTTAGATTCTGCAGAGACATCAATGAGCTTCGATACATGGCCCAAATCAACTTCTCAAAGTACATAGAGCCCGTGAAATCAGGCCAGTGTGATGAGAGTGACGTCACAGTGCTCTGGAGAAACATCTCCAATGTTTTGAAATCGAATCTTGAAGTTATCTATCTGAGGGTGTCGACAGAAGACTTCAGGGAGAGAACTGAGCTGTCACAGCAGATTGAATCCACTACGAAATTGGCATTGAGCTTTGAGCTGCCATTCTATGCCAAATTTATGCTCATCGCTGCGTACTTGGCCTCATACAATCCAGCTAAGGAGGACAAGCGGTTGTTCATGAAGGCGAGCACCAAGACCAAGAAAAGAAAAAGGACTATTCCCATGAATAAACCTATTCCGATGAATACTCACGTTGGACCCCGAACTTTTCCCCTCGATCGCATGCTCGCTATATTTTGCGCTATCATCGAGGAGAAAGTCGATCTCAATGCTAATTTACTTGCTCAAATTCCGACTATGTGCCAGTTAGGACTCTTGGCCATGGTTGGAGATAATAGTTTGGATGAACCTAAATTCAGATGCTGTGTTAATCTCGATTTTGTTGTCATTATTGGTAAAACTGTAGGCTTCAGTGTTAGAAATTATTTGTACGACTTTATTCATTGAGGGATTCTCCAATTTTCAAGGATCCGTTTACCATCATTTTCTTTTCTTTTTAATTACATTTATATTTCAATCATTTACGTTAGGCTTATTTTCATTTATCATTATTATTAATAAATTATTTGACATTTTAAATAAAGATTCGTTTAATTCATTCAAGGTTGCCCACTGCTACGCGGAGGAACTGGTAACATATCCTCAAGAGATTGTAGATATCCTGAAGACGCATAATACTGTTCTTGACAATGATATGCGAATGGTAAATTTGTCCTACTTCGTTATAGGCAGTAAATTGAAACATTACCAGCTTTGGCGAATAGTTTTAACGGAGAAAACGAACCGGATTATCTCAATTATATTAGCAGCGAAGTGGTAGACTGAACATTTTCGTTAATTATCCAAAGAACCAAATTATTTTTTTATTGTAATTGCCTAAGGTACTTCCGTAGTACCGACACTATATTTGAACTATCTATTGTTGGACACGATGAAAAAATATTGCCAAAATTCAAAAACTTTTATCATGTCATCTTCAAAATATATATCACGCTATGAAAAAACGTGAAATTTTGGATAACAACGGATTTCCAACAGATTAATAACAGATAATCCAAATTTGGAGTTTCTAGAATGTTGATAAATTTTTTGCATCTTCTTAAAATGCATGGAAAATTGAATTCCTTAAATTCAACCATGCGCTTGCTTCAAATAATAAAAGAACGAATTTTGATTCCTTCGGTACTGAATTTACTCATACTAAAACCAGAATTAAATTCCTACTTGATGTACTTTGCTTTCCCAGACCTTCTGCAAGACTCTTATTCTCCTCCGGAACAAAGGGCTTCTGGAGCCCACAGTCCTCCTGAGTTTGTTCTTTGAGCTCCTCAAGTGCCAGGACAAGGCCCTGCGGCAATTTCTGCAGACGCACATAATCGGAGACATCAAGAGTATAAACTCGAAACAGAAAAACACGAGAGTGAACACGACCCTCCAGAACTTCATGTTCACGATGCTGAAGGACAGCAACGCTCGGGCTGCCAAGATGTCGGCAGATATAATGATAGAACTCTATAATAAGAATGTATGGAATGATTCGAAGACGGTGAATGTCCTGGCGACGGGTTGCTTCAGTAAGACAACCAAGGTCATGGTGGCGTGTCTCAAATTCTTCCTGGGAACAGACCCAGAGGACGGCAAGACCTCTGACGATAGCGACTCGGATGACGACACCCCTAACGTGAAAGAAGTCCTTATGGCCAACAAAGTCAACAAGAAGACGAAAAAACGAGAGAAACAACTGAAGAAGGTAAAGCAGCTCTTCGTCAAATCGAAGAAAAATAAGTCCAAAGCTCCACAATTCAACTTCTCAGCTCTCCACCTGGTGCACGATCCGCAGGGCCTCGCCGAAAGGCTCTTCAAGCAGTTGGACAAGAATAACGAGCGGTTTGAAATCAAATTGATGACCCTGGACGTCATCTCCCGGTTGATTGGTCTTCACAATCTCTTCCTTCTTAATTTCTATCCATACCTCCAGAGATTCCTCCAGCCCCACCAAAGGGAAGTGACGAAACTACTCCAGTTTGTCGCTCAGGCGTCCCACGAGCTTGTACCTCCCGATGTCCTGGAGCCTCTCCTCAAGACTCTGGTTAATAATTTTGTCACTGAGAGGAATTCCGCTGATGTTATGGCCATCGGGCTCAATGCTGTTAGGGAAATTTGCATGAGGTGTCCTCTCGTTATGAATGAGGATCTTCTGAGGGATCTGGCACAGTACAAGAACTATAGAGATAGGAGCGTCATGATGGCTGCCAGGTCATTGATTTCCCTCTTTAGGCAGACCATGCCTGAATTGCTGCATAAGAAGGATAGGGGAAGACCTACCGAGGCTAGCGTGGCTATTGAAACCCCCAAATATGGGGAAGTTAATGCCAAGGATTATGTCATGGGAGCTGAAGTACTTTTGGAGAAGGGAACGAATGATGATGATGATGATGAGGATGAGGATGAGGATGAGGGCGAGGACGATGGAGAGTGGATTGATGTCAGTCACTCTGAGGGGGAAGGAGAGGAAGAAGAAAGTGAAGAAAAAGTAGAAAAGGACAAAGGAGAAGAAGATGGGGAGGAAGAAGAAGACGAAGATGAAGAAGATGAAGATGATGAAGATGATGAAGATGATGAAGAAAAAGAAGAAGAAGAAGGTGAGGATAGTGATGCTGCCGAGAAGAATGCGGAAGAGGATAAAAATGGGGAAAAAATAAAGAGTAAGGCAACCCGAAAGATTCTGAAACCGAAGAAACGCACTAAATTGGACAGGAAAAGGGACAAAATGGAAAGACTCGCCAGGATGAAGAAGACGAAGAAGGTAGAGTTTACAGCTGAACGGAAGGCAAAGGCTGCGCAGATCTCTGTGGATCGACTCCTGACTGATGAAGACTTCAAGAAGATTGATACTGCTTTGGTGAAGCAGCAGGTGACGCATGCCAGAAGGGGTGTCAAAAGGCCACTCCAGGAGGAGAGTCGAGGGGAGCTTGTCAGACTCGGGGATATTGAGAATATTTTCAAAAAGAGAAAACATGATAAGCAAGCCCGTATGGAATCGGTGAAGAAGGGCAGAGATGACCGCGAGAAGTTCGGTTATAAGGATGGCAGGCAGAATCCTCTTTGTAGTAAAACTAATCGCGAGAAAAAGAAAACCAAGGCCTTTCAGATGATCAAGCATAAAATTAGAGGAAAAACGAAGCGGTCGTTTAAGGATAAACAGATCGCATTGAGAAATCATTTGATCAAGCAGAAACGAATGAAATAAAGTATTTGTAACGATTTTAATAAAATTTTTTCCTTGAATAATCGAGGTCTTTTTTTTTATTCATCCTCAATGAATTTCATAATCTGACTTAATCATTTTTCGATCATGGAGATAATTTTTTTGGACTCAATTTTAATTTTGAAAAGTACATTAAAATGACAATGATTTTTCAGGACTAAGTTTAAACGTATAAACGAGAGGTATTCACTGAAATTGAAAAATTAAAAATTTTCTCCTGTATGAATGCTTTTTGTTTTCCATTTGTTTAACTGAAATTTAGCCGACTGTAGAACGAGCGGGAGGGGGAAGCCACATCTTGTGGAATTTCAGACGAAAAAAATAATTCAATATGTTGAACATATACCACTAATAAAATTATATTTTCATAATGAGCGCGTTGTCCTATGGGTAACGAGCTCGGCAAGCACGCCGACGGCCCGGGTTCGATCCCGCCGTCATTCATTTTTTTTTTAAATAATTCCAATTTTTTCTTTAGTGAGGTATTCACTGCAATTGAAAAATTCGAAATTTTTGAAAAAAAATCCTCTTTGGATCCCATCTTACCCCTGCACTCCTCTTGACCGACAACCGCTAGTTATGAAACGTTTCCATAGAGGGACAACGGCCGCAAGACATTACAGTCAATGCCAAAAAAAAATCGAAGAAGAAGAGGACCCAAAGGTGTTCAATTGGTTTGACCAACAAGTGTCAAAACACGACCATAACAATCAGGGCCAGTCGCCCGAAATATCAGACTTCTGATCCTGAATGGAGACAATGGGACAATAACCAATCGTGAGAAGACTTTTCTTTATCGGGGAACATACTAAGTGACAGTGACAGTCACCAGCCAACGTGATGTGATCCAGAGGATGTGATAACTCTTTTGTGTGAAATGACCATTAATGCAAAATGTGGAAAAGTATTTGTGCATTGTTTGGTGTCCTGTGCCTGTTGAAGCCTGGAGAATGTACTGCGCACTGCTACTCCGAGTTCTGTCGTAACACCGTAAAAATCCATTTAAATTACTCATTTATAAACCTATTTTTAAAATCTAAATTCAACTTCATGTGTCTTCTGACAGGAGGAAAGTTACTAGTAAATTAATAGAATAATTTAGCCCTTTCTTCAAGAAACGTTATTGGACTTCTCTAGTAAATAACTTCTGATGGATGCTTCTGATTTCTTTTAGTCTCTGAGTTTGATGGAATCTCAATGGGGAAAATCCCTAGAAAATGGATCTTGTCTACTGACTCCCATCCAGAATAATTCAGATTGCAAAAACATGAAATTCAATGGTTTAGGACGACTACCACCCCCTGGAGTGCCACTTGCAGATTTTGAACTTTCTGCATACGTCTATCATGAAAGAGGAACGAAAATTACTGCCTTTAATTTAACTATTAAGGACATCACATTCCGAAGTAATTGGCAATTCAGAAAGCAATATGTGCTTTCCAACATTTCAGAATGAAAAAATCATAAACTTCAACTGAATTTAACCTTTTGTCTAGAATTGGTGACGAGGTACCAAGAACTTGTAGACTCGACATCGTCTTACTGCCGACATATCCATTTCTATGGGCTAAATCAAGCTAATGTTAAACCGAATTTATTCGTATCTTGTCCCTTTACTGCAGAAGCATTCGAAGAACGGAGCTATTGGTTGGAGTACTCAATTATTGGAGATAATTACGAATACAGTAGAAAATTACTGTTTAATGTCCCAAGTCATCATCATATTGGTAAATATTCACGGCAAGAATTGTTATCAAACACTCCTCTTTGATTTATCTATTCTTTCATTAAAATGACTAGTAAATAGCGTGACTTTTGTTAATTAATCATGTTAATTATGGAGATTCATGATTTAATTTGACAGTTCGATTGTCACTTGATAACTCATTAAATAATTGAAAATTTCCTTGAATTACTGATAGATTAACTATTGGTTTATTTTTCTGATATACTCTTCATCGTTAAATTCATTACATTTTCCTATCCTTGTTCACAGATCAGAGATTATCAAAGATTATAAATTTTTACGTAATATAAAACTTCCCCATCTCTCCTTATCACTGGAAATTAATTTAGTGAACAATAATCCGGAGCAATAATGGGTGAAAACTTGAGATGAATAATCAATGATCGATAAAAAATGGAATGGTTTTGTAGGTGAACGTGTGGAAGACGTACGGAATTACATTCCTTTCATCTACGTCGACGTTTCCGACATGCCTGTACTGCGCTTGCACATCCAACCATTACCGAATAAATTTAACATCTCGAATTACCGCATCTGGGTGATAAATAATGAGACATCCACTTCGGAAATCACCAAGGTCAAATCGCTGAACTCTGAGGAGCATATCTCGCATAATTTCTCAGTATCTGATGGTACACACTACGTGTACGTCGCTGCTATGCACCCACATTGTGGAGAATATGGTTGCGTAAACAACTCACTGTCAGTCATCACTAGGAAACAGCCGACGCGGCGGATACTCATCATGATAATAAGCGTTGTTTGGATACCACCTGTGATACTCTATGCGATATACTACCTGTACAAATTGTACAACAGGAATAATTTGTTCAAGCATGTCACCAGGAGGCCTAAGTGTCTTCTGGTTTACTCACCAACGCACATGGCACATGTCGACGTTGTTTTAAATTTAGCTAATTACTTGAGGTCTTGCAGGGTTGCGGCCATGGTTGACGTACTTGATATTCCAGAAACTGTCACGAAGGTAAAAATTTTTCTCTAGAGTTGCAATAGAAATTCACCACAATTTTTCAGAGAGCTCACTAGTTTGCGATTCATTGCGTTTCAACGATTGAAACACGTTGATTTTTCTCACAGGATCCAGGCTACTGGTGCAATGAAGCTTTCAAGTCTGCAGATACGATAGTCGTCCTGGCCTCACCCCATCTGGGAGCAGTATCTGTACCAGTAATCTACAAAAATGTAGACAATCATGCCTTGAGACTTCTCAAAGAGAATTACTCACTGAGAAACAAACGATATATCACCATCGAACTCCCTTATTGCACGTATGAGGAGATCCCCGAAGAAGCCAGGCTCTTCAAAAGACTCAAGCTCCCAGAAAATCTTGACAAACTCGTCAAGTACCTCCACAATTTCGAGTTTAATCGGTGCTTCACAGGACCGAGTGAACATTTGATCCAGAGCATCGGCCTAGCGACCATGGAAATCACTCGGGAAAGACAAGAAAGTCCCAAGAATATTGACGAGACTCATGGCCTCCTACCTCCTGCTGATTCAACTACTATTGCTACTGAAAAATCAGAAATCACTACTATCGAGACAAAAATTGTGAGTGACGAACCCAAGTTTGAGGATCATCATCAAATTCTTCAGGAAGAACCTCCAACGAGAACCTATAGAACGAATATTCACGAATTGAATCTGTTCGGAGAGTGTGAAGAACCAGAGGAAATTAGATATCGGCCTCCTGCTAACATCAGTGGTTTCCGAATTGATCAATTGAACTTGTGAAGCTGGTTAGCCTTTTTTGGGTTTTCTTCGGTAAGTTTAAAAAAAAATCGTCTATAAAAACTGGAAGACTTATAAGGAAATTTATATAAAATGATAAAAACTTGATGATAAAATCATACAAAATTTTGGAACGTACGACATTCTTAAACTGTCGAAATGGTGAAATACGTGGAGCGGGAGGTGAGAGGCAGAATGAAAGCGGTCGAATAAATACTCTGAATATCAGTACGACAATGTCAGAAAGTAGAGTAACATGGTGAAAAAGTGATATATCGCACCAGGTCGACTCCGGGCGACTGCCGTGATAGAAAATTCCGGAGTGACCACCTAATTTCCGTAGCGAAACACTTTAAAATATTTTTTTCAGTTATCAATTTATCTCGAAAAATGTTGTGATTTTATAGTTGATGCATTGTTTATATTAACATATAATTTTTTTCTATACATTTTGATACCTGGTGACTGCGGTGACCTCGATTATTTCGTCATTATATAATTTATAATTGAATATGAATAAAAATGCACTCAAGTAATAATTACTACCTGAAGTTTAATCGACTTAATTTGTAGTCATAAATGCAGTAATACCTTATGCAAACTTCAAAACAGCTATGACTCTGAATTCAATATGAAATTCGTCAATTACTCTTAATGACCCTCCGATCCATCAATTCTCCCGATCCTGTGATTAATTCAAGTGGTCCTGTGTATTCCCATTACTTTCGGAATATGTATACGGTGAACAGACACGGTTTTCTTATATTTATCTTTTTTACAACCAGGTAATCGATGAATACATTGAAACATTACCGGACGATCGTCTGGGCCTAGACTAATATTTGCTGGAGTGAGAAAAAAGAATCACTTTGTCAATTTTTCCTTAGCACGATCACAGTAAATTCACGTTACCAGAGATTTTCGATGGCCCTCAACATACCACGCTTTCGAAAAGTGTTCGTTCCTTTGCGCGTATAGAAATTCTCCATCGTCTGGGAATCAAACTGGTGGTAAAGTGAGATATATTAAATTTTACTCAATTCTTTTGCTCACTAATTCTTGATCCATCTCGAAACTGTAATATGTATTGTAATAATTATATCATTATATTAGACTAATATTACTCCATAATATTTTATTATTAATGTTGTTATGTATACTACATTAATTATATTAATTATAAATTTCCAATGAAAAAGGCACTTGATATTACCATTTCGCTGTATGAAGTTGCAGTGCAACATGAAAACTTCGTTTTTAATTTGGTTTAACTTATTTCACTTTACGAGCGAAATAAAATCCATTGAAATGGAATAAACGGTTGCTGTCGATGCAATGGCTGTTGGAGTACTACCGATTCGTTTCGGTATTATCCACCCCGGAAGTAGAGAAAATTACCCGTAATGATTCGATTTAAAAAGGGTTGAATACTAGAGTGCCATCGCTTTTGTTTACCATGAATACACTCTGGGAAATTGCCGCATGTTCTATTTTGCATCTTCTGTCTGATTCACTTCAATTACGGGAGCGAATGATATTCAGCATTTCTTCCAGGGAAGGCAATTACATTTGCTATTGAAAATAATTTCAAGTCTTTACACAGTTCTTTTGATGCAATCTTCTTCAATTAGAGTATCGATCGATGTTTGCACCGATAGTAATTTTATAGCGAGTTCTCAGGACGGGTTGAGACCTTGCTGAATGAAGAAGACCATGGAGGTGCTAAGGACCGAGCATCGAGACATTCTCAACATGCTGTTGACGGTGGGGAGGTACGCTAGTCCAGTAAATTTTTATATTTAGGCTTTACTATTGTTTATTTTTCAAATACTCATCTTTAGTCGAATTCAGGAGGACAATACCAAATTTCAGGTTTATTAGACAATTTAAGGATGTGTTGAACTTTTTAATCTGGGGAAACGGTAAAATGAATTTTATCAATTTAATGTGATCCGGATTTTTTTTTCAACTCATCATTTCTTGAATCTCTTACCCTTTTTAGATACTCTTGCATAATGTGTTTATTTATAATTCCAAAATTCCGGGGATTAAAAAATGAGACAATAAGAGAAAAAATGCCGAAAGACTTCAAAAACTTATAGTATATATTTCAGTGGAAGTATCGTTTGATGAAAATTCTGAATTGTCATAAAAGACAATAATTGACATTATTCTTAAAAAAAACCAAGTATTAATGAAGAGACGAAATGAATTGTCACATTCTCTTGAATTTTGAAATCTCGCAAATGATAATTAATTATGAATAATATTTGGAAAACTCATATCGGGGATTTATGTGAACAGAATAGGGGGGATTTGGAGTGCCGTGGATCCACCCCTGTTGATCCAAAGGTTTCTGTACAGTATCTACGGGTTTATTGCCAAGAGTACGTTGTGGATTTTGGCGGGGACGATGTCCGCTGATATAATCTCCAATTTGGATGACATACTAGCAATATCCGACGCCGGTGCGATGCTAGCTGGGCTCTCAGCGGTTATTGCGAAAGTTGTAGTTTTCCAACGACACTCGATGAAAATTCGACAACTCATCGAGATGGTGTACAGGCCGATTGACACGATGGTCATGGCAAAAGGTGTTGCCCCGATTATTATGACATTTCGTTGGAGTATAATATAACGAATTACAAAACTGTAGCATGTATAATGGAATTTTTATCGAAATACCATTAATTATGGAATAATGTTCGAATCTTCAATAGAAATCTCACAGATATTTTTATTGAAATAGTTTGAATTTTCAATTGAATTGTTTTTATTTTCTCCAGAAGGTCCTGTTTATGGTCTAATGAATTTCCACGTAACAGTAGAAAAAGTCATAGAATACGGCTGGGCGGGTATGGCAGTGCAGCTGGTGGGTGCTATGCTGGTGTCCCCAGTGATATTCGCTGGTGGAAATTCCAGTCTGCCATTGAGATCGAAATATCCATTCGATACTACCGATGACATGAAGCATAATGCGGCTCTTGGTCTGCAGATAATTACAGCTATTTTCAACTTTACTGCGATGTTTGCTCTGGACGGACTCATGAGGGGCTTCTGTAGATGGACAAGTTTTCAAATGCAAATTCTCAATTCCAATTTCCGACACTGCGATCCAATTTGGCCTCACAGTGGCAAAGAATTTACGGTTGAAAAATTAACTTATATGAGCGATTTTGAGAGCAAAATCAATTGCTTCGTATTGTTTCATCCAGTTGAAATCACTCGAGAGAGCGACTCCTTCCTGAAACGCTTTGAGACCTGTATCCAACATCATCAGAGGATTATCATCATAATTAATACTATGAATCAAGTCTTTGGCTACTATATCTTCGCTGAATTTTCATCCAGTACTTTTATTATGTGCCTCACTGGCTTTCAGATTCTTTTGGTAAGTTTCTTATTATTCGAGATACCGGACGGTTGCCTAATTGTAATTGTAAATAATTAAAAAAATTATCTTAATGAAATTTCCTCGTGTGTAAAATTTTGGAGATAATTTATAATTTACAGAATTTATAAATGCAATTTTGTAGGGGAAGAGGTCGACGACGAATGTAATCAAGTTTATGCTATACTTCAATGCAGCATTCGTCCACTTAGCAACTTGTTGTTTCTTCGGACAAATGTTATCGAACGAGGTAAATCCCTTTCGGGGTGTCCATGTGATTGCCAATATTTGTGCATATGATGATTACAGGGTAATAAAATAGCGGACAGTATGTGGGCATCGGGTTGGGAAAAAGAGGCGAATATGTCTCATGCTGGATATTTAATGATAGTCGCCCTGATGCGTGCCAAGCAGCTCCTCGAACTCAAAGCCCTCGGATTTTATGCCGTCTCGATGGAGACTTTCTTGATGGTAAATCACTCACCTCTGGCACATTCCATGTCTGAACTTTCTCTAATTTTTCCTTCATCTCATTTAATCGCCAATGAATTAATCACACATAATCCATGAAGTATTCACTATTTACTTGAACGTTTACAGATCGTCAAGAGTTCTTACTCAGTTTTCGCTCTGCTTACGGCGACAGCTGATGAATCTCTCGAGTGATTCTTATACCTGATGATTTAATAGCATAGTGACAATAGATTATGGGAATCGATTCGATGAACATTTGAGCACACGCATTCGTTTGATCTGATGATGCATAAGAGGACTGCTAACTGTATTCTCAAGACCTGAATAAATAGATAATTACATGTTTTAAACACGTTTTTAAAAATGTCGTATTAAGCTCGTCATCTAATCATTTGAAGTCGTAATTTACACTTTTCACTTATTATTCACTTATTATCCGTATTTTATCGGTGGCTTTGTAAGTGTAAATAACAAACATTAGTATTTGAAATTCAAATTTATCTTTGTTAATTGCAAGCGATATTCGCTCATAGAAATCGACCTCAAGCGCAGATGACGGACAACAATCGTCTCTCTCACGTCTCATCTGTTTTCTCTCTGCGTTGAGTTGACGTCAATTTTCCATCGAAGCGTCGCCTCGCAACATTTTGCCCGTGACCAAGCATAATATATATATTTGGTGATTAATAACACACGACAAAGAAACGAAAGGTCAAGTAAACATTTTCATCGTGGAGACGTAAGTTAACTTGGTCTTGAGAAAATTCAGGTAGAGTTTGATGTCCGTCCATGTGGTTTGGGAGACGATAGTTGAGTAATCAGTTTCGAGTGAAAAAGTTAAGAAGCACCTGATTCTGAAAGCAGGATATATCTCCTGTCTGAGGCCCGCGAAATGCAGGGACAAGATGGAGAAGGCGGAGACGGAGGTGACTACAAACACTTGACCCATATTTTCATAACACTCCACTTCATCGACGCCTCGTAGATATTACGAGTTTAACCTAGAAATTTGGGTTTTATTCTGCAATCAGATGATTTTATATAGAATTAAAAAAAAACGAGTATTTTCCACTGCTTCTAGACTTTTCTTTCTACACTGCAATCTTCTTCTCAATCTGATTGATGGTTTGAAGTGTTTAAAAATCGATTTCCAACTCTCAGAAACTGTTATTTACGAACAAAATTTTAAAAAATGTTGAAAAAAGTCATATTTTCTAAAAGACATATTTGGAAGAATGTTTAATACCCATAATTTTCTCAATTCAATCAACACATTTCGCGATTAAAAAATGAAGATATAGTATTTTAGGGGAGTTTTAAATTATTGGATAAATATTGAAGGTTTGACGAGTATCATTTGGCCTAGATCTTCAGCTATTGGCATTTGCCATGGGGTATTCGTAATAAACTCATTCCCATTTAGAAGGTTATGGGAATAAATTGTTGATTAGGCTCACCATGGAACAATTCGAGTGGCTGCGAGGAGGAGAGAAGACCAAATGCGAAGGAGGGCAAGAAGTCCAACGTTTTACCTTTATGGGGAAACGAGAGGACTATGAACTTGAATACCTTGATTCTCACAAACATCCTGTCCTCCCACTACTTTAAAGTAAACTTGTACGAGTTGAAGACTTATCACGAGGTAATCGATGAGATCTACTACAAAGTTGCTCACCTAGAGCCCTGGGAAAAGGGCAGCAGAAAAACTGCCGGCCAGACTGGGATGTGTGGAGGCGTGAGTATGTTTTTTATCCATCAGAGAAAACCGAGACCAGTGAATAAACCATGCACCCACGTTTGTCTGCATTTACCATTGTTTTTTCGTCATTACCAATATAAAATGCAGACAAATATGTTAATTATCACAATCGCAGCATTAAACTTCTCATAAGACACGAGGGAATCATTTCCTACAACGATAAATTATTAACGAACAGTTTGAATTTTAATGTTTTCATGATAATACGTCACTTATCAATTACAGAATAGAGTGTTGTCGGTTGATAGTTAATAATGTTATGCGAAAGTGATTTAATTAACGATTGATGTTGTAACTTTAGCGGTTCATGCAGGTACGGGGTGTTGGAGCTGGTGGTATTGTTTCAACGGCTTACTGTCTACTCTATAAATTATTTACCTTGAGATTAACAAGAAAGCAGCTGAATGGTCTCATCAATCACCCAGATTCTCCGTACATACGTGCTCTTGGGTTTATGTACATTAGGTGAGTCAAATCCTTTTCCATTCACTTTTTTCTGGATATGTGCAAATCGGGGGCAAAGAACTGAATTCATGACCGAATTTCCGGGGAAGGGTGGATTTTTAGATATAAGTTAGCTAATCGTATTTCACAAAGTTATTGTACGTATATTTCATAATTGTACAGACCCTGCATAAAGCCCTTACGACAATGAGGGCAATAGATTTTTTAAAATTTTTTCCATTCAGTTTTCTTTGAACGTTCAACGACGGTTTGGTGAAAAAAAAAATGAATTCTGGACATACGTCACTTTGCTGAATTGAATAATGAATGATTTTCGTGCAGATACACACAACCACCAGCCGATTTATTCATGTGGTACGATGATTACCTCGAGGACGACGAGGAAATGGATGTAAAAGCAGGGGGAGGTCAGGTGATGAAGATGGGAGACATCTTGAAGCAGTTCCTGACCAAGCTGGAGTGGTTTTCGACCTTATTTCCGCGTATACCAGTGCCTATACAGAAAGACTTAGAGCATCGACTGGGAGAGAGGTTTCCACAGCAGACGGCCAATGCACGCAACGCTAAACCACCGATAACTCTGAATAATCATGGAAAGTACAATAACAGCAATGGGGGGAGGAAGGACAACGGCAGTGTGACAGCCAGGGGGATGGGGAGGTATGTGCAGGAAGAGGCTCAATGGGGAGAGGAGCAAACGAGCCAGTGGCGAGCCAGGTGCGTCTACGTGGTATGAGTACAATCACGATATCATTGCTTTTTTCATTTCCACATTTTTTTATGGGGTAAATCGACTGGTTCTGGGGTTAATCAGCGGAATAGAATACGTTGAACAAATTTTTGGATGTTTTTGTATTTTGTATTAGTAGTGAATTACATTAGTGTACTAGTCACTACTGGGATGCAATATTGATATCTATGCTCTCTCCTCTCATGTTCGTGTTCCAGGTGTGAGGAGGAACGCAGAGACAAGTACAGGGACAGAAGTGACAGAGAGCGCAGGAGATCACGAGAACGTGAGCGATCGAGGGATCGGGGAAGAGTGGATGACAGGAAGCGTGATCGTCACTCGAGGCGATCCAGCCGCGATCGAAGTCGTGACAGGAGGAGGAATAGAAGTCGCAGCAGGGATAAATTTGCCGAGAGGAGCAAGGAGCGTCATCGTGATAGAGACAGACATAGGGACAGGTAATAGAGTTTTTTTTTTTCATTTCATTTTGAAAACAGTTTAATTAGTTTCTAAGGAAAATTTCGGGCATTTTGTGAGTGAAAATCTCATCGAGGCTTTTGCTAATTGCAGGAGGGGTTCTCCAATTGACTATGCAGCGGAACTAGCTAGAGAAAGAGATCGTCAACGCCGAGACTAGAAAAAATCCTTAATTACTACTGAATGTACAATTATTGAAGTTGATAAGATAAATGTAATGCAAGTGTATTCTGGAACGAAAGAGGAGCATTTCAGGGAGGACGAGAGAAACTATATCAATTTAGAACCGAGCCACTGCGACTGCATTCTACGAAAAACAAATTTTTTGGAAACTCCAAATGGGTCAGGAGTATTTAGCCTAATGTTTGAATAAATAGTTCAATATTATCCATCATGTAGTTTACATGTTTTTTATAAATAAAGTCGATGACTGTACTGATGGTTTATTGATGTTCTAAACGCTATTACCAATAATAATTATTTCATTTGAAAAATTACCGTTTTTTTTCCAGAAATTAACCAAGTGCTACCTTCAACTAATCGACAGAGTGGCGATTAAAATATAAAGTAAATATATGAATAATATAGATAAATAATATTTTTCTTCCAATATTCATAAATCAGAAATTACATAATCGATCGAGCTGAGTTTACTGCGACGAGACAGAGGAAGACGTACGTTTCGAAGGAAAACTTTTACTTCACCGATTTCAATAAAAGTCAATAGCTAATCAATGGATCAAGTAAATAAGATTTTAATATTAAAAAAATTTACGCATGTGACATGCATTATAAAATTAAAAAAAGTGAAATGAGAAAAACAGTATTGTTGAGAATTTGGAAATTGAAAAAAAATGCGCGAATATGGTGTGGATTTGGCAAGTGTATGCGTAGATCGGTCGTGAAAATAGCGAGAGGGAATGAAAGATGGCGACAGTTGGATAGTGTGTTGGATAAGCTGGTGGTGGTGGGATGGTGAGTCGGTTGGTCTGGTTGATATCCAGGGATATGGAATATCGGTGAGGAAAGGGCTGTGGATTACAAGCGAGGGATAGTTTTGATAAAAATGCGAGGTCATTGTCCTCCCCACCTCACCCAGTGGACCTCTTCAGCCAATCAGAGGTAAAATATTCCAATTCGTCACTTAATAATGTCATCTGGTAATTCGCAATCTTTATTTCTTCGACAAGTGTCTGGATACGTGCGATAATTCCTTGTGTTCTGTTACTCGTAGATGATTGGCCGGAGATGTGCGCTCTTCGCTCTTGGCGGTCTTTTGATTCTCGTGCTTACGGTTAATATTTATTTCATCCGTATGATTGTTGAAAATTCACCGGAGAAGAGTTACTCGCGTAATCTGCCGGTTTCGGGGGAAAAGAATCAAGAAAATGTTGGAGGCAAGGATGGAGAGAAAAAGGCAGTCAGGAAATCAATGACCAGAGAGATGGAGGAGAGAATCAAAGCAGAAATGCGATTACTACCCTCTAAGTATTTCAAACGGAATTCTAGCTATGCTGTTCTACTCGATAGGCTTTTGGCTGAACTCAGGATCATGCCCAACGCCCAGAAGGACATATGGAGCATACCCAACAACAATGTTAGTATTTTATGAGACAGAGTCGAATCACATCATCACAGGACATAATACAACCGAGGCATCAATTTTTTAAATCCTGAGAAAGATTATACATTCTTTCTCCTAAACCACTTTCTTCAATAGATATTTATCCTCTCATGCATCCGTTTATTGATTATCAAATTGATTTGAAAGAAAGTTCGAAATATTCTCGACTATTCAGCAAATTATATTTCACTCAAATTATATTTTTCATACAATATAATTTTCCAGTCATCGCTAGCGCATCAATGACCAACATAGTTTGAAAATCTTTGAAAAGTAAATTAAATCGTGAGTCTCTGAAGATTTAATTGTTGAATAACTTGCAGAGTGAGTGGAGAACGAATTGAGGAGGGAAAAAGTCATTAAAACGCTTAGGCAATTTTAATAACTCTGGGGTCCCTGCCTCCGGAGAGTTTAATCCGTTGATGGTTTTCAGTGGCCAGATGCGCATCAATTACTGCCAGCAGCGGCCCCTGAATTGGGGACAATATTCGAGGCAATGAGAACAGCGAAAATAGTAAAAGCTGACAACGCACCAGTTGGTACACAATTGAAACTGATGCTGACACTGGAGTCAGGTGTTAAAGCACTCTTTAAGCCGCAGTGGTATTCAAGAGACACTATTCTAAATGGGCCAGTGTATTTCGGTAAAGATCGCCACAACGCCGAGGTCGTGGCCTTTCATTTGTCTTCCTTACTTGGACTGAGGAGAGTTCCTCTCACAGTTATTAGGAAATGTAAGAAAAATAATTTAGTACCCAAGTGATTCTGCAACTAGTCAACTCCCCAGAGAGAGAGAGAGTAACGAAAAAGATTTTTATAAAAATATGTCTGAGATTCAACAGTTAAATTTAATTTGTTTAACTTTTTATGACTTCATATTCATCCTAAATTTAAACAACAAATGCAACAAATTTACATCGACTGTTAATGATGGAATTTATTTTCAGTAAGACTTAGTGAAGTTCGCAATTACGCGACACCGAAATTGTATGAGACAATGTATCAAGAGGGAAATGAGACTTGTCTCTACGGTGTCTGTCATTACTGCTCTCCAGCAGATCCAGTCTGTAGCTCTAATGATATTCTAGAGGGTGCACTAATTCTGTGGCTACCCGATTATCTCAAGTTATTTAAACATCGACATCCGTGGCAGAGAACGTACAAACGCAATAAATTAGCTCTGTGGGAAACGGATATTCATTACTGCGACAAGGTATCTATTGTAATTCATGCAGAATTGTTGGTGATCGGAGAAACGGCACAATTATTTTTGCTTTCTGTAACTTTTGTTTTTGAAGGTAAAAGAGACAAAGACTTATGCCCCCCATTCCTCGAGTCGTCTGTTAGACATCATAGACACTGCAGTCTTCGACTATTTAATGGATAATGGAGACAGGCATCACTATGAATTAACTCAGAATAATTTTCACAATCCTGCTGTGCTATTAATAGATAATGGAAAGAGTCTGGCCAATCCAGACGTCGATCATGTGGATATATTGGCACCTCTTTATCAGTGCTGCATCATTCATAAAACGACGTGGGACAGACTGCAGTTGTTGGGCGGAGGTGCTCTCAGTGCTTCTCTGGGGCGACTCCTGGCACACGAGTCCATGATGGCTGGGGTTGGGGTTCAACCACTCATCACTGATGATCACCTCAGTGCCATGGACAGAAGACTACTCACCATTTACGCCGTTGTCGAGTACTGCTTGAAAATTAAAAAGTACTCGTCCAGTGTCATCCTAGATCATCGATAAGTGTCGTAGATAATTGTCGTAGATCGTCAATATAAATCAATGCATTCTGTTAAATTCATTTGTAAGAGTAAATTAAGGAAAAAGAGTTACCAATAATTCTTCATTTGTCGATAGATTTTAGTAGGGACCTGACAATTATAGTAGCCAAGTGGTAAAGTCAGAAAATTGAATTTAACTTTTTTTAAAAATTCCAATGGTCGATTTACCTCGAAAACCTGTGATTCAAGATTTGATTTGATATACAACAAAAAAAATCTAGGGACTTGCCGTTTTACGATTTTGCCACTGATTGTCTCTCCCGTCAAAAATCAATGCTATAATTTGGAGATTAACTGTGGAACAAATTTCAATGAATAAATATAAGTTTTTATTCTGCTGTCCATATATTAACTGGAACAGATAGTGGTGTCGTATTGGGGAAATAAAATTTTTAAAAATTCATGTTGCATACGATTTATAATTTTATTTATGACACAATTATGATTATTATTTCGGGAAAGTCAGGGTGCAGGCGCCAGTACAGCGTACAAATAGCGGTACAAACGTAAAAAATTCTGTAAACGCGACTGTATAATTCGTCACCACACACATCCACATTGATCCTGTCATACCTAAAATTTCTAGACTGTAATCCTTCATTATTGTTTTCCCATCCCCATTCTCCCAAGTGGGCTAAAGAGATTTTATCTGAAAAAATTGGTATCACAATACATGTACAATAAAAAACGTTAGAAGTTGTAATTTTTCCCAGCAGTGGTTACATGAAAAATTGGAGCAAATTCGCGATACAAATTACCCATTTTTACAGTTTAAAATCCATCGAATTGTTTGCTTCAATGGAAATGACATTTCACATGTTGAGTGATATTTTTATAGCATCCGCAACGATTCCTTCCCTTAATCATGTGCATCTTCACAATCCCGTCACTTTACTCGCGTTACAAGTTCTATTTACAAATTACATATGACCAGAATTACTCACGTATCTTACTGGCTAGTATAAATTTCAATCAGAATATATAATGATGATTCCGTACATTTATATAAAATTCAGCGCCATTATTTTCGTTTATTATATATTATCAACATTCTCCATTCGCCCAATTAAATATAGCCTTTTGTTATCTCCATGCAGATCTGTTTCTGTATAAATATATTACTCCCGAGCACAATGAGTCATAGACAAACCGTCATGATTCACATTCGTTCCACGTTTTTTCCTCCTGGATAATAAAAAAATCGTGGAAAATTCCATGCCCGGGGTTGGATTCAAGAACGATGGAATTCATTCGAGCCTGTTAATACTGTATTTCATCAGAAAGAATTTATCCTCGCCACTCAGGCACTAGACTTCAATAGATCCCCATTGTATGCTATTCGAGTTGTCTAAAGTCTCTTAAAAATATAATCAAGTTCTTTTCATTAGGATTCTCTTTAGGTGCTGTGTTTATTCGATGACGAGTCATCCACTCTACGTTGAAACACTGAATTATCGCCTTTTTTCAATTATTTAAACACCATTAGACCTTGAGACATTCATTGAGGCAAAACTGCACTTGCTGGAACTCTTCGTGACAAATAATATTTTCGATATTCCATAAGCTGTCGCTGATGGAATTGAAAATTTTTTGGAATGGCTGTTTTTTTGTTTCAAGTTGTGGTAAGTTTAAAATGTCTATTACTTAATTTATTTATTTACTTATTCCTCAGCCATGTAACTAAAAGACTAAATAGCTAGCCTCACAACGACGGAACTAGTGGGTTACGAATTTACTAGGCAGTTTCATAAATTATTTGTCTCGTTTAACAGTTCGCACATGCACATGAGAATCGATTTGGAATCGTCGAAAAAAAAAGACGAAACACTTGTTCTCAATGTGCCTGACTCGTTAGAATAGTTACCGATGGTTAATGCAAATCTATACTATTTAGAGAGCTGATTCTACCCCAGTGTTAGATGATCTCGAAGCGGTGAGATCCTCGGAGTGGCGAGTGTTGGAGGAGTCCAGGGATGTTGCTGAGTCACTGTCGTTACTGTGGGGACTCGAGTAGTTGGCTGCCTCCTGCAGTCTCATCAGCATGTTCAACTGCAACGAGAGAACAAAAGGTAAATTATTGATCTTGCTGTAGTGTAATAAAAAGCTTGAATTGTGCAGTGTGTATTTTTGTCTGACTCACCAAAGGATCACCATCAGTGTCACTGTGTGTACTGCCAAGGCTCTTAACACTAGAGCTGCCAACTCCAGCAGTGTGGCCAGAAGGATCCTCATCGTCATAGCCAACGTCCTCAGGTTTTAACGGTACGAGAGCCTTGAACCCACCATGAACAGCCTGGGTAGCGACCCAAGGATAGCTATTAATGATGAACTGTGTGGGGTCCTCCCAGGCTCCATCCGTGTTGCCATTGCCACTTGTTCTCCTTCCATAAAGCTCGAGTCCCTGTCGCACCTTGTCCACAAGGTAGGGAATAACCGAGTAATTCCACAAATCAGTAAACCACACCTGTGAATTAGCCACCTCCATGGGGCACCCTAGGAACCACTTAGGTCCAATGGTTACATCGGAGCTGCTGTGTGTCTCCAAGAATTTGTTGAGATGCAACCACACCCTCGGCATCCACTCCACAACAGCTGCCATCTCTGCATTTCGCATTCCTCCACACTCCCTCAGCTCGTGCTCCAACAGTTTCCTCCTCAAGAACCTCCCGAGGAAACCCTTGACAGGCTCCATATGATTGGCACACATAATCCATCTGAAGTTGTGAATTAACTGAAGATTGGTGATGTTGCAGGTGGTCTGGCTCATTGTGCCAATGATGGCAGGGAATGATTTGTTCTTAGCGTTGAGTCCACCGAAGAGTTCGGTCAGGGAACTCGCGTGTTGGAGGTTCTCCACGATTATCACTCGCGGTAGCTCATCACCTGCATTGGATGCACATCTCTGGAGAATGTGCCCGAGGAAAGCCCTGGGCTCTTTGCTGGATTTATGATCAAGATTGAATGTTGCAACAGCCGCAGGGTCTCCAGCCTCTGAGTCTGAACCAGCGAGTGCATGAGCTAGTTTGCCAGCCAGATAACTTTTTCCAGTGCCACTGGGTCCACAGAGGATAACCCGGCGATGATCGTTGAACAATGAGATGAGCCTCTGAACGATGGACTTGGGGATCAACGTGTCGATGGCCAGCCACGAATAGCCAGAGAGGACCAGATAAATGGTTTTGACGTGGCCTACGAGATATCCACAGGGCAGCAATTCCGGGTACTGAGGCTCTGCGGTGCACCTCGAGGCCTCTCCCAGGTGATAAGCCGATATGCAATCCACTCCTAACCCCAAATTATTGATCGGATCCACCCTAGAGACGTAATCCTTGAGGCAACGACGAACTGTCGAGTCGAGGCTGTCCCACGAGGTCTTGTTAGAGATGCATACATTGGCTATTATGCAGTGCGCTGGCTCACCAATAATCCCCTCCTGGCCCGAGGTCAGGTTCAGGTTGAAACTATTCTCACTGCCCAGGTACACTGCAACATTTATTCTCTTCCCATCTGTGTCCTCGATCACTGGCTCTGTTGGAGCGTTGGTGGTAACCAGCGGATGCTCCGGCACACCTATGTCATCGAGCTGGTCAACTGTTGACGTGTGATCACCACCGTTTGCGAGACCTCCTGTTGACGGCACCTCCGTCATGCTAAATCGACGCTCTGGGTCGCTCCGCAATGATGATTGTGACGACGTCAGCGATTTCGACGTCACCAGACGCTGCAGACGCTCGTTATCCTGCTTCAGGTTTATCATCTCATTCTGCAATACCACAATTCACAGTTACAATCTCATTTCTTATTTATTTAATAAAGATTTGATAAAAGCTTCACTGATGAGGCCTGAGTCAATAAAAATTTACACTTGTATCGCATATTAACGCGATTAATCGCGTATTAACGTTGGCATATTACTCGAGGATAAATACAAAAATTAGATGGATATTAAAAATTCCACTTAATTCTCAGAGAAACTTGAAGGATTTTATATCTCTAGACCCCATGAAATAACTGCTTTCAAGCCAATCATTACCTTCATTGATGTTCCATTACCCGCTATAAGCTTCTACAACAATTCTAGAAAAAATGTCTTACCCGCATCTTATTGAAGTGTTCCTTGAGGGAGTGCAATTGATGAGCGGAGGACAGTGCCTCGAGTCTGATATCGGTGAGGACGAGATCTTTCTCCCTCAATTGATTCTTCAGTTCATCGACAGTTGTGTCTGTTTTATAAAGTGCTGAACTACTTTTACTGCCACTCAACGAATTATCATGCTCTGGTGATTTCTGTTCACTGGATTCCCCATTATTTTGCTGAGAATTGTCGTGTTTTAGGGCGGTGGGCAGTCGTGGACTGTTGGGCGCACTGAGTTCACCAGTGATCATTGAACCATTGTCCTTGTTGTCCTCGGCGTCTGACACTGAGCCATGACGATTCTTCCTGGGCCTTGAGAAAGCCTTGGAGAAGGAACTCCTCAGCCAGCCCTTCTTCTTGTGGTGACTACTCACTGAACATTGACTGCTTATTGAGTTCAATGATGTTACGCTGTCGGCTGACAATTGACGCGCCATTGAGGAGCCTTGATTGCTCGTGTAACCGGCGCAGCCTGTTGTCCCTGAATCTGAATCACCCAGGGTGTGTCTACGACCGTTTGATGTTGCTGCGTTGTTTGTCAACACTGCCTCTGCACCCTGCTGACGCAAACGCTCGATCGTTTCACGCAGCTCCTGAAGTTCAGAGTCCTGCAATCATAAAAAATTACTGTACTCTTCATTTTTCCTCGAAACCATGAAAGCGGGAAAAAGCCGTAACAAATCGTTTGTTGAGCCAAGAAATAGGCGTTTTTTTCAGATGAGACAGTACGATCTTCAATGGAGGACAATTTTTTTATTCCAAACGAAATAATGTTTAACTGCCAACGAAAATCAGAAATATCATAATTCGTCACACCGCAATTGAAGATTCAGCGATTAAGCTTAGAAATAGCAAGAGACATTTCTGAGCTTTGAAAAGGAGAAAGTCAATAAAAAATGGAAGGGATAAAAGTAAAAAAAATGCTCCCAATCAACTCAATCTCCCAATTCCCCGTGGTCTGTACAGCGGCGGGCCACTAATAAACAATCAATTCTCCAACCAATCCCCGTCCACAATATCCATTCAAAAAAGCCTGATTTATTGATCGAACGATACAATGGTCTGAAAGTAAAGTACACGTTCAATCGCTGGAGTCACTGCTCCACGATGCGGCAGTGGTGTACAATTGCCACATAGACTTGGGGTTCGCCTCGAGCCTCTGGTCAACCATGTCCTCCAGACCAATCGAAGATTTTATTGTACTCTGAATACTGTGAGTCGCTACATCATTGGTATTTGTAATGGATGCTTCCACGGTCTTATCACAAATGCCTCTGGCATTTTTATCAGTTTTTTTTTCAGCATTGTGGATATCACTGGGGACAATTCGTGATTTCATACGCTCATACTTCAACTGCTTGACGGTTCTGCGTGGTTTCACTGCCATCGAATTATCAGGGGAATTTTGCAAGTTCTTGTGTTCTCTCTTCAATCGTTTCGATGGTGGTGATTGAACCGCAGAGGGTTTGCTTGCTTTGCGAAGGGAGATGCCGTTGAAAATACCATTTTCATGAGGAACCGAGGAATTTTCGATCTCCCGGTGTTTTCGCTTCGGTGAAATTCGACTGGAGCCGATTGGAGTGGATCCAAGGGGACCGCGATGGCCACTTGAATGCAATTCGCTCGAACCTGCTGATACCAATGATCTTGATGGCTTTTTTATCTCACTCTGCATTGCGCCCCAATCCTCATGCTCCTTTGATCTCTTTTTATGGGAGGTCTCAATTTTGTTTTGACGTCTTGTCAGATAACGGCATGCCTCGGTGATAAAACAACAAAGTGATGCGGGTTCATCGTGCTGAGATATTTGAGACGATGTGTCTTTATAATTTCGGAGAATCAATTCAAATGCTTCGGATGAATTTTTACGCCATGATTCGAGAGGTTACGAGTATCGATAGTCAGATTAGATTCGGGGCGGCTCTTTTGTTTCTTATTGTGGAATCAAAATAACTCTGGTAGACATTTTTCAAATTTTATCTTAATACTTTTGTTGGAAATATTTAGGACGTTAACGCGAACAGGGGAACCGCTGTAACAGGCTACAGGGAATAATGAAACACTTAGGCTGTTTATGGCCTGAACAACCCAACGCGTCGACCAACCCAATGAACAACCAATGGACCCTTGTCTTCGGGGCAGACCTCACACCCTGGACGAACTGGTGGCCAGGGGCAATTTTCAAGCTAACTCTTCAGCAAGCAACGTAAGGAATTATGAAACTACCTAGAATTCTATCGAATCCTTAATTAAAGTGAAATTATAAAAAATAAATAAAAGATTGAGTCTTATAATAAAATAGCAGTAGATATTATTTTTGCTGCAATTTTGATTGAGAAACGTAAAGTAATTATCGATTGAGGCAGTGAGCTTGATATTGAGTATCCACTTGTTAATTGATAATAACTAGATTCCATTGAATTTTGACTGCCTCTAGTGAGATGATTGAAGTACATGTGAATATTTTCAAGTTTTAGGAGCAGATGGTATCCAATTTCATCTCTCATTCTCCACCAAGAGATTAATAAAAATTGGTCGCGTGACTGATTACAAAGAGATTAGATAAATTGGTCTCGCCGTTTAACGTCTGTCCCATTTAATAAAAAAACGATGAGCCAGGCCCCTGCGGAATTAGAGATAGTTGAAATGCAGAAGCGGAAATTGACTCACCTTTTTCTCAGCGGTCGCCGTGAGCTGCTGTAGCCTCTGGGTCATGTTCGACAGCGACTGCTCAAACGCCGCCACTACGTGGGCCTGTTAACATGGAATAATACCAATGCATATTAAAAACAATGAACTATAGACTCCATTATAAATTCTATTTCCAACGTCGTAAATAATACTACGCTAGATGCAATCGATTCGAAGGAAATTATGGCCACCAAGTGGTCGTATTTGTTCGGTAAACATGGGACAGGGAGGAATGTCGCTTGTTGTAGCTCTGCTTATCGTGAGTTAGAAAATTATCTCGTGAATGCATGAGGAAATTCTAATATAAATTCAGATTCAGATTCAGATTTCGGTTTGTCTTTATGGAGATTGTGAGACTTTTGTCGATATTAAAATCTCATTCACTTGTTCATCAGATGGAATCATTTGCTTTGCCTTCTCTCATTTCTTCCGTATTTGCTTCTAAGTGAAAGCATCGCATTCTGCAAAATTTTTTACTTTTCCCGAGAATAATCAACGATTTTCGTTTTACAGATAAAAGTAATCGCCAATGTACTTTTCTACGATTGCAATCAACAAATTGCCTGGAATTCCTTGATACGCATGAATTTCCAAGTGCATAATCACCGATAGAATAGCTACGGATATGGTGACTTATCCGAGCCATGTAATTACCCTCTCCCCGATTATTTCTCAACATGTCGAAGGGCTCCGTAAAGATCACAACCAACTGCATAACTGGTCAGGTGGTACATGAGGTATGGTGTACACTGCATGCTGCATGCTGCATTGTACCAACACTGATCCCACCTAACGCCATTGACTCTCAACACACGTGTTGCAATGCACACGCCATATCTCCATGTGTAGAATCTAAACTGAACCGCTGTAAATTCTTAAACATCACCTCTTTCTCCTTCATTTTTCCAGAATTTCTTTATGCTCCAGGCTTTAAGGCTTAATTGTTTTCGTACAGCAAGAGGATTCCCTTTTTATATACCAAGTGGTTAACCTACATTATTAACAAACTCTTGTGTATTATCATTATTCCAGCACGAGAATTTTCAGTTCTAAATAATTTCGCTCCGGGCTGATTATGGATTTTCTGCTCGGTATGTTCGTTGGAATAATAATAATAATGCCATTGTTCATTAGAATATATAGCAGATAATTAAAACTCCTCAACAACTTTCCAGGTTGATTTTCTAGGGATCCTCGATCCTAGGCAAGATACCCCCTAGAAGGAAAATAAAATTTTCCATCGCGGAAATGGGTTTTACCACTAGCTCCAGTGGAATCCCATTGTTGCGAAAGATAAGTACTAATAAACCCAAGCTGAACACGATTTCTCAGTGTTCAATTCCTCAATGAACCTTGAGAGAATCACGGAAGTGATTCGACAAAATATTCTGCTCCCATTCTTCGTTCTGCTTTCAAGGCAGACTAGACAGCTGGGCAATACCCTGCTAGAATAAAAATATAGATAGAATGGAAAAAGCAGAGGGTCTAAATTCACTCCTAGACGAAGAACACAGGTTACCATCGAAGAGACGACAATCTCGTCTCTTCTTTAGTCTAGTGATTTAAGACTCGATGCCGAAGTAAAAGACTCACGGGACTCCCTGTGTAGGCGACCAGACTGACCCACAACTCGACCCACATGCTCACCGTTATATTTCACTCCTTTATTTATTTATTTATTTATTCAATGCCGATGAACTTACTACCTGAGCATCTGGATTTTCTAAAAAATCTTATCAAGAATGAGGTATTCATTATAATTTACTGCAAGATCAATTAACAAATTTCGACGATTGGCTTTTTACAAATATTTCCCGGAACCTACGGGAGATGGATAAATTTTTGTTATAACCTTTTTTGTAATTCTTCAGCTGCTAAAGAAAAAAGAACATAACGAAAAATTGGCCATCTCCCTTAATTTCAGATTTATTTACAATATTTATTTATTCAGTGCCGATGAACTTACTACCTGAGCATCTGGATTTTCTAAAAAATCTTATCAAGAACCTGAGGTATTCATTATAATTTACTGCAAGATCAATTAACAAATTTCGACGATTGGCTTTTAACAAATATTTCCTGGAACCTACGGGAGATGGAAAAATTTTTGGTATAAAATTGGCCATCTCCCTTAATTTCAGATTTATTTACAATAAACTCACTAAAGAGGGAAATTATTTTCAGTGATTCTTTGATCGTTGGTTTTCTCCGTGGAAAGTAAAAAGTCTAACTAAAAGGTTTTTTTCTGGTTGTTATGGGTGATAATAAAAAATACTCTAATTTAAATCTATTGAGATGAAGCAGACAAGCGAAGGAACACTTATAAATAGTATTAGGTCAAGAGATACTAATTTGAACCTTGTAATCTTCCATCTAGACCAATTGACTGAGTCTTAAAACGAAATCGGTTTATCACGTGATGACAAAAAGTCGAAGAAAATCAAGTGACAAATGGCAAAAACATGAAGAATTATTAATTGATGGTAATTGTGGGGGACATGACAGGGAGACCTACTCTAGTTCTGTGTAACTCGGTTTGATCGAGACCATTCAAAAGTTCAAGAGTGAATTATCGTCGTAAAATCCGAGTGTGATACACCCGAGTGATAGTACACTTTCGTTTTTTATCCAAATGCAAAAACGTCGGCTCCATGATTTAACGGGGAATATCTTAATTTTTATAGTTGTTGAAACGACGGAATGAGTTCTATGCAATTGAGGAAAGTAGAGAATTGTAAATTCATGGGGGATACTGTGATTTTACGACGGAAAGATGATGGAGATTCATGTCTCGATTTGCAATGATTCAGGTAATTTTATGGAGATGATCAAGAATATAGGTTTTTGATTGAGTAATAACTTGAATTATTCAACGGAAAAAAACATTTTCAGAATGTGAGAAATGAAGAGTTTAATTGTGGAGAAAGGTTCATGAAAATTGGAATTGAAAAATTACACATCCTGGAGATTACTGTTTTCTCCAATGAATTATTTACACATTAATTCATTAATTTTGCAGTAGAAGAGTCAATCTAATTAGATCAAAGCCGTAATGAGAGATTTGTGAATTTCCAGAACTCTCTAAAGAAAATAAAGTTCATGGCAACGAATTAAATTTTTTTGGAGCTGCGAATAATTGCCACTGGATATTAATTAAATGAAAATATAAAAGAAAATTAACTTTTATTGTTAAAAATGGATAAATCCTTCCGTAGTTTGTGCACCGTCAAACAAGTTGTAGAGTTAAATTGTTGCAAAATTATATGATGCCCCTAATTTATAAAATTGCCTTGAAAACCATCAACTGGGTGTTTCCATTGTCATCTATTGACATTTTAGATTGAAATTCGCCCTTAATACATCTCACTAGTTATATAAAACCGACAATGGCTCGAATCGATTCAACAGAGCGATCTCTCTGGGTTTTTCGTTTTATTGTTCCACATTCGTGGGTTCTTATTCAAAACAAACGTGGAGGGTACACAGGGCCGAGAGTGTTCTCTGTCGTGAATTCGTTGCCTCGTAATTTACGAGTTTGAAAACCCACCCACTCATTCGTCCGTTCTATTTCGTTGTCTATGGGATACCCTGGGAAAACGGCAAAATGAAATTTTCGCGTGGGTTGAGAAAACAGAACGAATGCCACACTTGTATTCCAATGTAACTCAATCTGATTATTTTTACGATCAATTATCCGTTTTTCACAGAAATTTATTCACTCCGTTGACTAAATATGAAACATAAAACTCTAATTACTAGGCTTTCAATGATTAATTTTTCACTTGTTCACGTTTTCCACTTAAATCATCAATTATCACTCAATTACATAAATATTAATGGGTAATGAATAAATATCTGACGTTATCAGGATACTGCTAAATTTGCTTTCGTAGGGACGGCGCAAATTTGCCTGACATTTTCCTTAATGGCGTAATTGGCTCAGTAATGGCTGGCTTTAGAACAAAATGTGAGAGGAAATTTTGAGGCTGAGGGTAGCCTAGAATCTAGACCCCTAGACGGGTCTTCTCGTAATTTAAATTACGCTTCAACCAGTCATTATCGAGATAATTGTGTAATAATTATACAGAAGCATAAGTGGAGATTTTTTCAGCTCTTATGATTTTTTAACTCAATTTCCTAGATCGAGAAAGCCTTTCCCTTCGTTCGTTCCATTATAAATTGGTCTTAATGATTCTGGAATGGGCCTGAGAGTGCCCTGAAAATAAATTTGTTTGGAGAGGTTTTTCCCTAGTATCGCTCGAGTCACTTCCGATCGGATTATCTTCCCCTCAATTTTTTTGATCCTCTAAAATTAGGGGTTTGACGGAAATAGACGAGGGGTTTGGAGGCGGTGTTGGGTAGATGATAATAAAATGTTTGGCGTCGTCTAGTCTGAGAGTTGTTGATGTCGGCAGACATCTCCTAGTTCAAATTGACGAAGTAAAAAATGTCATCGTACACTGCGAGAAATTTCTTTTTAGTCGACGCGTTGAGACTAAAAGGCATACATCAATAACAAAATGGTAAACTAGAATAATTTGATTTTTCCGAAGATAATTATTATAAAAAATTCCAGCTAATATCTCAGAATAGAAAAGCGACATCCACACTTTGCATGAATATTTTTTATCGAGAAATTTCAGAGTGACCAAACAATTTTATTTGTAAATATGAGAGTATTGTCTTTTTGTTCCAAGATATTTGCTAACTTTCGGCTAAAAAATTCAATTATCCTAATTTATCACTTTGAGAGATAATTGTGATGTTTTGGAACTTTTATATTTCATGGATTTTTATGTCTTGAACTGAATTTTCAATGTTGAAGTGGGATATGGATTAATTCGTTTGAAATAAAATGCTTTTCTTCGGGGGGTAATGTAAAGTAAAGATGCATAACAAGGGCAAGTGGGGTGCGTGTAAATCTGCTGAACAAGGCACCTCACTGTGGGCTCGCTGTATGTTTTTGCTCGGTAAGCTTTCCGGTCGTGTTTTTATTACCACAAAAGCGTAAATGTGAGTGCGGTTCGGGTGAAACGACACGTGGAAATGAATAAAAATGGAGATGAAAAAAAAACTCCAGGAATTATAGTTTCATAGCATCCAAGAGAACTTGGTAAATTTTTTTCACATAAGAACGCCCCTGTTAAACACTGTGCAATAATATTGTTACACCGTCACATTTTGAATATTGAAATTTGAAATTTTATCAACACTTTAATGGAAATTCAATTCAAATTTATGGATTATTTTCTCCGTATGCCCAATTCAACCACATTCTTTGAAAATTCGCAAAAAAAAACCTGAATTGGATTTTAAAAGAATTTGTAAATAATAACAATTATTCAATAATTGAAGAGTTAATAATTAAGTTAAAATTAAATAATTGGAGGAAATTTCTGAAAAAATTCAAGTCCACATTTTAGTAGCGGGATGACAGAAATTTTTTTAATGTGCCAATTCCTGGCGAGAATTTTTTCCACGTCCTTGAAATAAAATAAAACGTCTGGAATAAATCATATTCCGTTCATCAATTCAATTGCAACATAAAATATCCCATAAACATTGCGTTTTCGATGATAGGAGTGAAATAAAAAGTCTCACTTTAAAAAAAAAAGCAGATGCAGAATGACTCGACTCAAACTTGAGTCATAAATCCACCGCGGAATTTGAATAATTACGCATTTGCCTAACGCATTGACGAGAAATGAACCCCATGGCCATTAACCGTAATAATAAATGCCACAAAATTCCCGTCTCCCCCATTTTTTCTCATACATCGTAAAAACCAGTGGACTTCCATCTGACCACTTGGAACGGCGTCCTTGGAGCTCCACGAAAGAAATAAAAAAAAAAAAGAAAAAAAAAATCCGGCACCTGATTCACCAAAGGAGGGGAAGTTCGTTATCGATTGAAATGTGTATTTTCCCCCTTCTTCTTTTCTCATTTCGTCAACAATGGAGTAGTTTTTACTGGAGTATTTGTGCATGAGAAGAAGTGCATAATCCACGAAGCGTTACAAGACCTAGTGTAATCTGGCTTGGAGTTCCCATGCAGACTTGCCATTCCCCAAACAATATATCTCTTATTTGCAAAGGAAAAATAATTATTAGCTAGGTAATGGTGAGCTGAGTAGAATTTATCTTTCTCATAATTATCGATTTATCTGGAAAACTGCCAATTCAAGGTGGAAATATTAAACTTTTATGCTCTTTGTTTGTTCTTTTTTTTGTACCACCTTCTATTAGGTTTAAACAATAAAAGGGATAGGTTTATGTGCCATATAATGACTGCACCTATGTATCTGTTCTTTGATGTCTATTTTTATTCTATTATATCTACTCTTCATTAAGGAAATTTATGAACTTTCTGTAATTATTCCTTCAAAACAAGACGGTCAATCGGTTTATTTCTTTTGGCTGTATTTAATGATGTGGTTTCCACCCCAAACACTTGTCATTCGAAAACTATCCATTGAAAAAAATTATAATCCATAACGCGTTATTTAAACACGTGAAAAGTTACCCAAAACTAAAAAAATTATATTTGAAGTTCACAATGGACAATCTCACACAAAAAATGATGATATTGCAGCTAATTTTTTGAACGATTCACCCTAAAAATTGAAGCAATAACTGTTGCGTAAATATTTGACACAAGTTGGAGAATAGAACCAGATCACTGTCATAAGCTTCGCGATCACTCAGGAGATTTATTAGTAAATCCATAAACAAGATGCCAGATAGAACGGTGAGCACGTGACTCGTTTTAAAATGTCAGGGGCAGAGAGGAAATGGAGGAGAGGGAATGTCGAGTGTAGAAACATTTTGACGATTTTTTATTTCTTTGGAGCGAGCGGGAATTGGTCAAAGGGCACTCACACGTGTGTTGGATTCGAAACGCCTGGACCCTTTTCCCTTCGGTAAACACGCCTTCCTATCAGCCACATGGCCATCAAGGAGTATGAGGATGTTATACAGGAATTAGAGGGAACGAAGGGAAGAGAATGTTTTCTCAGGACCTGCAATTCATTCGATGTTGCCTTTCCCTACCCCTCCATGTACCTTCAAGTACTTCACTACATTCAATCTATTGACACATGCTTTATTGAATTTATCGAAAAATTCGCCTGTTATTTTCCCCCAAACTCACCCCAATACCCTTCATTCAAAAAATGCAAAAACAACAATTGTCTATCCCCCTTTGAGAAAAGTAGATAAAAGATATAGGAAATGCCTGGGTAACATGGGCATTCAACATATTGTTATTTAAATTGATGTAGCAGTTAAAACTGTACAGTGTCTTTCTCAGATCATATAATGATTATCTAAAATGGTAAACGCTTTGCTGAAAATAATTTAATAATTATCAGATAGAAACGTCCTTTTTTTGCATTCATTGAATAATTTTTTCAATTTTTTAACGACGTCATAAATTCAATATAAAAAACATCGTTGAAGGACAGCCAATTTTTTTCCACTGTTTACTTTTTATATTTTTGGAGGATTCCACTGGCTCGCCTAGCAATCCATTAGGTGCCAAATGCCTCATTCATCTATTTATGTTCCTCGAAACATGGAAATATTTTTAAAGTCGAGGATGGAACCATTTTTAATGGATTGTCCATGTTACCCCAGCGTTGTCACAATTTTATAAATTTTATCTATTTCATGATTATTTTTCAGAATAAAATTTTGCAGTGTGGATTCCCTCCACAACCACTCCTCATCCGACAAGTTCATGACTTTCTCCAATAATTGCCTATTGAATTTTTTACAGGTGGAAAATTAAACAATCTCACCGTTGCCTGTAAATGCAAATGAAATAATTGCAGTGTCACGTCGCGGCGTATGATTACAACTGAGAAGGCAACAAGTTGGGGAACGTGGGGCGTCTAATTATTCAATCGAGCAGCACATGGGCATGGAACACTAGTGTCCCAACCCACGCTTCGTTATAAAACTCATGGTACCACCGTCTCCTCTCCCCTTGCTCTAGTTCTTTCACTTCACCCCGTCCCGTACCCTCATTTACGTCGACGGTTTAATCCGAGTTCAAGCTTCAAATTCATTTAACGGTGTATCGCAGGCGTCTCATTACTCTCAACCCGCTTCGTCACCCGCACGCATCACAACTGCCCGCGAGATGAATTATTAAAATAAATCAAAACCGACAATCGTTGATAAATTGCCGCAATATTCCTCTTTACTCTCTCTTCCTTCACATTTTTGTATTCGTCGTCGGGACGCCGGCATATCCGGTGTGCAATGACGTCCGGCTATTATATGACAGGTGAGCTGATTTTTTTTTTACTCGTTAACCCCATGAGAATTTTATTTTAAATGTAGGATATATTAGCCACTGCTGACGCAGAAAAATCCGATATGCGATCATTTCGGGATTTTACTCCACGGAAAATTCGTTTAACCAACAGTTCTACCTATTTAATACCCATAATTGGTAAGATAATAAAAAATCTATAAAATATATATATATATCAGCTAAATTTACATATTTTCCAAATTGCCACAAATTATGTATGTTTTCCTGAAATATGGGGGATTGAAAATATTTCGCAAAGCTAGCGCAGTGGAAATTTTTGGGCGTTGGGCAATGTTGAGGTGTAAAAATGGGTGAAGTGGATAATTTACCTGCAATGCGGGACAACTTCGATGTCGATACTTCTTGGTAGCAAGCTCCCACCAGGGAATAACACTAGTACTGTCCCTAGGCCTGACGGGATCGCTGACCGCGTGCTCGTACAGTGGTTCGAGTGCGCGACCGCTAACGTTCCCAGAGAACCGTCTACTTGACGGATCACTCGACCGCTCCTTGCCACTACCACGTCTCGGCAACGTAGCAAACCCCTCAATCGTCATCTCACTCTCTCTATCTACCCTACCCTCATTCTCTTCCCTTTTTTCTCTCTTTTCCCGCGATTCCAATGAAAAGCTTGCGGTCAATTGGCGCCTCTCCATTTGACCTTGCATGATCATCTCGGTGGCGTCCATCAGATAATTTTGCCTCAAATCCCCATTCCTGATGTCCATCGTGCTCGCACAAGCTCGTCGAAGACCCACCATCCTCTCACCATCGAGAACGTCCTCACTCGACTTGTGGAGAGGATGAGCAGCGACCTTGGGCCTCCTGCAGGGTAGAGTGTCACACCTTCGAGTACCTTCATTAATCCCAGACAAAGCCGCACTCTTTCTCCCTTCTTCGACTCTCGATCGGCTTCTTCGGAGTATACCGGTGACCCGGGGTCGCCTTCCGTGTCTCGACTCGTCGTCCGACTCGGTGCCGGGGTCATTGCACCCGGCCAATCCCCCTGAATCGCTCTCATCTCTCCACCGCAAGGTCGACGAGTTACTTCTCCTCGACGTACACCCGCCGTTATCCGTCAGCACTCTCTCAACTTTGCTTCTCGGTAATTCCGTAAAACTTTCGCTTATCGCGTACAGTGATTCACTGGATTTGGTTGATGTGGTACCCGTGGAGCCGGTCGAGTGGCGACAGTTGTTCTCCATAGAGGAGGAACGGGGCAAGGGTTTTGGAGGAAGCTTACCGTAGGAGTTGAACCGACGGGGAACACGAGGAGCGTCCAGAGTTGGGCTCTTCTCATCATCGGTTTTAACGAGTAAATCCGGAGAGATTGGTGGCATCGGTGCCATGTCTCGCTTTCGGTAGCTGTAAATTTTTGAGTCCTCCGAGGTAGGTGTCTTTGGAATTTTCGTTATTACTCCATAGCCGGAGGTGTGGGGGTTGTAACTGAGCTCGTCGTAGCTCCTGTCGATCTCCGCAAGGTTCTTGTTGATGTCCTCGATGTATCGCGCAGTGGTGCGGTAAAGATCGCCGCTGGGGACGTAGTTACCGTCCTTGGGCGGAGTTTTTGTAGGGTTCTTCATGGGGATTGTAGGTGTGGCGTAGATAGGTCCTTTCGAACGCTCCGGGATGATCCTGGGGGGATGACCCTCTGGAGGAGATTGACACCAGTTTAGGTTGAGGATTGAGAGCGGTGCAGCCGATGGGGAGCTTTGCGGACTATCTGGGGTGCAATCCGGTGCCACTGTGTCATAAAGACTCTCCGGAGAATTGAGTTCTCGGGGTCTCTGACTAGTGAAGGTATTCAACGTCTTCCTCTCAGGTATGACCACTGCCTCGTTGGGCTTCTTCGGGCGCTTCAGTGTGCCGTAGTTCTCGAGGAGTGTGTTCTTGGTGGTCGGAGACCAGCGTGGCACCTGGTGGATCTGGTCCATCGGGATCGCAGATATCGTTCTCAGGGGGCATGCATCCTCAGGAATTTTAAGGAACTCCTCCGAGTCCGATCGGTATACTGCCCTAGGACGATTCCTAGGTCGTGAACGAATCGTCGCGTAACCGTCGTGCACACGTCGTGAACACACATTCACCTCCATCTTCACGAGCTTTTAGTTTGGCTTCACGTTAGAACACACACTGCGCTCATTCTGGAGGGGAATTGGGGGGCTTGGGGGAGCACTGTTGACAACCTGCAATTTCGGGGTTTTGGAAATTACTGGCTCCTCGGGGATTCCCTTCGGGAGAATAATATGTGTTTTGAAAATAAATTTTTCATAATAGTTTCGATCTCTTCAGAGAGCAATTAAATTTTCCTCTGAAGTTTGAGCGATCATTGATATGTGAGTGTAAGGAATAATAAATATTAGAGAATAAGAAAGGTGTAGGTGTAGGTCGTGACAGTCCTATCCTCGGGCTGATTACGTTAATGTAAATCCTCTTCAAATAAATCCCAATGAAATCGATTTATTGTTCCATCCATGGACGACAGAATAGAACAATCACGACTTGGATTCCTCGAGTACATCATCTCGTGTTTTCTAATCCCCTTCCGCCTCGAATGACCCAAATCGACCTGAATAGAATTTTTCGAGTAGGAGTACCATGTGGTTCGTTATCGTAAACGACTCGACGGCCCTGCGATCTCCACCAGAAGGAGCGGTCGATTCTCCGACGCGTAACGCGATGCACGATAAAAATCCAAAAGATACAACAGACCGAGAGAGCTAAGGTCCCGAGACTAGATTCGAGGTCGCAATTATCCTCCACGATTTTCACGGTGAAAGGAGAATTTCTCATTTTAATCCCCAACTGCACCAATTAAATTCATGATGAGAAGTTAGTTCAGCAATATTTAAGGACTTCAGTTATTTTTCATCTCTTTTCTCTTCTTTTTAACATTTAACATTTCTTATGATTTTTTTTCAATATCGTGGTCACGTAATAGACACGTTGTAGATTATAGTTAGATTTTCTGTCTAGTTTTGGGAATATGGACATGAGAAATTATTGGACGAATATGAGACGGCGGCAGATGAACGGGATAGAGGAATTGATATGGTCAAACAAGATCAAACCGTCGAACGGTTCTCCAGGAGTAGAGGTCGATCACCCAGGAAATAAATCGTCCTTGCTGATCACTCGCGTTACACTGGCATTGTGCACAGAGAGTGGAAATAATAAAACCCATAGCCGAGTTTATTACCGATTATGGTGTCCCAGTGTGATGGAGATAACCATGTTGGGTAATTTTGTGTCGTTTTCACGCGTCTCGCGAGGATTCCTTGCAGCCTCCGGCCAGCAAACCTACGATTTGACGCCTCGTTTTCCTCGTTTTCCTCCCAAGGGCTCACAACGGAAGTGGACGGTGTCTCACCGAGTGATTTATAAGCGTAAAGTGAGTGGCGGATGTGTAATGCGGCCTCTGGACTCGAATGAGGCAAACTCCATTTCTCAGAGGGATTTAGTTCTTCTGCTGGCGCAGGAAATTTCATGTGCTCAGCTTTATCACAATGCCAAAGAAAAGTACTTGTTTTCGCGATAAATTTATCTTGTACTGTTGGAACACTACACTTGAAATTTCAAGTTTGAAAATTTGAGAATTTTCATAATTCATGAGTTTTGATTGAATTTTCATAATTTGTCATTCATGAGTCATTCAATTTCAGGTTGACGGGGTATAAACAACCGAAAAAATGTTGAAAATTCAATAAATAGTTTCCCTGAATTTTCAATCGATCTCAAATTCAAGTGTATTTGATATTGAATTTTCAGGCTGAGCATGAAAAACATATTTTCAGTAACTTTCAAGATAAATGAGAAATTTAGTAATCGGTTTTAATTAAAATTGAATTCAAACTCATGTAATTGAAATTTCAAGAAATTTTCAACAGTGTAGGTGGGCATAACAAAAAATGTCTTGAATGTTTCCGCGTCAAATCTGTAATTTCCGAGATAAAAATGCAAGAGTATTTGGTTGAATCACTTAGCGATTTCCAGTGCTCAAAAAAAAACAAACACTTTGCTTTTAATGCTATTTCCTTGATTATCTGTCCACTTGTCATGGTAACGCTGCAGTAATCCCCGAAAAAAATTGTAATGACATCCAAAGTGGACAAATTGATATTGAGAATGAGGATCAGTTGTTCATTCTAATATATTCAATACGAATCAGAGGACACGGTACACTGAAAACAGGTCTTGCGGGCGGTGTCATGTTGAAATGCACGAATGATGTAATGCACTTGGGGCTCTGGTTTTTTTCAACTATTCTTTTTCCCCTCGATTTATTCTCCACCTTGTTTCACCTGTCCACCTCCCAGCTCTCAAACCACGAGGATTCAGCGACGAAATAATCGGCGTAGAGAATGCCACAGGAAGAGACCTCCATTTTATATTCAACCATTAGCTAATCGCCACGACATCATTGACTGATTCGATTCGCGGTGTTGCAACTTCAATATTATACCGTTTACAAAATCGATATGGAGTACTGATATTTTTTATGTTGTAACGAGCTAAGGGAAAAGCATTGCCGTTTCGAGAATGCGGAAGGGAATATCATTCAGCAAATGTGAGAATTCTATTGTTAAAACTGGATAACTGGAGAGATAGAAGAGCTTACTGAATTTTCAACGGATATTCATAGGAATTCAACAATGAATACTCTGTAAAAAATTACTCACTGGACATTCCGATTGATTTTTTGGAAGTGCATGTATTTATATTTTTTCCTGAAATTTCAAGAATTTCATTGAAAACTCAAAGAAGTTGAAGACTTATTTTTCTACCATTTGAAAACCCGTCCTAGAAAAATGCCGAGGCAAATGTTTAGCAATTAAAGTTGCAGGAGTAAAAACATTAATCGAAGAATAATCACGGAATAAATCCAGTAGAGGATTCCTCGGTCGGGGATTTTTCCGCATTCAATCATGATTGCAGGAATAATAATAAAATCATATCGTATTAATCAGTTGCAGCTGAACCGGTGGAATATGAAATGGAACAGAGGTCAATGAATTCCGCTTCGACAATTGGAATTTGCAAATCAATTGCCCTAGCATACAGCCGCAATCAGTGGAGTGATATTAGTTTTTTCGATTGTTTAGCTCCTCTAGAAGATGATAAACGCTTGCTGAACTATCGCATAATAAACAAGAAGCGGTTCGTAATGATAACCCATTAGCTATTGAAAATCATTTGCTGGCATTTTTCATACATTTTCCCAAATATAATGCATACATAAAAATTCAAGATTTCATTAAAGAATTAATTATCATTTAAGAGGAATAACCCATATTTCTTGAGTTTTCAAGATAACTGAGAAATTTTAGTGGTCCCTAATTGGAAATGAATTCACGCAGATATATTGAAAATTCAGATCAGTTTGTGACTGAATTTTCACGAAATTTTGAACGGTGTGGATGGAACTCAACGTCTCGAGGAGTCAAAGTGATTTCTAATACTGTAGGATGAAGGAGAATATATACTTGAGGGAAGGATAAAATTCCACAATTAGAATCCGGAGTTGTCCCCTCAGCCATCAAGCCCTCCAACGTCCCTCTTCCCCGGAAACCTTTCGAGATAAAACAGAAACTCCAACTGACACTGTGGCGTCCGCTTTTCGCTGACACGGTTCAGTTTTATCATTAAAAACCACTTGTGTATTCCTCGTGAGGCACCAGGCGTGAAGACACTGCCGGAATCTAGGAATAAAGGAGTAACAGTCTCCCAGTGAAGGAAAATTTTCTCAGGATTCAGAGACTCCGGTGGATGAATGCAAGTGGGAGAAGGAGGAAGAGAATTGCCCCTGCGGGAGCTCTGGGCTTGAAGTATGCGGGTCATGAGCGAACGGGTGCTTCTGTAACTACAGAACACCATTGGGTGCACCAAAGGGTTGGGGTAAATTGGAGATAATATCGTCGATAGTCACGTGCGCATCCAGGAACTCCGAAAACCCCCAAGGCAAGCTAAACCACATGAAGAGAAATTCTTGTGAGAAATTCAGTATACCGAAATGGCAGTCACTCCATTCAATATTTTTTTCATTTTTTCCGATTATTTTTTTCCGAACTATTCATCATTCTTCTATTTTCAAAACCTAGTGATGAATGCAATTCGAATGGAGCTCTGATAATCAATTAAATTGAGGGAACGAATTCAAAGATAAAAACGGTGAAATCGAGGGAATGTATCAATTTTTTACAACTCATTCTTTTATTCTCGGTAATGATTACGATGGAGTTACGTTAATTGCGGAGATTAGGCTCGATAATAACAAGGTAAACCCGAGGAATATACCGCTATTGTTGGGGTGCAACAAAAAGTGGATTGTTGAGGTCAATTAATTTTTTGGAATCGTGAAACTGAGGATAAGCTAGTCGCGATAATTGATCGTTAGTAGAAATTGTTGAGTCCTGATGATGTGTCATGAAGATGTCTCGGAAGAGTAGATAAATGACGGAAAATTATCCGGACGAAGAAGTTGAACAAATTCAATTGTTGATGAATTCAATGAAAAACAGCTGAATATACCAGTCATTTAACTTTTTCGATATTTCGACTGGGAATGCCCTCGCCGCAACGATTATTCAGAAAAAAATATTGCCAACTGATATATCTCCCCTCGAGAAATCAATGACCAATCGATATGAGGCAGGGAATCTCACAAGAAACAATTCCCTCAAGTCCCAGGTCTGAATTTTTCGAATGGAAAAGCAAGGAATGCCCCTGTTGGCAAAATAATCGCATTTTTCTTGCTACACAAGACCGGAAACGCGATAATATCTTCAGAAGAAACTCACTCACATATTAAATATGTGATTCGATGTGATATCGATCCTCAATCAATTTATCCGTCAATCACATTGGACATCCACGCCAGGATGACTCTTAACTTTTAGAACTTTTAGAATTTGCAGTAATGGTTGTCGAGTTGGGAGTGAATATTTGAAAATGCATATTTTTTTTCTCTGGAGAAGAAGCCTCGATGGAAATCGATAACGACGGAAGTCGCTGAGGTTGAGGAATTCCAAGCAATACCATTTGACCGCAGTCCACCAACTGTAATGTACAGCTGAAAGACGACAAGAAGTCACAGGAAGACGATCTCCAGCGAGTGGAATCCGTCTGGAAATGAAATCTGCAAAGAAACCCGAGCGTGTCTCTCGCACACCGGAGGCTCGCGTCCACTTTTTCCCTTAACATCCATTCCACGGATCCACTTGACGCATCTTTCCTCCCTCCGCTTTCTTCTATCTCTCATTTTTTAACTTTTTCCTTTTCTTTTTCACGAGGAGGTCGTACATTCCGCGTCGAGATATGTCACTCGTACTCTGACGTTAACCCCTGGGACCCAGAGCTTTTTCACTTGGAAACAATGAGATTGCCAAGAAATTTTTGTTATGCCATTGAGATTTTAGAAATTTATACGAAAAAAAGAAAATTGAATCAACATGATTTTGATAAACCTTCAACGGTTTACGGAAGATTTCGAAAAAATTCCTATCTTTTCTGATTATGAAAAATTATGAAAAAAAAACGAAGTAAATAAAATTTCAAAGATGCCCATAAAAATAATGTTTTCAGTGAAATTGGTAATTCGGTTACGGCACGAGTGAATTAATGGCTGAAGAGCCCCGAGAAAATTCAGTTATGGTCCAGCCAAGAATTAATGAACTCTTGGACGAAGAATATATGGCATCCACTTGACGCTGGGTTACAAGAAGAGACAAAAGGCATAAACGACGAGTACTAACTTTTAATAAGCAAAGGAACGGGATTGGCCGAGTCGTTGGCTTCAATCAAGAAAATACGGGGTCTTTCGTTGCCTTTCCATATCTCCTCTATCGTTACGGGTTTGTCTCTAACCGTCTGTGTCCCATCGAACATAGCGAATTAAAGTCAACCAAAGGGGAAAACAAGATGAGAAAACAACGCGGAATCATTATTATCCGAGACATATGCCGTCATTATCGAGGACGTGCCCGCGGCTTCGCCTTGACGTTCACCATTTTTTAACTTCCTCTTTTTTTCCCACATTTTTTTTTGTGCCCACTGAAGTACCGAACAATGTGGCAACTGATAATATTTTCTTCGATTTTCCACAATTTTCCACAATTTTTCCCAATTTTTAGTACAACTCTGCAATATTGAAATAAAATTGAAATTTTTAGCGCGAATGATCAGTAATTCGCGGTTTCATTTACAAAAAGATTTGAAATTTTTAACAACGACAAAGTGAGATGAAACTTCTGTGGAATTCTCCATCTTCAGTTAATTTCTTGAATATTCTAGTAGTTCTCTATTTTTTGGTTCACATGAGACTGAAAAGCCGTGAAGAAAGTTGAAAAGAGTCAAACATTTCCATTGAGAAATTGAAGCGTTGACAATAAAACAGCGACTCTTCTTGAATTTTCAAGATAAATGATTGACTGTTTTCAATTGAAATTGAAGTAAAATCCACATAATTGAAAAACCAGACGATTTTATGACTGGACAAGAAATTAAAATGGAAATAATGAAAATTGCGTCTCTGGAATGACAGCATCGACCTTCAATAGTTCGATCTCGTCAGCTTCCCGCTGAATTACTCAGAATTCAAATAGGAATGATGTCAGAAGTGTAATCTGCAGGCAAAGTGTTGGCAGTAGTCTCGAGTGATTACTAGAACAATTGCAACGAGGCCAGTTACATTTCCGGAAACGAGAGAATAATCCTCTTGCTTGAAAGCGGAGGGACATGAGAGAATTGAAATGAAAAAAAAATCTGGAGACATGGGTAAGGAGGAAGAAAAGTTGTAAGAGCCCGCAGAATCTCCGTAGCTGTCCACTAATCCCTCGGAGATTCTGTTCACGTTGAGTTGAACAGGGGAGACGAAGGGAGAAAGAAAACGTTGAGACGAATTTTAAAAATGAACCGCTGACGGCAACAGACATTTACCTCCGTTGAAATATTAATAATGAGCCAGTGAATAACGACTGCGTCTCTTATGGCACCGACAATCCAAACCATTTTGGCCAATTGAACTTTCATGGGGGCATAGCACTGATGGAAATGGCATTATTAATGACTCCCTGCCACCAAGATGTTCGACATGACTTTTTTTCTCGCTGAATTTCTCTCCATTGATAATGCAGATGAATTTGTTGCCGTATGTTTATGGTTTCTGGCATGATGTCGATGGAATTTCAATATCGGGGGGCGCGGCGTTTGTATGTTAAAAGGCTCCAATCGAATTGCAAATTGCTGAAGAGAATGGGAGACAACAACAAGCATTGGAGACGTGATATTGAGGAGTTTCAACTATTTTCCAAGACTCGTAGAAACTTCGAAAAAGGAAAATTGAAATTTCATACATTGGAGAAAGATTTTTCTCTGCTGAAGAAAAATCTCTAGAGGATCGTTATAGCAACTACTTCATCCTAACAAACGAGACAAAAAACCACAACTTTGTTCCTTCAATTATGACCTCCCATCGATTTATCGCAAATTGGGCCGCGATGCCCCGAAACAATCATAAACCGAAATGGCTAGTCCCGAGAATCGCGAAAAACTCCGAAAGTAAATAATTCCCACAACGTTTTTGTCTCGATCGATTGTCCATCCTCTCCCCAAACATAAACGACTGTAAATCCCAGTGATTTAACTGAAGAAAGTTGAAGGTACAGGGGGGCAGAGGGGTCATAAATCCCAGAGGGCAAAAGGGACTCACGAAAACGTGCGTGTACACTGTGGGGGCCATTGTCCCTTTTTCAAGGGCCGTTTGTCCGATTGCACCGAGGACCCAGTGTAAACGTGTCTCTAAATACAAGAAACGTTTTTCCCACCAAGGCCCAGCAGTCGACAGAATAAATTATCAATAATATCGGTGTTTTTTTCGTTTTGTATCGATACGTGAGGAGTCAAACTAATTGGCGTTATCATGCCAATAGTATTCACTGTCACATTCGTCCCCATTTACATTTATCTCCTCAACATTCGTCGGTTTATTTATACAAGTGGTAATATGCGTTGAAATAGTAGGACAGTCGTGTGGAACTACTGACAAAATATCCAAGCCGCAATTCAGCAATTCGCTGTTAGAAAAAAATATAAATGAATAAAATGGGCAGCTGGCTAATACACGGTATGTAGTACAGTATCCCGCAAACTCTGGAAAGGATGTCACCAAAGAAAAGACAGTTCAAAGTAATGGAACATTTTCAAAACACAAGACAACCAGAATACCAGAGGAAACCTATCCACGTACGCACAGCCTACGTGAACCAACCTTGACGATGAAAAATCAGTAAAAAAAGAATACTTTTTTCATCACTGAACCTGCAGAGTCACGGTACCGTGCTACTGTGCAGCTACCAGCCTTCCTGCACATGATTCCTTATAGGCAGCTGATCTATCGATCCCGCCATCGATCATCAATCCTCAAGATCGCTCACTATTTTCTAGAAAATCTAATGACTTCTCGAGAAATACCGATTCCTTGCTCTTCTCAAATCGAGCCGAGAGATTTTATGACAGTAGTGCTTTTCAGGGTTTCTTTAAAGATGTCAAGAGGTTGTGGCTAATGAAAAAAACCATCCAAAATAAACGGACAAGCATTTCCCAAAGAATTCCACTGATAACTCCCGCCTCTTATCTTCAAAACACATATCATAGATAAAATAATGAGGTAAAATGGTTGGACGGAGTGTATCCGATAAAAATGTCGCACCAGAGTGTTAATCCGATGCTGTAAGAATCGATTATTTATCCCCCGAGGTAAACCAGCAATTTCCTTAAGTTTTTTTCATTCCTGTACAATATTTATCGATTTCGTTGTTTTATGATCGGCAGTTGTGAGTAGTTGTGAGGGATAACTTATTAAGCACGGGTTTAAAAACAACTTCCTCGTTGTGATGATAGTCATGATAATCGTCATCACGACGAGTGCTAGTAACAATAATTACCAGATGCACTTGGTTTCACTGTTATTTATCGCTGGGGCATTGGATATCAACATTTCCACTAGTTTTGTCACTGATTTTTCACAGATCGGGGATGACGTGCGGGGTTTTTGGGGGACTGACTATTGGATTATTGACGGAAATATGCGCTGCGCTGCGCGTCTCGGCGCCAACTGACGGCTGACGGCTGATGCCAGACCCAACAGTGCCCAACAGCACCCAACACCTCGCCAATCGATCCCCACCATCATTCCATCGTGAACCAGCGTGCAGATGGTCATGGAGCTACTTTCATTGGCTCATTCTATTCACCATCTCTGGCCCTTCCTGCACTATCGGCCCAATACATTATTTCTCCACTTTTGGCGCGCCTTTCAACTTATCTTTTATAGATTGAGATAGATTGAGATCAATACAGCTGGACAATTACCATTTCACCTTTAAGTTGGAAAAAATCCACATTTTTCCACGGCCGCATTACAATTCCTTTGGCGCCAGCAAATATTCCAGGCATTATTCTTCTTGTTGGAACTCTCATTACATGATAGCAATAAGTAATTCGATATTTTTTTTCAATTCTTTGGGAGAATAAAAGTGCGCGATTTTTTTATGCTCGGAAATCTTTGTAATTTAACAGCATTGGTTTGAAGGGAGGCTTTTATGGGTCCGTGACACCACAGTTTCAGGGTTTTCAGATCTTTGTTGCTAGAGGTTTCTCTGGGGAATCGCAGAAGTATACGTGTCTTGTGAGCACAAAGTTAATAAAGAGAGTGAGAACTTTTCCACTATTTCAAGTTTTCTTTCCAATATGTATGGATTCTCAGTTTTTCGAATATTCAAGTGAAACATCTGCTAACGATAATCCGAATAATTTTTACGGGTGTGATATGTAAGTGTGGGATGAAGAGCCCTGCGTATCGGGGTACTTTAGAAAATTGAGGGAGACCTTGGAAAAATATAACAGGGGGAGGAATTTTTTCGGGGAATTGAAGTCTTAATGGGAATGGTCACGTGATGCAGAATGGGGAAAAATTCTTTTGTTGAAGGATTGACGGAATTTTCAGATTAAATTTTTAGAAATCACGTAATTGTATAAGTTTCGTTCAAGAACTTAATCACTTCGGATAAAACCGCATAAGCTTTCTCAAAGCTGAGAGAATTTCACTCGAGACAAATCCTCTGTGATTATTTCATAATTGATATTGCAAGAATGCGGAATTGTTATACGAATAAATTAGTTTTTACCAGGAAAACACGATTATTCGAGTATATTTGCCTGGAGATAAGATAGTGCCCAGTGTTTCTTCGCTCGGGGGAAATTCCAATGATTTTTCTGATTGATTCGGTTTACTTAATAAAACCATTTCATAATTAATATGCGCAGAATGCTGTTTGACGGAAAATGTTCACGCAGATAAATCGATTTCCAGGAGGAACAATGGTTTATTAGTATTTTGTCTCCTGGGATTCATGGCATGTTATTTGTTTCCCCGTTTAGGGGAGAGTTGATGGGATTCTTTGATTAAATTCCTAGGAATCAGGATATTATAACATGCGGCTGACGATAATACCATATTATGATATACGAATCCAATTTTCAGTATTCAAAAAGGTTTTTCTAATCTAAGTTCCTTAATTAAAGGAACGTTATATATCTTTATAATTTCATTACCGTCATTCCGAATGTTTCAAGTCCTTCAACCATAGAGTTACTAAAAGAGAATCGCTTTCCGCGGATAAAATGATTGCTTTCGCAAAATCAATGATACAGCGACGAAGAAAGATGATTCCGGTCATCACTTTGAATTTTAGATATGAAATGCAAATGTCAGCCTTATCAAGATCACTATCAGTATATAAGTGCGTAATCGCCCTATAATTTTCGTAAGAAACTAATAATCGAATAATTACCGAATGTGTAGTAATCTACAATACTGATGATTGCATCTAGCGCATAAACTTCACAGTATCTCATATATAAATAATATGTGTACTCACGTTAGTGGTGAGTTGATTGGTGAGGGAATGAACTTTTTCCTGTGCATCCTGGAGCTCTCGTCTCAGCTTTCTCACTTCGTGGGCATGTTTTTCCTCGGCCGAGCTGTATAAACTGCTTGCGGTCGATACTAGAGAAACCGAGGAGCCGTGGACTGTAAAAATAGAGAGAAAGCGAGTGAGTGAGAAAAATGGTGTTCATCTTGACACCTGGATTGACAATTAAGTTTTGGTTTGTGTTTTTTGATAGTTACTGTCATCGTCTTTGTGGACGTGCTGGTAGAGATTTGGTGGTTGCCTAGATCCGTGGGTTGGGGTTGGTGAAGTCGGTTGTGACCAGTGCTGACCTGCACAGCCTCCGGAACCAACTGGAACGCTGTAGTATGGCTCGCCAGTTATGCCAATGCCCTCTTCACCCACAGACGACGATGCACCACTTCCACGAGCCAACATCGATGGATACATCTTCTCACTTTTAGTCGATCTTCGAGAACAGAAGAAAACAAAGACGAGGTTAAATAGAGGGAATCCTTTGAGGAATCTAGAGGACGATCAAGCTTGAGACGAAGAGCTTCAGCCAGTGTAGGTGATGTTCTGCTGTTCATGTACGTGTTTTTAAAATGTCAACCCAGAGATAAACTTTTCATTATTTTAAGCAGAGTGATTGCAAAAGTACTTACATTTATACAAATCCTGCAGTGAAAGAGTGAAACAAGTCGACTATTTTTTAAAGAATTTCCCACAGTTTTTAAAAGTACAGGGATTCTAGGATTTACTCTTTCACTGCTGAATAAATTCCGGAGTATTCCCTTGGAAATTCAGCAAAATTGAGGGAGTGAATATAAGAAGCGGAGATTGGTCGAAGTTTTCAAACATTTTCTGCGTCAACTATGTTTAATTTATAATTGTGGTGAGTAGATAAGGATTTCCAAGCACCTTTTACAATTTTGTATAGCAAATTTGGGCAAGTGAATGCATCATAATTTTTGGGTGCTTGTATGAAAAAATAATCTTCCAAGATTTCAATATTGCTTGTACTTGCATTTCCTAACGGTTCAAAATAAAAATCCAAAGTGAGAACTTAGTATAGCAAAATGTGAAAGCTGTAATGTCCTACAAGTCTAGGGGATGATGGAAACGAAAAAATAAGTAGCCAAATGAATGTACTTGGACATCCTTGCTCATAGAAAGGCGGAAAAGACCGACAAAGACGAAAATATTATTTTCTATGTATACTGTGGTGACAATAAGCCTTTACAATGTGTAATCAATGCATGAAAATCATCATCACTGTTATTTTCAATTAAAATTCAACATCGTGTGATTAACTTCATTCATTTACGTAACTCTATACCTTGGGAAAGTCCTGTCCCTGAGATGGCTAAAATGGCATTAAAGTCTACGTGTTAAAGTTATATCGTTCAGTGTTAAATTAGTAAAAAATGTTAAACAAAAAAATCCTCCACAAAGAACTGTCGATAACTATGAGACGGAGTAATCACGTGTAAAGAGCGTGTCTTTATTTATAGGTATCTTGCTCGTTAAAAAGGTCCGTTTTAAGGAATTCGCTTGTATAGCAGATGGTAGAGTCAATATACGAGGGGTATTGATGACTAGAGATGTTACTCACCTGATGGAATTGCTTCTATTGAGCCTTGGTGGTGCTGGGGAGCCTGTTGAATCTCGCTGGTGTTTTAATAGAAGAGCGTGGGTCAAACTCGTTCGATGGGATCCCAAAGATTCAATGCTGTCCGCCTCGCAGAGACCCATTCCTATAAGGAAGTCATCCATGGAAATTCCATTAATCTTTTGTTTTTTTCTCCATTTAATCGAGTGAACCAATACAAAAACAGCAATTTTTCTGCACACATTTCTCGTAATTAACGCATTGAGGGAAATTAATCATTTTATCGACAGAAAAAAAACCGTAAGTACGTGGATATTTGATAATTAGTCATAAAGAATATGGAAATAAGGAGCGAAGATCTTACCCTGAGATCTTCCACTGGGCGTGTACGTGTTGCTGTGTCTCATCCA